AACTCCTTTTCTACTCCCGAGGGGTGGGTTGTACATGGAGCCAAGGGCGAAAGGAAAAGGGCGGGTCGGTTTACTAGCCGAGGAATGGTTCACGAGCACAACTCCGGCGCTCCTGAATACCAAGTATCAGGATAGACTACTTGGGTCCGTTATGCTGCTTAAGGCTAAGCTAAGAAACCTTGAGGATAGGCGGCAGTGCCGTCAACTAATGCAGTGTTCGCCGCTCGCATATGACCTCTTTGGTGTACCTCGAGGGGCCCAAGAGCGCCCGACAGTGTGGATCGAGGCAAAATTCAGTCATTTTGCCGCTTCAACTGCGCATCTCCTGCTCCATCATAAGGAATACGTCTGTGGCTCAGCTGGCTGAAGCCAGGCAAGGTCCAGCGGCTGAGGCGCCCAGGCTATGGAAAATCAATTCGAATAGATCATATTCTCCCTTCTCAGCACGAGGGAGTATCGCAACAACCACATTTCCATTAGCACGAGCCAATGATGTAATGGAACTCGGCCAACAAGGGATCAGAAACATCAAAAAATCGGAAATAAAAATATATTAATAAAATCCAAAACTGCCACCGACTATCACTCTCGAATTTGGATTTGGCCGTCAGCCGCGATAGAAAGGAATGCATGAAATAACTATCAGGAGATGTCCGAGGTCTTCGGAGGTGACGACCTTTAATCTCTAGCATTTCAATTCGAACCAGCCCTTGCACCAGCCAGAACGCAGGCCAAAGGAAAGCCCTGCATTGTGAGATTCCGAGGACACGGAAATGGATCTTCGTCTAACTCCCGCTGTCAGTCAAACCAAAAACCAGCAATTGGACCAGCGACCCAGTGACAGGTTTCCAACACGATCACACACGTCGGAGTGGTCCCTTACCCGTTGACCAATGCGCATGCAGTACTGTGGCGCCAAGTGGCTTGTACAGCTGGTTCCAAAGGACCCGATGGCAACCCCCAACCTGAGTGGGGTTGTCTAGTCCCAGGACCGGTTCAGGATCAGCAGCATCCTCGTTGGGCTCCGTTCCCTCGGGATTTTTCTAGTGGATTAATTCATTTCCTACCTCTCACACCGCTTGTCCTGCGGAGCCTGAGAGACATTGGAGGCAGGATTGAAACGTATGGTTAATAAATACCTGCAGATGTGCTACAGGGATACTTAGAGCATTGTTCGGATCTGAAAGTGCACAAAAGTACCGATTAGTGCCAGTGTATATGAACAATATCCATTCCTCTTCGTCATCTCCACGCCACGAAGATCATGGAGCCAAGCAACTGGGTACATATGTATTCCGTATGGAGTATGGAGTACTGGGACGAGAAAATGCGGAAAAGGATTCCAGCATTCCAGAGCCTTTGCTCTTTTTGATTTCATTTTCTTGCATTCTATATGTCATGAAGATGTGGGTTTGTTGCTTCTGGAGGGGGTTGGGTGTCCACTATTCATCCCTCGGGATTCCGTGAAACTCACGATGGATTTCTTCAAAGTGCTCAAATGGGCTAAGTACATGGCATCTGCGGATTCAACCGGGTCAATGCCCCAACTAGAATCTTGCGACGCTTCCACCCAAACAAGGAATAAATGCGACGATGAATGCTAAGTTCGAGGTACTTAGGCTCCCGAGCAAGGAAGGGCAATGCTACACGTATTTTGTCCGTGTTGTACAACACAGAGACGGGTGAGATGGTTACAGTGGGCTTCAGCCGTCTCCATTCTGGAAGGGAGAGGGGGGAGGGGGGGGATTGATGATGTGGCCCAGGGCCCGGTTTTTAGGTTCACAAGTGCTTGTCGGGAAGGGCCCCAACATTTCACCATGTGGTGAGACTTCATTCGAGTGGTGATTTTTTGCATGACCCATCTGTGCAGTGTCGCAGGACGTTCGTGCATGGCCAGATGGAGTCAGAAGGAACGGCCCCTCCCCGAAAAGGGAACAAAGCATCCAAAGTGTCGGGTCTGCGGCGCACAACAGGGGTTACTTGCACCTGTCTGGGGGAGGACTTTTCTCTCATGGCCGTTTGGCTCTAATCCCAGCGCCATGGTTCAACCCTCGGGAAGGTAGGCCCTCCCAGCTTTTCCAGCTTTTCCAGCGTCCCAGCTTCGGGGGTAAGAGCGGCTGGGCCCGTTAGTGTCGGTTCTCTCTCGGACTATTTACGGGACGAGAGAGAGAGAGGAGGATCACGAATACCACTACGTATACTGTTTCGCAGTCCAAACATCCCGTGTGGAACAGGGACAAGGTCTCCATTCAGACTCGGTCAATCGTTTTGTCACCGCACTGTCATCAAAGTGGCCGTGCACGAATGAAAGGACCTGCCTAAGCAGTACAACGCCGGTCTCCAACCAGGTCTGGGGCCTGGGGCGACGGCCGCTAATGATCGAAACTAAAATCAAAACCTGCGGGAACGCCAGATTTCCTCGTCCCGAGGATTGGGTTCGAACAGTCGGACAGGGAAAGCGGATCGACTTGCCTCTACCCGGAATGCTGGGTCTCGTTACACGCTTTAGGGGGGGTGACAGGGGGGTGGTTGCCCCAGCTTATGTGCTTTCTCCCTCCTTTTTCTCAGCCCTTTTTCGTCTTGGTTGTTTGCTTTTTCGAGGGCTCGCTCTCGCTCTCGGTCTGGTGAAGTATGTACATGGATGCTTCAACCCTGAAAATTCTAAGTGGTCCCAGTACAATGGAACTACCGAGGTAAAATCAAACACATTATTACTAGGAATTTTATTGCTGCGTTTACTCGTACAAAAAGTAAAAAGAAAAAAAGAAAAAAAGAAAATTCTCATCGAGAAACGGATCAAATCGAAATCGAAATAATAAATAAAAAATAAAATAAATAAAAATGATAATATAAGAAGTGCCCACTTAGTGTACCACTCTGTCGGGACCCAGCCCCCTCCTTTTGCCTTTTGCCTTTGCCTTTGCCCACAAGAGTAAGTGGGCTGGGGAGGGGGAGAAGAGGAGCGGAGGGGGGGAGCAGATCTGCTATCCACTCGTTTGTATTAGCAGGAAATGAGACGCCGTGTGACTTTGTCCGTCGCGCCCCCGGCCTACATTCTTCTCCGAAATCCCCACCATCCTGCAGTTATATGAGACGGATAGCCTCGGATTCCCCCAGTCTGAAACGACGGGAGTCCCGACAATTCTATGCCTGTACGGAGTATATGTTGTGCGACCTGGGCTGAAGAGCTGGTCCCAGTGCCCAGTGCCTACCGCCTCCGATTCATGGGCGAACATGTACGAGTATGCACATACTACTAGTAGTAGTTAGTAGTATGCAACTGCGTTGACTAACCCAGTAACTATGTACTCGTTAGTTAGCATGCATGTACTCCGTACATGACTCGTTGACTGTTAACTGTCAAATTCTGCTTCCGTCAAGTTCCTCCGCGCCCTCGCGGAGATTCCAAATACGAGCTTCGATGGATCTCTGGATCTCGGGCCTCGGGGTATTATGGAGTCGTTTGTCGGTGCGTTCGTCTATTTTTCTTCTTCCTTTTTGCCATTGAGCTTCGCACGTCATGCTTCTTTACTCTGTTCCATCTTAGTCGGCTTATGTAGAATACATCGGTGGCTGTCTTGTAGTTTGGTACGCTAGTTGTGATCGTCTGTCGATTGGTATATATTCGATCTAGCGTTGAAAGTCACGGTGTCATGGTTCTTTGAGATTGTTTCCAGTCTGGGTCTGGGAAGCGAACTTGAACGGCATAGGAATCTTGGAAATCAGGTACGGAGTCCAAAAAATTCCAAGCTGAGGATATCCAATAGTTTCGTTGTTTTGATTTGCTTTTTGTTGTCCCATTAGCCCGGTGTGACCTTGCTGATCGGATCGCAGCTCTCGGATTGGGTTATAGTACTATATTTTTGCTTATTCGGGCTTACATTACCATAGCTTCGGGTTCTCTTACCTGGGCACCAAAGGGATGGGCTTGGGTTTTATATCCTCCCCAAAAGTACAATCGACCGAGAGCTGAGAAGTGTATTATGCCCAATTAGGCATTATTGTACGAGAAGAACTACCAACGCACTGACATTCAATAAAGTCGATACTAACACTGTACGCTGCTTATGATGACCTCATGGACATATTCCAATTCATAATGACTATGACGTCGGGCTGAATCTTCTACCTATCTATGTAGCATCCGATGCGAGGGGTCAAGTAATTGATCTTATGACAGCTGCATTGTGGTGTATATTTGTTGCAAAGCAAACCCTTTTCGTGCAGACCTCCAGATTATACTGAGCCCAGCTAACAATTTAGCCAACACCAACTCTACTAGTATTTCAACTTGTATCGAACTTAATCACAGGACCTGCTCAGATGCAGCTGATGACGACATATGCTGGGTAGATTCATACCTAGTACCTACTAGTACTCGTCTAGCAAGATCTTACGACAAGAAATTGTCATTATTTCAACTGAAGCGTGACGGATCGAATGTTGCTCCAAGCAGCTACTGCTATATCTTTTAGTAAGTATACCCTATCGCGAGGATTCCAAGTTATATTAGTAGTATTAATTGAGTCTGAAATTCAGGAATGGCTAGTGAAATCGCACCTTGGTATTTACTTAGCATTGAACTAACATAACACACTATATCTCCATAATAGAAGGTAGAATATTTGTACAGCATGAGGAAGTGGAGTTACATTAAATTAACGCTGAATGCCCTCCAAATTAGTATGAACTAGTCATGGTCACTAAGCCATTATGAACGCCATTCCATTATGCACCGCAATCACCAAACCATGACCGTACAACGTAGGTCGCGGTCTGTGAGTGTCGCTTGTAAACGCCATGCACCCGAATAAAAGGAGCGAAAAGAATCGCCACAACGCAAGAATAAAAAGACATGCACCGTATACAACCTGTGTAGCTTCTTATGCTCTCCTCGCCCGAGATCGCTCTAAATGGTCCGGCATTATAGGAGAGCAGATATGTACCAGGGAAAGTAGCCTGCCATCAACAAGGGCCAGTCATGCCAATCGACTGTACATTCACCGCGTGTCTTCTCGTCCAGTCATGAATTTCACACTGGCCGAGATAATCTCCATCACGATTTTGATTTCGTCTTCCGTGCGTGGCGCATAAATGAGAATATATTCCGCAGGTAGATCAGGCAATGTCCCAAAGGATAGGTATGTCATAGCTGATGTACCCGAGAAACCATGGCGCTGGCCCCATCCCGCATCGAGTATTTTGATACCTGGTGTAAATGTTAGTCCCGAATTGCTTCTCGGCTGGAAGGGAAACGCAAATAACGACATACAGTCTGCAGGCGACAAGACGGCATGCACGGAGTGGTCATAACCCTGATGAATATGCGCAATCTCTCCCGCCATGCTCACAGCCAGATCGGTTATGGGAAGGTGGTCCGCTAGGAAGAATCCATCTGCATGTTGCTCCAGGTTGGATTGGTGGAATTTAACGAGGTGGTGGTTACGCAAACCGAAGGATCGGAACGCAGCGCGGAATTTCTGCGATGAGGTCCCGATTAGCTATTGGCCACCATATAAACAATTGAATAAACCCAGTGCGACCCTGAGACGCAGGGTCCGCGGACCCAGATGTTGGAAACCCCAAAGGAAACTAGGCCATATTCATTATAACTGCTATGCATACCTCCATGATATCCTCGTCTGGAATTTGTGTCAACTGGCGCTGCGGCGCAACATGCGGGCCCACCTCGGGCCTGGCCTCAGGCGATCGCGTAGCCAGTTGTTCTTTGGATAGTGTCAAATATCCATCACCACCCATCCCGTGGCCCTCGGCGGCGTCGATGCGACGCGAGTAGACTTCTGTGTCGAGCATCTCCCTGCGGAAGGGCTGGAAGAGCAGGCGCACGATCAGCCAGCCGATGACATTATTCGGGACGCCTCCTTGGCCGTATGATTTGAAGGTGCGGTAGTCGCGGTAAGCGGCGGGGAGGAGGATGGTGGTAGTTCCTAAGAACGCGGCGGTGCCGAGCGCGAGGTTGACTCGGTCTTGGTAGGAATGTGGAAGGCGGAGAGATGGAAGCGATGAGAGGATGGAAGCGAGCGGCATGATGGGTTGGGTGTGCTCTCTCTCTCTCGCTCTCTCGGGGGGTGTTGAGGTGTTGAAGGTAGGTTGAAGAGGCGTGGGAGGCCCCGAGGTCTCATAAAATGATTGCGGGCGCTGGGGCTGACGTGCGATTAGCCCGACTATGTATGGCGGAATTCGGGCGCAACACTAGGGTCCGTTGAAAGTTGGGGGCCGTGAGAGCCTCGCGTTGTTCTTCTACTCTCTACTGAATTGGTTCTTACAGTGGAATTGATAGTAGTAGTTATATTTATTTAATAATGCGCGCTGAGTCCTCTGCGTAGCTACTTAATATATACAAATCCGATGCTGGTAGCTTGGAGGGGAGTGGACTTCATCGCATCCTATGGCTTGTACCTCGGGTACTCAGTAGCTTCTATCTTATCAGTGGAGACCCGCCCAATAGCGCTGCCCGTGGTGGAGACAGGGTCATGTCGCCGTTGCAAGGTGGGATGATGTGATGGAGCGCTTGCTCATGGTCCCTGTCGTTCAAATTCCAGGTGATTTAACACTAGCGTCCCCCTGCGTCGAGGAAACTCGTGGCATAGCCTTCTCGGTAAGCTTCCGTGACGAGTATAAGCGTGCATTGATGGTGGTGGTGGATGGAGGTGTGCATCCGATGTGGCAGGTTCATATGCAGATCTCTTCGAGAAGCTGCACATTGGTAAGTGGCGTCATATTCAGTCTTCTTTGCTGATGGAACTGAGGGAATGCGCAAGCTTTAATAACACAACACTCTCCGTGGCGGCGAAGTAGTTCAAACTGCTCGTGGTTAGTCAACCTGATTCAACGAGGAAGGTGTGTGTACATATCGGACTAACCTATCCATGAGAATGCGCAGGTGGCGGTTGAAATGATCCTCATAGCGTCTGAGAGTGTCTTCGAGCTTGACTATGCGCGTCGAGTCATATCCTCGACTGTCCTCCACGGCCTGGTCAGGATCAGCCGAAGCCAGTGCCCGTGAAAGCGATGCGGCGGTCCAAGACGCAAACATGGTGCAACAAGTCAGCAATTTGGAATGAATCTAAAAAGCCGTCTACGGTTAGTGCTGTTTCTTTGCATAAAATGTATAATTCCGACGTACCTTGAGAAGTTTGGCCTGCGTGAGCATACACTCTTTCAGGCAAGTGTCGAGGAAATCCACATGGTCCTGCATCAGCTCGTCGACCGTCCGGTTGGCTTGCTTAGTGCCATTCACAGTCTCTTCGGATCCATTGGCATCCTCTGCCCCATTAACTCGTTCCATCAATCCCACCCAGTTCGGCTCGATGACCTCAGCCGTGCAAAAGTACAAAAGTTGTTGCACAAACACAAGCATCTTCGCGCGCAGGTTCCACGCACGCCGCTTCCAGAGTTCCAGTCTCCGATCTGATGATTTATGTCGCCAACTCATAACCTTATTTTGATCTGCCCAGGAGGTGACCAGCAGCGTCTCCAGATGGCGTAGTGATAATAAATGGCGGAAAATGAGTTGATATCTCAGAACCGTTTTGCGACTGATGACGAGCGAAAGTGGGAATGGCACAGAGTAGTCCAATTCTAGCGCATCAAATCCTACAATATTGTTCTCATCGTCGGAGCTGTGAGAGGTCGAGGCTTGCTGCTTCTCAAATGACGCCTCGGGATGGTCTTGGTCGATGCCAGAGACACTCACCACCTGCATCAGCCATCTTGTTAAACCGATCTTGTTCATCCGTACTTTGACATCTTCTTTGAAAGGATCCTGTGCAGCAATGCTGCCCGGCTGGCGCAGTACCAGATCGAGTAGCGATTGGAGTTTACCCTCATTCACAACTCGAGCCGGTTTGCGCAGCTCAGATGCGCTAAGTTCAAGGAAGTAGGAAAAGAAATCAGATCGATCGAGGAAGAAATAGTGTTTGAGTGATCGGAATCGCGTAGTCAGCGAGTTTTTGGTGAGAAGAAGATTGAGTAGAGATGCGTTGGCGTAGGTATAGGCTGCATTGACATTCTCCAGGAATCGCGGGTCGTCAAGAGTCTTGGGAACATCCTTGACGGCTTTGCTCACGTCAACACCACCACATTCTCGTACCACGTTGAGATACTTTCCTGCGAGAAGAACCTTGTCCCTCACACTCTCGAGCTGTGGTGGAACCTCGGTGTCGCGGATCGTATAACGCTTCTCCCAGTATTCGTCGGTGTAATCCTCCTCGAGCTTCTCACGTTTAATCCACTTCTGCTCCTTGATCAAGAATTCCGCATGGGGGTCTTTGATACCACCGTGGTGCAACCACTCATTTAACATGTTCATGTAGGGACGGCTGGCATCGCGTAACAAACCCTGTATGAGAGACTTGCTGGTCGGGTCTCCTGATAACGTAGCAAGCTGCTCTGTCAACAGGCCCAGGACATTTCCTCCTTTGCAAATCTTCTTGCTTGCCATAGCACCAGGCACCAGATCGCCTCCCTCCTTGAGCTGCTCTAGGATGTTATCCACGTCATCAAAGTCATCGATGGATTCGTCCAGATCATCCGATTCCAGCAATCCATTGCGCTTCAGAAGTTCTTGTCCCAAAAGGTAGAGTTGGGCAAGGCATTGGCTGGTCGGCATCGTATGCAAATGAAGTTGGTGTAGGGTGAACGTAGGGTTATTCAACAGCTGGCCTTCCAACTGAGCGATCAGGATCAAATAGTCCTTGAGGAGTTTGCGGATAGACGCACAAAGTGCATGGCTAACAGCGCCATACTCAGCCCGACTCTGAATTTCCACGAAAGTCTCCATTGCACTATAATGCGTCGCCATCTTCAACATGGACTGGGTGAGATCTCGTAGGGTCGGGTCCAAGCCTGGCGCTAATTGGTAAGTGGGACCAGTAAGGCGGTCCTTCTCCGCGGCTGGGTCATAGGCGCTCTGGTAGTGAATATATTGCCCTTCGAAACCCATAAACACGAAAAGTAGATCCTCCAGGATGGCAGCTTCCTGCGCGTCTGACGAAAGCTCACGAAATGGGGAAGGAGCAATGGATTGAGGCGCATTTGAAGCTAATGGAGGGACTGATACACGACTGGCGAGAGGGGCGGTTGAGTGAGGAATGAGACATGCTTGCGGATCCCATGGCGCTGTGTATACAAACAAGTTAGTACGTCTCATCTCGAGGTACAGCGAATAGGAGCAAGTCACTTACCTTGGCTAACCTCCGTCTCCTGCTTTGTAGCTGTTGCTGGTCTTGTATGCGCAGCAGGTGGTGCCTTCTTGGCCTTCTTCTTATCCGAATCATCGAATTCCCTTCCGGCTCGCCATTTCTCCGCCAGTACTGATCGCTCCATATGTTTTCCGGTTACTTTTTTGACTTCGCGTGTTGTTTTGTATTTCGGACTGGTGGTACTTGTACGCAAAGGGTCCATCTTATCGTTTTGGAGCGGCGATTGGGCGCCGTGTTTGAGCTTGTCGGCATCGACGCGACTGGAGGCAACGCGGGGTCGAGCAGAGCTGATGTTGCTAACGCGACGTTCAGGGATGGACATGATCCCGGAATGGGGTAAGCGATATCATGTAAGAAAAAGAAAATCGAAACAGCAAATAGAAACAGAAACAGAGGCGCGAAAGCTAATCAGCCCGGCGCGAGGAGGTGCAGTGCGATGCGATGCGATGCTTCCCAATGGTTGGGCGACATTCGTTCACCGCCCGCCGCGCAGGCAAACGTGAGTTGCGTAGGTTACGAGCTTCCCGAGCTTCGTCCTTCGTCCTTCTCAGTCCAATCCACCACTTCCTCCCTCCCATCCCTTTCACCTTCTCGGGATTCTTTCGAACTCATTAATCTCTTTGGTGATATCCTCTGTCTTCAGTCAACCCGCCCAATATGTTCATTGCCCGATCCGAATATGGTAAGCTCCGTCATATCTCACTCCACTGCCCGGGTTGCTAACAGCTTCGAATAGACCGTGGAATCAAGTACGCATCCTAGCCTAGCTATCCCTCCCATTGCATCGAATCTCGTTCTCTAATAATGGCTCGCCCCATACAGCACCTTCTCCCCTGAAGGTCGTCTGTTCCAGGTCGAATACTCCCTCGAAGCTATCAAGCTAGGTTCCACAGCAATCGGAGTACGTTCCAGCCCCGTCCAGCCTATATTCCCACCATCTTCCATCGCAATTATACACGGAAAGAGAGGAGGGACGATGCGTTGCTATGACTAGAGAGGCACTTGTCACTGCCACCCGGAAAGCACCCCGCTAACATTGGTCAAGGTTGCAACATCGGAGGGAGTCATCCTCGGTGTCGAGAAGCGTGTGACATCCACCCTGCTCGAGGCCTCATCGGTAGAGAAGATTGTCGAAATTGATCAGCACATTGGTTGCGCCATGTCTGGTCTGCAAGCTGATGCCCGTAACCTGGTCGAGCACGCCCGTGTCGAATGCCAGAACCACGCCTTCCACTATGCCGAGCCCTTGCGCGTTGAGAGTACTACACAGGCCATTTGCGACTTGGCCCTCCGATTCGGAGAGAGTGGAGATGACGAGGAGAGTGTTATGAGCAGACCGTTTGGTGTTGCTTTGTTAATTGCCGGATTTGATGAGGATGGCCCTCAACTGTAAGTGGCCTTGCTGGGTGTCAATCCCTTATATCTTGCACGGGATTAAGTCTCTAACCGTCAATTTTAGGTACCACGCTGAGCCCTCCGGAACATTCTACCGATATGATGCCAAAGCCATCGGCTCTGGAAGCGAGGGTGCGCAGGCAGAACTGCAAAATGAATACCATCGTTCCTTGACGCTGGCCGAGGCTGAGACCCTGGTGTTGAAGACCCTGAAGCAGGTTATGGAAGAGAAGCTGGATTCAAAGAACGTCCAGTTGGCCAGTGTTACCAAGGAGAAGGGATTCCGTATCTACAATGACGAGGAGATGGGCCGGGCTGTCGAGCAGCTGGGTGGAAACCAATAAATGATTAGCACGTCTGGATTTTAGCCGCGATAAATAATCTCAATCCACCTCTGTCGAGGTAGAGAACAGGTGTACGCATATCTTTATTCAATCTTATAAGAACTCCATAGGTCTATTCTACTCAGCTGGAGGTAGTATCGAGAAACGGGGGTGTTTTCATACTGGCCAACGCTGCACAATCATGACTATACAATCATGCTTCTATTCTCTTCAGCAGCCACTCTGGAATCGCCGGTTTCTGATCCCACTGCGTACGCCAGTTTTCGACCTGACCCGGTAAGGCATAGACAGCTGTTACCAACCAAAGATCTTGACCTGGTGAAAGATCAATCCCCAACGAAGGTAATAGTGTCCGCCCATGAATGATATTAGAATTCGGGTCGGCGAGCACAATTCGACCTGTCCGCGAGCTGGAAGAGTACAGCTCAGTGATGCCCACAGCCCCAGCTGATGAAACCACTAATGCACTACGATCATCATGCACTGAACCCTCCGATTCACCTGATTTCATAGGCCCAAGCATCCGACCATTATCACTGCGGCATCCATAAATAGCAAAAGCACCCTCGGAGGTTTTGAGTGCTCGGCCTGTGTGCACACGATGTGCCCGTATATGCCAATTGGGTGTCTCGACTGACGGTGGGATGAGAATCGTCTCTATCTCAACATCTGGCCATGGATTCCAGCTAGACACGAGTACCGGAGTCCCATCTGAGCCAGGCTCCTCAAAATGAGCATCCACAGCAAGTCGTCTCGTGTGCCAAAACTCCCCGCCATCTTCAGACAATGCAAGCATGCTATCTGGCGCGAATTGTTCAAGCTGGTAGGAACCTGTAGGCACGGAATATCCAAAGGCAGAACTATATGCGAACTTCCCATATTTGGCCTGCGTAGCTCTCATTGGGTAGTGGCACGCTTGTCCAGAGGAAAGGAGGAATGAGTGACCTCCTCGACGTATACTTATATGCTTGGGATATTTGAGAGCAACAATTTCCGGTAAGGAGGAGGGGTATGGCTCTTCTTCCGAGGCCCAGAATGGATGCGATTCAGGTAACGCCAACGGAATAAAGGAGAGACAGCACCAATATGGAGATCCAGGCGAGTTATAGTTCTCAGTCAGGTACATATTCGCATATGAATAGCCAAGATTGAGAGTGCCGTCATTGTTGAAAATGTCTTCTTGTGTCGCCCACCAGCGGAAGTTCCGTAATAATAGTCCCTTAACTACACCCCAGGTCAATGGTCCTGGCAGTTCCACATCTGCGAAGCCCAGAGCTCCCCAGAATCCAACCATGGCGAAGCGATAGGTTAGAGATCGGCCGAACGGTATGGCCCGACCTAAAGTATCGAGCATCTTCAGTTAGCATTTTAGATACCTTATTAACTTCACAATGAAACATACCGTCTGGGTTGAAGTAGTACACGAAATCCTTCGCAAACTCCTTGGCTCGCTCACGATATCTCTCAGCTCTCTCGGGATCGAAATCGCCAGCCAGCTTTGAATAGAGCAACTGCAAGAATTGAATAGCGAAAGAACCCGAGTAATAGTCCATCTGATGATGACTTTTAGGCCCATCATTGCTCCAGCCTCCACCGACATGGAAAGTATCCAAATGATCCATATCGGCTTCGATGCGTGCAAGAGAGTAAGAAGCACCATTCTTCCGTAGACCTAGATTCGCGAAGACCCGAAACCAAAGCCTGCAAAGAGAAAAGAAACTAAAATCAGCTAGGTCCGATATCATGTCATACCGAGGATGGTAACATACCAATTTGTATTAGGCATTTCCCGTGCATTGATACTCGCAAGCCAATTAGTCACATTATCCTTCTGGGCCTGCGTCAACGGCTCCCAAAAGACATGCGGCGCAACAGCAAGTGTGAATCCAATAGGACACATCTCAACCATACGCTGATCCGAATCTTCTATATTACCCCAAAATTCAACATGGTCCGGATCAGTGCCGTTTATGATTCCTTCGCGCCAGCGCGCAGCCTCGACGTAGTCATAATTTCCCGCAAGCAGAGATGCCAGAGCCCAGAGTGGTCGTGCATAGCCCTCGATTTGGGCGCCGCCCTCGTCGAAGCGGGTTGTTGAGGTTCCGATTTTCACGCGACTGCCACCTGGAGTAAAGAGGGGAAGTAAAGGGTCCAATAGTGCGCGGCATGCAGCTTGCAGATCCGCACGGGTGCGAAAGGGTGAGTTGCTGAAGGCCTGTGAGGGCGTACTTCCGTTTGCTTGGATAGACATTATACAGAATACTTGGGCTTTTCAATTTTAGAAATTATTCCCAGTATACTAACCTTCAAGTTAATCACGGGGCCTGGAGAGTTTGGCTATATATAACAAGCTCGATCGGAGTATTTCCCCGAAATCCGACGTGGGAGAATAGCCTCTAGGGCTCGCCTGATCTAGTGAGCCCCCACGCTAATTATGTAGTAGCGCACCTTGGACAGGAACCAAACTCGGCTCATTGAGTTCAGAAGAAGCATAGTCTCATCTTGGTTGGTGGGTGTTTATTCTACCATATTCCGGCTAAAAGTCTATCCTGGCAAAACCGGGTGATTTGTAGGGTCCGCGGGGTATGCGATGTCACGTTTCCCCGCATTTAGTATTACTTGAAGAATGGCTTCTCGAAGTCGATGAGTTCGTTATTCTGGTTTTTTCTCTAGGTATTGCATTTTGATCAGTTGTCCAGTAAAAATCTTGTGTTACGGTTCCTTATAGTTGTCGTAGGAGGGGAGTCCCTACGTTTCCAACACTGGCTAACCTCCCATCGATTGCTTCTTTATAGTGCGTTTGGCTTGTTGGTTCCCCTCATTACCCGAACACACCACACATAATAAAACACAATCAACTCCCATCCATAATATGAAAACCAAAGCATCATTTATCAACCTAAGAAGGAAGCACCTTCGAGGCAATCGGTAGACTTGGCAAAATTATTGGAAGTACATTTCTCATGTTCTTTCGGTCCCCGGGACGATCCACCAAGGTTGAAAAAAGAAGCTCAATTGAATAAAAAGGAAATATTATGATTGTTATTATTGAGACACCTCGGGGAGGATGGTAGGATGTTGCAACGAGAGGCTTGTGTTTTTGAGGTTTGAGGCAAGATCCGTGCCACTGCCCTTTAATTATTTCCTTCCGAGCTTTGTTTGTATTCTTGATTGGCGCCATGGCCAGCACCACTGATATCGCCCTTGCCACCTCGTAGCCACAAAACGCCGAGTCCGGCAACGGCCAAGACTGAGGCTATGATCAGTCTACGGTACAGCCTTCTGGTCAGCCTATGTTGCATTTGTGTGAAGTTGGTGAATGTATCCGAGTGCTTACCGCCGCTGGCCGCCTGGCTCTACCTCCTTTGCCTTCTCGTCGATAGAGTAGCTCCTCCGAGTACTAAGAGTTGGAACGGGGAAGCAAGCTCTCGTAACTGCCGGTTGCAATGGATTTGCTGCTAGCCGGCGCATTGATAATGTCCGAATGGAAATAGTTTGCACCATGTTGAGTAGAGGGAAAAGTGAGCACTTTATCAAAATAGTTCAGATGAGGGATGTGAGGCCAAGCCTTCGGAAAATGGAGTTGATAGAATATGCCCCCACATTACAGCAGCTACGAGAATATTTCTTATAAATGGCGAAACCCCACATGACGAGTTCCGGGGAGCAGATGTGGAGCAAACGCGCTCTGCAGAAAAGTTACATCATGAGGCAAGAAAGAAGTATCGCCTCATAAAACAAGAAACAACTCTTTGCTTAAGGGCTTGAGACGTCAGTAAAAGGTCAAGATTAAGCAGATGACTGAAAAGATCGGCACGCAGCAATCTTGGAGTTTCTTTTCCAAGTTTTGCGCTACTCATGTATGATCGGAGCGGATTGGCAAGCAACGCTGCAATGCTCGACCATCAGCTATTGAGATCGTAAGGGTGATTCTCACGCGGAGGATCCGGCTGCTCAAGGCGTTAGTCACCAAAGCCTAGAGTTGGAGTATCCTGGTCCGTTTCAACATATGTACTAAGTATCGGCTTCGGAAGCCTCCAATCAAGGGTCAGAGAGAAGAAGAAGACCGATTCAGCGAAAGAGGGCCATAACAAGTCAAAGACTCGCACCAAACAGGAATTGAATGTCTAGTGGCCAGAAATATTCCTGCTCTCCAATTTTCGCTGTTAATGACTTATTCCAGCTCAATCTTGCTTTTTGTATTGGAAAAGGTTGGGTTCGGAGTGATCAGGGTACGGTCACCTGACGTCATTCATTGTCATAGGCGGGGGAACGTTAATTGTATTCTGCATTATATTAGCTTCATATTCATGTTATCTTACGAACACACTGCAGTTCTTTCTCTTCAATAACACTCCTAAATACATCATCATGCCTCAATCTCCGATAAGTGGTGGTCGTCACGACTCTAAGGTCGCTGATAGACTCGATGCTCAAAACAGCAACGTTAAAAGTGCGATTTGCCTAGTTCTTTCTCAATATCCCTACCCGGTGCAAGAAATGAAATTTAATAAATAATCCAGGTCACGGAAGCCCATCAGAAACAAACTCTGAATCTCAGCAGCATCAACGCAATGACAGTAGCCCTCACAATAAAGAGCAGAGAGCAGATTCGATGGATAATGGGAACCGCCGCGAAGACATTTGCGCAAGTAATCGCTTCATGCCTCAATCTGGAAAACCCGCGGGAATTCTTAACACCTCAGAGGAGAAAGACGACCAGCCTCGCGAAGATATTGCTGCCAGTAATCGCTTCATGCCCCAGGCTGGAAAGCCGACAGGGACATCGACACTTTGATAGAGAAAAATCTTGTAACGACTTACTCTTTTTCTCTAGAAGAGTGGCTTCATCTTTCAAATTTTAACCCTTGTACTGATGGTTGATCTGATGTGAGGCTGGTGCATATCAGGAAAAATGCCACACCGTCAGGAATAGCGTCCAATCTGTCTATGCGGGGAATACATGATTTTTAATCAATCATGTTGATCTTATTGAATATGTACAATTTACCAACTTCCCTGGATTAATGTTACTCAATCAATTCTTCCGTCTGAAATGAGCCAACGTGATATAAATTTATCTAATAAAATCACCCTAGAAGATAAATCAGGATTATATCAGGGAGAAGTTAAATATTTCATTCTGTCAAAAAACCAAGGTGACAATAATGATAAAAGTTTTCACTCTGACATTCTATAATAACTATGATTTGTACATAGACCTTTGTTGATAGAGTTTTAGTCACATATTTGGTAGCATCAAGATCCCCTTCAAAATATTGTGGCGTGAATTAAACTATCACTCTTATAGTTTTATTTCGCAAACTGTGCCTCTCTACCTTTAGCCATTGACAATGACACCACCATTTGGATGAAGACTCTGTCCAGAGATGAGACTGCTATCCTGGCTCGCAAGAAACACGAAACACGTCGCTATTTCACTAGGTTGACCTGGTCTACCCATCGGAGAAGTGAATTGCTCCTGAGCAGAAGTATTCATAGTCGCGGGGATTAGAGGAGTCCACACTAATGAATGTCAGAGATCCTAAACTTGGTAGCTATGTGGCATGATATTAGTACTTACCAGGTCCAGGACACACGGCGTTAACCCGAATGCCATTCTTGATCTGTTGATTCGACAGACCTCGAGTAAACGAGATGAGCGCACCCTTGGTTGATGTGTAATCAAGAAGGTCTGGTCGTCCAATATAAGCGTTTATAGAGGCGCAGTTGATGATGGAGGAGCCGTTCTTGAGGTGCGGCAGAGTGTACTTTGAGAGGTAGAAAACCGAGTCGATGTTCGTGGCGAATGTTTCTTCCCATTGATCCCTGTTATTTTGTAAGCGCCTGGATTTAAGAAATTCTTCCGATCAGCCTACTCTGTCAAATCTTTGATGTCCTCGATCATATTCTGAGTTCCGGCATTGTTGACGAGAATATCAATTCCTCCCAAGGATTCCAAAGCCTTATCAACAACTTTCTTGCAATTACTGCTTTCACGCAGATCTAATGCGATCGTATAGCATTTCTGACCGTACTCCTCGACGAGTCGTACGGTCTCCCTACCATCTGACTCTTCTTCAGGCAAATATGTGATCAAGCTAGAGGCGCCTTCCATTGCGTAAAGTATCGCAATCGCGCGACCGATGCCTGAATCACCACCAGTGATAATTGCCCTTTTCCCATTCAGCTTACCAGCCGCTTTATACGTCTGGTATCCATTGTCTTCTGTCGGGAGCTGGGTGTTTGTTGGCTTTGGGTCTGCAAGTTCCTGTTGTAGACCAGGCTTTTGAAGGTGTTGGATAGCAACCCTGTGGCCTATCAAATGCTTAACAAATTATTTTGACTATAATTCCTCTCAGAATACATAGGCCGATTCGTAACATACCTTGCTCAAATTGAGACTGGGGTTTTTGCGCGCCGCGTTGAGTTTCCTGCTGCATGGTGATAGTGTTTGGTGAGAAAAAGGAACTGTGCCATTCTCAAAGCTTTTCGCAATTTAAGCGTATCCTATATGCAACTTGCTTCTGTCAGTATGACGTGGAGAATTGCTAAACCAGGCGATAAAATATCTTGAGTACTTCGACCATCAAACTTGTCATCGGCATTTTTGCACAACATGGAATGTCGCGGGCCAGCGAATCAGCGACCGTGAGAAAAACCGGAATGGACCGCATAAAAAGTCAAAGACCGAAGATGCGGCTCCCGCATGACGAATAATGAAGTCAATCTTTCAATGAACTTTTAGCTATGATTCTAGCCCTTCCTTCAGATAAAATCATGTTCTTACTTGAGACCTCGTGTCCCATTGTTATCTATACCACTTTTCCGCGGTTTATTTTTCAATTATGGCAGACGGCGTCATACAACTTCAATGCGAGTGCAAGGTACGACAACTCGAGATTCAATTATGTATCAAGTAGGCTCACTGTTCCGCTTTAGCATGATCCATGGGGTAAGAAAGGCCATGAATCTCTCGCTGGTCGTTTGTGGTCACAGATGCCCGGCGCAAGCCCGCTAGATGATTCAGAAACTTACTCGGAGGTTTGTACTTGAAGCGAATCATTATCACTCACTTTTGGGAGAGACACTTATTTTCAAGTAATAGATGTGGATGGGTACGTACCCTTCTGTGCCGTCTCGACTTGCTTCAAGCGGCGAGCTGCTTTCCGACCATGTGAAGAGGAACCCCAGCCTACTTGGGGAGACATATTGTAAGAGATACAGAAGAGAAATACCATTTCTGCCAAAGGTAGGGGCGTATATCCTCATTCGTGATTTAGTGATGTCGGACTAACAATAATCAAATCAGATTCTCTCTTTTGCGAAGGCCCTGCCACTGCAGCTACATCCCGACAAAAAATTGGCCGAGCAACTCCACGCGCAAGACCCCATTAAGTTTGGGGATACCAATCATAAGCCTGAGATTGCAGTCGCGTTGACTAGATTTGAACTATTTGTCGGCTTTAAGCCCATTGGAGAGCTCGCGGACATATTGAGTCTGGGTCCCCTCCAGGCAATCTTGGCCCCGCATGACAATGTCAATGAGGCAATTTTGAGAGAGGTCTGTCGAACTCTGCTGCAACTTTCGTCGAACACAGTTTCGGACGTTGTCAAAAATCTGAAAGCCATTCCTCAATCAGAACTCGGAGAGAGATATCAGTACATCCCCAATCTTTTGGAAAGATTAAGCGAACAATATTCGGATTCCGACAATGGACTTCTAGTCGCCTCACTGCTGATGAATTTCATGACATTGGAGCCAGGCCAGGCTGTGTGTGTGCCAGCAGATAGTATCCATGCCTGGTTATCAGGGGATATTCTTGAATGCATGGCGCGATCAGACAATGTCTTGAACACGGGTTTCTGCCCTCGCGCCAGCAGAGACAACATTGACCTGTTCACATCGGCTCTGACTTTTAAGCCACATGACCAAGAGACTGCACTGTTGCCAGCTCGTCCAAGCTTGATGGGAATCAACGAGAAGACTGTCAAATACACGCCCCCGTTCAGTGAATTCAACGTTCTAGCTACGAACTTGGCTGCAACAGAATCGGAGACTCATACCGATTTGCAAGCCCCTAGCATCCTAGTTGTGACTGAGGGATCAGGAACAATGAAGATCCTCGGGGACGGGAAAACTTTGAATTTGGGTGAAGGAAGTGTGTTTTTTGCTGGTCCAGACGCCAAGTTGCAGTTTGCGACTGACAATGGTATTGTGATATATCGGGCTTATGCTACGCTTTAGAGAGAACATTTTGTACATCGAGAAACGAAAATCGGGAGTTGAATCTTAACGGTACAAATGTCTGACGATCAACTTTAACAATATTCTGTACATACTTCCTGCTCTTACTTTCAGATTGGGAGGAAATTTTCTAGTAAGAGACCTACTAGACATAGACAATTTGAAGAGTATATTTCATTCCATGGGTTTCACAACGCAATTTTATATAAGAAAGTAATGGAAATATTGGAAAACAAGTCTTTTTAGAGAGATCCTGCCGCAAGAACATAACCACCATCAACGGCAACGGTTTGTCCGCTCAGGTACTGATTTGTAGTCGCAAAAAGGATGGCACTGGCCATATCTTCTTCCTTTCCCGGTCGAGCTGCGGCAGTCTTTTGCTCATATTTTTCCTTCGGAATGAAGCTCTTTTGCTTCTCATCGCTGGCAGCTGTAGTCATCTCACTCGGGAAAACGCCAGGAGCAATATTGTTGACCCGAATTGGCAATCGTGAGGTCATGACCTCATGGGCTAGCATTTTGGTCAAATGAATGGCAGCAGCCTTGGAGGCATTGTATGCAAAGTGATGCTGGGAAACCTTGACAATCCCCGAGATGGAGGTTATATTGAGCACGGTACTGGACCATCCATGCTCCTGCTGAGAACCCTTCTCAAGTAGCGGAAGAAATGCGGTTGTCATGAAGAAGAGTTGAGAGACGTTTGTGCGGAAAGTGTCATCCCATGCATTGAGGTCGCCTGATTCATGCTCAAATAGATTCTGGCGGAGCTCTTCAGCACTCTCAGGCTCAGTATCTTGTGCACCTGTGGAAATCCCAGCATTATTGATCAAAATGGAGAGAAATTGCTCGCGCGAGTTGATTTCCTTCACAAGCTTGTCAATTGATGCTTTATCGGTAACATCGGCGGTGATGGGAATTATTTGACCAGGTATATTTTGGTTGTAGAGTTCGGCGACCTTGTCAAGTTTTTCCTGTGTCCGGCCAGTAATATACACCTTTGCGCCATTCACAGCAAGTGCCTGAGCGGCCATGAGACCGATTCCCGAGCCACCACCGGAGATTAGGGCGACTACTTCAATTAGCTCCCATCTTGAAATTCGGAATTTCTTTCACGCTACCTTTATCCTTAACATTGAATAGGTTTCCTAGCTGAAATCTTTTGTTGTTTTCCTGAGCCTCCATGGCGGCGGGTGATTTCCAATTGGTATGTCGGTAATTTCGTCGGTTACCAAGGATGTCGCTATATCGGATCCGGACACTTGTTGAAGAATTTGTGCCTGTAAATATTCGACTAGATTTATGTCTCCAAACAGTGTAACGTATGGATGGGAAAACACAGTATGACATGAGTGGTTAGAGGTAATTTATAAAGAGTTTCTCTGGAAGACAAAATTAAATTTCAATGATGACTATCCATTCATAAAACAGGCTCTGACTCCCAGAATATCGAAAATCCGGAATTTTGTATCGACTTTCCATGTTCTCAGCAGTCCTGTGAGTGACTAGATCAGAATGACGTTGATCGCTTGCTTACCTCATTCAAGTTACTGCCAGTGTCTACCCGACCACCTTGAAACCTTGGAAGGTCGTAATATCTACTAGTAGTAAGTAGTACGGAGTAGTTGGGCCCTGATAGTCAAGTAATAGGTACTTAATTTAACAGACAGAGAACTGGAGATATACTTTTTGTACTATAACTTGTAGATTGTATGTCTGAGTATATTTAGATTTGCATTCTATTTACTCCAGCCTTATACGACCGGAATATGGAAGGATATAACAGATAGTAACTTCATGACACACTTTTACCACAACACTCAACGGATCTTGTACACACATGGCTTCAAAACCTGTGCCTCTTGCTCGGGCGTCATGCCATTATCCGACGTACGGTCGACAAAGCGCTTCTTGGTTCCAGGAGCCGGAGCACTCAGCCCTGTGGCGTGTTTACCCTTGGTCGGGGCACCTCCTCCCTTCACAAATTCCATCTTGACAAACATCTTGTTAGACTTGTCGACGGATTCCTCGCGAAGAACGAAACCACGGGACCGGAAAACCTCGACAAACGCCGAGATATCCGTATCGTCGTTTTGATTGGCTGGGCGGGCATCTTCAGCGTAGATATCTTCTTCCTCTAGATCGGATTCGTTACCTCCCTTCTTCTTCTGTTTCTTTTGGTCGGCCTTGCTGAGCGGCTTCACGGCTCCGATTTGGGCCTTCTTGCGGGTAACTTTGCCGAATCGACTCTTCACCTCACTGACCCAGCACTCGCCCTTGCCATCGCCGCGCAGCACACGCCAGGCTTCTTCGACGAAGGAGACCCAGTTGGTTCCCATCAGACTGAGACAGAAGATCGCAACGTCGGCGGAGCCATCTTCCATTGGCAGGTTGGAGATATCCGCTTTCGTGATAAGTGGGTCGGGGGACTGGAGATCATAGCTGTTGAGCCTCAGGTTCAACCTTCTCTTGGAGGGGGTCAATGTGCGAGCAAGGAGGCCGTCACCACAGCCCAAGTCGACAACTGTGCATGCGCCATTGGGTCGGCGGGGCATAGGCAGAGCCCGGTTTGCTTGAGGCTTCTGGCCCCTCTTGGGGACAGGGACCGCAGCCCGACGCCGAACGGTCTGGATATAACCATCGACGGGGTTGGAAGGCCAGGACTCCTTCACCTGGCGAGAGAATCCAGCGTGATATTCATCGAAAAGCTCCGGGTTCGCATTGAACAGCTCGACGGCCTTGGAAGAATCCGTTGTGTAGAGGGTTTCATTCAGGTGGCGGAAACGAGAGGAAACCAACTTCTGGCGCATGGCTTGCTGAAGAGGTGTAAGCGTCGCCGTAGTTTCCGGGGGCGGCGCAAGCGAATCCAAAGCCGCAGCGGTCTCCTTAGAGGGGGCTGTTGCAGCGTCCTTGTTGTCTGCTTGGTTCTCATTGTCCTTCTTCTTCTTGTTCTTCTTCTGCTTCTTTGTTTGCTTTCCCTCATCTTGCGCGGTCTCGTCGGCGATGGGCTTCACGGCTTCGGATTCGGCTTCGGCATTGGCTTCATCTGTCGTTTTCGGGGAGGGGGCAGGAGCTTGCTTGTCATCCTTGCGTTTTTTATCGTTGGCAGGCTTGCGAGCGGACTTCTCGATATGCCTGCGATACATATCATCGACATTGCCGGCGGTAACACGGTCATTCCCACGCTTGCGCTTCTTGTTCTTCGCATTTGTTGGGGCATCCTTGCCTGCTTGCGACTCATTTTGGGCTGGGGGCGCCTGCGCGGTCTGTGACTTTAGCGCAGAGCTGGCGACCGACCATCCTGGGACGGCGAACATGGTGTTGATGGTGGTGATCAAGAGGAAAGTAGATATTACCTCTACTGTTCTCTTATCCTGGTGGTAATAAATGGTCTGCACCAGGGTTGTCTGAGGATGTTGAAGTTCGGGGAGCAACTTTTTTTTTTTCTCCGGCGGGCAGCTCCGCAAAATTTCAGCCGGTAATTGGATTACATATTTACAGTATTGTATCTTTGACACCCCCGACAAAATGCCATTCCCCCTTGGAAACTTCAATTTTCAGCCTCGAGATCGCCTTTCGTATCTGAGAGTTTCAGATGGATCCAATTTCAATTTTATTTCTTCGTGTCCCGCGTTCTCGGCTGATTTTACGCTGAATGAAGCCCCCTTGTTACCGCCATGTGGGAGGTCAGCCATGCGCGATTAAAGGAACCCTGCACGGCACGACCCTGAGGAATCGCACTCAGGTATTTAAGCTTTGTGCCTTGTACGAGTAGTGGGTAATGCAGTGAGCGATAGGTCAGCCCGCAGGTCAGATCGTGTTCCAAGTTGGCTGGTCTGGATTGATATAGAGAAAGGGGGTGGTAGCGGAGCAGGGGAGATAGTTATCTAAGGATCTGTACGCAGTATGCCCAGCATACCACCTACACCTACTACAGACAAAGTACGCAGAGTACAGAGTACAGACTACAGCGTACACTATAATTGTCAAGTACTTCAGTCACACGGGTGATCTGCGATGCTCGGCAGCGTTGCCCGTTTTGTGGAGATCAAATCCAGACTCACCTTAATAGCGCCCTAACTTATAACCTTTTGCCTTTGCCTTTGTGCCCCGAGCTTCCTTCTCTCCCTCTCCCTCTCTCTCCTCCCTCCCCCTCTTCCCCACTATGCCTTCTTATCAGCTATACTCTCAATCATCCTGACGAGAGAATCCTACTCTTCCAACAACATGCAACCACCGGACGTGGGGCTACCCGACGCTGACAGCCCTGACCCTATCGAGGCGGAAGCACCGAGGAATCCGGGCCCCCGCAGACACCCGAAGAAACGAACCAAAACTGGTTGTTTAAGTATGCCCCCAGATTCCTATTTCTATTTGTGCGATCAGAATATTCTAACCCGCTGAAGCCTGTAGGAAACGTCGTATTAAATGCGGCGAAGAGAAGCCAATATGTAGCAACTGCGTCAAATCCAAGCGGATTTGTGAGGGCTACGCCCAAAGAGTGATCTTCAAGAATCCCATGGGCATCTTCGGCGCCTATGGCCCTCCTCACAGCAGCCAAGATCTCCAGATGCAGCAGCAGATGCGAGTCCCCATATTCAATGACTATCCTTTACCTGCTCAACAGGCTGCGGCAGCTGCCCAACATCCCATGCTGGCGCCACGGCCCGTGGATGTGACAGCCACAGGTTATCAAGCTATGCAGCCATCTGAGACATCCCCACCAGAGCGGGCACCACCTGCCACTGCACCGCAGTTCTATTATCCCACGCCACCAGTACAGCTACCCCCTCAATCATGGCCAGTACAGACTGCAGAGGAAAATCGGCGGGCCTCTGAACCTCAAGAACCGACGGACTATTCACATACACAGTCCCAGCCCCAGTCCCAGTCCCAGCTCCAGCCCCAGCCTCAGTCTCAGCCTCAGTCTCAGCCTCAGTCGCGATCGCAGTCACTGTCGGAGTCGGAGTCGCATCCTATTAATTTAACAGAAAACTACGACCATTACGATGAACAAAAACTCCCAGCCCAGTATTTACAGCCAACCGCCAACTGGCAGAATTTCCCAACATCCCAAGATTACGCCGCCCAGTATGCATCTCAGCTGGCTAGCGAATCGGCAGTGAACAAGAGTAATGAAAACCCATTATTCCCATTGGTATGTCTCTATGTCTTCCTCTGACCCTAGGCATAACTTAGTCTATAAATGCTAATCGAGGCTATAGCCCATCCAGCAATCGGCTTCTAGATATCAGTATCAGTATCCGCAGCAGCAGCAGCCGGGACAAGCGGCTTCGCAGCTCACTACGGCGGAGCCATTCATTCCTGCCTCTCAACCACAGGTAACCTATGTGGAAGATGAAGAGGAAGATTACTACGATGTAGATTCCGACGACGAAATGGCGGATCAGATACAGAGCGAAGGCTTCAATCAACTGAGTCTCATCATGGCCTCTGCAAATAATGATAGCCAGCTTCGTTCTTTCACCAGTCACCTCAACGAGCCGAATATTCTTGCTAATTATCGCCCCTCGCTCGGATCATCCCCACTGAATAATCCCAAGACGGCCCGTATCTTTGCGCACTTCATCCACTCAACCGGGCCATGTCTATCTATATTTGAGCGGCATGCGACCGACTCGTCGATTGTTTTGGGAGTACAGGTTCCCCTTGCCCAACAGGGTCTTTGGACATATACCCTCCCCCTCAAGGCCTTGGAGCATCCTGCGCTACTCCAAGCTATTCTCGCGATCAGCAGTTTGCACATCGCGTATCTCCAAGGAGTACCCTCGACCGTCTCTTTGAAGCACTACCATTATGCATTGAAACGAATTGGTCGTGCGGTTAGTCTCCCAATGCGGCGCAAGCAAATCGGCACCTTGGCTGCCACGCAGCTGCTTGCGTACTATGAAGTTATATCAGCCGATCACTCTAAATGGAATAGTCACGTTGCGGGCGCTGCTCAACTAGTTAAAGAAATCGACTTTGCAGGTACAACTCGAGATCTCCGATCATACAGACGTCAAATCAGTGAGCAACGGCAGCATATGAGGTGGTCAACCCCGCAGATGTATCCTTTTGACTTCGATAACGACGGATCTGAGGATGATCCCTTTGCCGAGAAAGAATCCTCCGTCGACCAAGCATTCTTAAGTTCCATCCTAGGCCGGGCGGTTAATTACGACGAATTTGGCTGTGTCGAAAATGAACAGGCCCAATCTCCCAAGAAGTTCTTTTCGCGCAAAGATATCGAAAACTTCCGGCTCCAGTGCGACCTATATTGGTGGTTCACCAAACAAGATCTCATGCACAGTCTAGTCAGTGGCGAGAAATTATTGTAAGTTCTGACACTCGTTTAGTTGGAATGGACTCTCGCTAATGGAAACTCTAGCATGCCCTTTTATTTGAAAAGCCAATGTCCACCCCGCGCTGGCATCGGCCGGTTAGACGCCATTTATGGATCGGCCGATCACCTTTGGCTTCTGCTTTCGCGCATCACGGACTTTGGTTATCGAGATCGAAAACGAAAGTTGAAGGCACTTCGTGTTGCTGGTACGGAATGGAGACCGGGTCCTGGGATGTTCAAATTTATGGGCCGTTTTGCTGGTGGTGGTCCAAACAAAAGACCCGGCCCTCCTGGAAGACCCCCAGGACCCCCAGGGCCCCCTGGGCCTCCCTCATCTACGTCTTCATTTTCGAACACTGGTCCTGGCTCCGGCTCCGGCTCTGCATCCGAGTCACCTCCGGAGTCTTTACAAAGGGGACCTCCACCCCAGCCAGCTGCGCCAGAAGGTCTTCCTATGTATGGCATGATACCACCCAGACCTCCGACTCGTCTGCCAGCTGGCTTCGTAGACGGCCGGCAAGAGCGACGCGAATCGTCAGAAGAGGCAGATGAGCATGAAATGTCGAGTCAAAGGGCGGTCGAAGAGAAATATAATGAAGCGGAGCAGGAATGGGAGGATATCTTGACAGCACTCGACACCTTCGCCCGAGGACTCGGACGAGATTACCAGCCGCTACCAGCCGACGTAACACCCTCGATCTCGACCCCATTCGGCACTGCCTTGCAATACCGTACGCACACGATCGCGGTGATATGGGGATTTTACTACACGGGTCGCATCTTGCTGCAGCGACTTCACCCATCGATGCCACCGGCCATGATGATGGCTGCCGGGGTGGCTGCACCAACGACAGCAGAATATGCACAGATTATCGGCCGGATCACAGCAGGCATCTACTACCCGCAGCGATACAACCTGCAGGCTGGCAGCCTGAGCCCCACCCTTGGGTCCTCCCTTACAGAGATGACAGTGCCGATCTTTTTCGCGGCGGTGCAGTATACCGATTCGACACAGCGTGGCTGGACGATAGCCAAGCTCCGCGACATCTCTCGACTAACGGGATGGAAAACCTCGGACGCTATCGCCAGTGGCTGTGAGAAGTCATGGATTGTGGCGGCCAAACATGGGCGCGGTCCGCCGTATCAGCGATCCTTTGAGACATATCGGGATCGGGATTCCCAAGTAAGTGAGATCATACCCAATGGATTTTGATCTGGACTAACCCCTCCACCTCGATAGGATGTACTTTCTCGAGACTTGGGGGCGCAGCAGAGTGATGAGCGACGATTTGTGACAGTGGAACCGACTGATCGGGCATATCGGGCTATGGGGCTGCTTAGTTTAGAGGAGGACATGCAAAGTCTGGAAGTGTAAGAGTAGTACAGACTCGCACTAGATTCATAACCGTTAGTCAGTTGAGGCTGGTGAGAACTAGACATGTAAATGTTTAGTCTAGTCTTTTCATCAGCCACAGTTACTCCACTTTGGTCTCAACTCGAATGTCATCATAGGCTTCTGCCTGACGCAGACCCCTCTAAGGCTGAACACTAGCTTCTTCTTTCAGCTGTAGTCTGTGTCCTCGGTGTCCATCTTGCACTTGCACTTTTGCCTCCTTTCACACCTTTCTGTCCCTCGTCCCTCGACTCGCCCCGTGGTTCCCAGTTCCCAGTTCCCCCCTTTCCCCCCACCTTCGGCCCGCCAAAGTCAGCCGCCCTCGTCATCCACGGTTCAACCCCGTCATCCGAGTCCTTTGTTTAGGATTTCTCGTGATTTCCAGATATGTCGTCGCGCTACGATGATTACCGTTCTTCGACAGGCACTCTAGACTCTCGCGATCGTCACGACCGCTACTCGCGCGGTCCGCCTGTTGCTGAGCGAGAGCGCTCTCGAGAGCGATCTCGCTTCCGCGAAGAAGACCGCTTTGAATCCCGTCTCCGTGAAGATGACCGATATGGCCCCCCGGCGCGCGCAGCAGGTCGATATTACGAGGATGAGCACCTGTCCCATCCTTCTGCTTCTGGCCCCTTAGTGGCGCCTGACCGTCGCCGTCGTCGTGATGAGAGCCCCTCATTCACTAAGCCCCGTCTACTTAGGCGCCAGTCGTCCCTCGATACCTTTGATCGCATCCCTCGCCGCAAGATGGAAGCTTTTGATCGTGCTCCTCCCCGCATGCCCCCACCTCCGGCACATCGCCCTTCACCCGGGCGATATCGTGAACGTGAGGTCTATGAGGACATCCGCATCGCCGAACCGGACTACTACGGTGACGAAGAGTTTCGAGAATTCGATGATAGAGAGAGAATGATGATGGATCGCCGTCATCGACGTTCGAGCAGTGGTGCTCGTCACCGTCATGAAGAGAAGCCATACCCACGCAAAGGCAAGACCCGCATTCCTCGGAAATGGGTGCATGTCCACGCTATCTTGGATCTGGGTTACCCATTCAAGGAGGAGGTAAGAAGGCTTCTCGATGGCAGATTGCATGAATACGCTATGGTGCCACAGATCTCATGCTAATCTTGATATACTGCATCGCTAGGACGAGACCATCATTATTCAGAAAGCATTGTCTAAGGAGCAAATCGACGAAGTGATCAGTCTCAGCAAATCCTTCCGCCGTCCAGCCCACACAGAAAGTAGGTTACTTTTCCTTTCTCGGGGTTCCCTTTGGGAAAATCCAATGATGGCTGACCAGTACACAGCTGAATATCTCCGTATCCCTCGATCCCCGGTTCGACAACTGCCGCCGGAGCGTGTCACCACCGAGTATCTCGAGGTCGACAGTCACACCACTCGTTCTCATCACCACTCGCCCCGCTCGAGCCATGACGCCTTCATCGTCGAAGCCTCGCCATCGCGCCGCGAGGATATAGAGTACGAAGAAATCGTCGAGCGACCCCGGCCTCGACCTCGCGCTGTCTCTCGGCCCCGATCTATTTCCGTGCATGGACGCCGTCGAGCGGTGTCTTCAGTACAGTTGGTTGAACCTCGAGGTCACTTTGAGGAACGAATCGAGTCTCGACCACACTCTGGTCAGATGATGGTTGTCCGTCCTCGGGATGGTGATTACGAAGTCGACTCATATATTCGTGAGCTAGAAGAAGAAACGAGATTGTTGCGACTCGAGCGCCAGGGTGGTATTGAGATCACGCGACAACGTGAAACTGATACCATTGACAACAGAGGCAACGCGGAGGAGAAGATTGAGGTTAACAGATCCGAGCGTAAAGGTATGTATCTACCTTCCACTTCCAATCGTAGATACAGTTCCTTATTGACATATTAATCCAGAACCCAATTCTCGGGTGATGCGCGCTATGTTTGCTACTCTGACATGATACTCCATTTCTCATTTCTTCCTACTTTTTACTATTTATTTTATTTCCACTTTTTACGACTACGTGTTCTTGCTGGGAGTCCGGCGACGCTTAGGACGAACGGGATGATTCTGACGATCTGGACGGATTACTATGCATTTTGTGGCTCTTTTCCCTACATGTACTTATTACCTCATTTTCACCGTTTCTTTGATAACCCTGCGCCACTTTACCCTGCGTATGGCGCACCTCCAAGTAAATCTAGAATGCATCGCTGCCTGGGAACCTGATGAGTGGCGGTGCGCGGTGGGGCGGTGCAGCGGCAGCGGGTGGCCATCGCACCTTCGTAGCTCCAAATGGTCGACGACGTCCTATCATCCTTCCAGACTCTCATTTCCCCCCTCCAACTCTTCACTCCCTAAAACCGCAATCATGGATCGAGTGCAGGCATTCGGCAAGACCTTCAGGTGAGCACCGCCATTCCCTAATCAGCCTCCGCTGAGACACCCCTCTCCTTACCCAACGGGGCCCCCAATCTCCTATATTCTGCACAAGGATCCTTGGCTGACACTGACTTATCTGTCGTTTTCGCGAATAGTGCGAACTTCACGCCCTTCGCGCAGCGCACCCAGCAGCTTATCAAGGAGCAACTGGGCCAGGCCGAAGACCGAACCCAGCTCCCCGATGAGTACATCGAGCTTGAGAAGCGCGTCGATGCGCTCAAGCTGGTTCACCAGAAGCTGCTTTCCGTGACGTGAGTTTCTTCTCCCTGTCCGTGCAAAGAAAGAGCACCGTGCAATGCAAAGCCCGTGCAGGACCTACGCTCTGTCCTGTCCATCACCCCCTCCAAGAAACTCTCCGCTGACCGGTGTGGGTCGTCCGATCTGCGACAACAGCTCCCAATACTCCAACGAAGCCTACGATTACCCACCCAACATTCGCGAGTCCTTCAATGACCTGGGCCGCACCATCAACGAGAAGGTTACCCTCCTTTCGCAGGCTGGTTCCCCCGCCGAGGCCCAGGCCGCCCTGACCGCACCCCCCCTCCGCGAAGCCGCAGCCCAAGACCTTCAACCACGCCATCGCGCGCGCCTCGCTCGCCGGCTCCCAGACCCTGGCACAGAGCAGTGAGGGTGAGGACCCGCTCGCCACTGCGCTGGAGAAGTATGCTCTGGCCGAGGAGAAGGTCGGCGAGGCCCGTTTGGGCCAGGATTCTCAGATCCAGTCTCGTTTCCTCGCTGGCTGGAACACTACCCTTAACACCAACTTGATGTTCGCTGCTAAGGCCCGCAAGAATGTCGAGAATGCCCGCCTGACGCTTGACTCTGTTAAGGCTTCTAAGAAGGCTGCTGCCTACGGTGACCTGGACAACTTGAGCGAGGATGCCCGCCAGGAGATCGAGCAGGCTGAGGATGACTTTGTTGGTCAGACTGAGGAAGCTGTTAGCGTGATGAAAAACGTATGTTGCTTTAATCTCTTCCCTTACCCATGCCTTTTCTTATAATACGGAAGAACAATTGGTCGTCCCCCCACCCAATACTAACGTCGACCCCTTACTCCAGGTCCTTGATACCCCCGAGCCCCTTCGCAACCTGGCCGATCTGATCGCCGCCCAGCTGGAGTTCCACAAGAAGGCCTACGAAATCCTCAGCGAGCTTGCCCCCACTGTGGATGCTCTGCAGGTCGAGCAAGAGGTACAAGAGCCCTCTCCACACTCGTCATAAACATAAAGCTTGATGTGTATCTAACTTTTGGTTTCAGGCCAGCTACCGCAAGAGCCGTGAAGGTGCTTAAATGTAGTTCTCTGCGTCTTTTACGTTCCTATTCTCCCCCCGAGCCGCGGGTTAAGACCGGCTCGTAGCCTTAAACTGTATCTACCCCCTTTTTGCTGTGTTATTGCCCGGGGCCACCTTGAATTCTTTTTTTTTCTGTCCCGATATTTGAATCAGTGAGATAATATTGGAAGTACGAACTATGCTTATTGTCAAAGAATGCGGTTGTGCCAGTATCTCGTATCGATAATTGTAAACACTCCACTTGTATAGTAAAGTGGAAGCCGAGAGTGACCGCCCTGACACCTCAGGCCACAAGGTCCCGCTAGTTAGCTCCAGGAGCTCCGAACATCAACGCCGCTCCAACTGCCAGCTCACCCTCGAAACCGACATTCCACCGGACCCTCACATTTCGCCGGTGAATATTCATTACGAAAAACACAGAGACCGAGTCGCCTCTCCCTCCAGTTTCCCCTGACCACTCGTTCAACGTACTGGGTTGCCGACTCCCGCCCATCTGGCCGCTACTTCCTCTCCGCATCATCACCATCGAGATACGCCTGTGCCTTTTCCAAGTTGCGATATCGCTGCTCTTCTCCGCCGAGAAACGATCATTAGAAGTCTACACTTTTGCCCGATCGACGGACCTACCCTGAATCGTTCTCGCGCCATCATCCTCGAATCCTCGAGACGGCACATCTTCGCGCAGTCCTGAATACCCTCGCTCTGCTCTCTTCCCTTGAAATCGCATCAGGTCTATAAATCAACCTGTGCACTCTCATATTTGATCCGATTGCTTCGAGACCCCGATCACCGCATCCCCAATAATTTGACTTCTTTTCCCGGGTTCCAGAACCTGAACCTGAAACATACACAAAATGGCGACCGGGTATGTTCTTCTTCCTCATACATAGACGCACGAATTGCCGAGATACTATTCTTCGGCGTTTATCCTTGCATTCCAAGATTCGAAAATCGCTGCAAAGTGAAAACCAGCCAATTGAACTGCGTTCTAACATCATCTCTAGCTGGAGTCTTCTCGTCGGCCTTATTGTCGTTGTGGCCGCTTCCGTGGCTGCTTGGTTCCTTTCTCCGAAGAACGAGAGCCGAACGTGAGTTCCTTCAGTTGCTTTCTTCTATTTCTGAACATACTCAAGCCTAAACGGGCGAACTAACCACTTTTTATCATCGTGCAGTGTCTGGCGCAGCACACTCATCCTCTCTTTCATTTCTTGTTACTTGATGTGGGGTACGTCACACATTCCCTTCTCTTCTTATCCCCTTTAAAGTCCCCTTCCAACCCCCAGAAAAAAGGGAAACAAAATCGTAAATGAACAAGAACTAACTGAACTTCCCCCAGCAATTGTCTTCCTCGCCCAATTGAACCCTCTCATCGCGCCAAAGCGCGCTGATATTCGTCCCGGGCATGTACCCAATTAAATTAAACCAAACCAAACCCAGCTAGCTAGAGCCAGCTAGCTTCTTATTTTTCCTGATTTGTTTCATATGGCTTTGAAGCTGAACTCTTGATATCGAATCGTCCCCTTTATCATTTTCGGGCCCCCGGGTTGCCTTTTTTTTTTTCTTTCTGGCTGGCTTTTTATGTCGCGTGTATCATGTATCAAATCCATCATGTTCATGTTCCAGTTTGAGGGGTATACATCTTGATATCGAAGTATATTCTCGCTGAAATTTCATGTCTTTTCTTTTTTGTTCCCGCCATAAGAGATTGTTTGTGGTGGAGTTACGGTCCACTGTTCAGCGATTTGTCTGAGTCGTATGTACTTGGGTTGCGGGTGTTTTGTATAGGTCAACTTGCAGTTCTATTTCCTTGGAAGGTTTATCGAGAAAAAATTTCATAGATAACTTCTTTGCCTCTTGGTATCTTGTTGTTATCAAGGTCTCATGATCACTAGTACTGCTACTACTAATAAGAGTACTCTTCTAGAGTCGAGTCGAAATACCGTGCATAACTTGAAGGAATTATTAATACATATTCATTAAGATCTATCTGCAAAGTCTTTACACAAACCCGACTCAACTCCAATCCGGCCTATACCATCACCAGACCCTAAAACTAAAATAGAATACCAAAGCCTATCCAACACCCACAGCACCAAGAATAACCCTCTGCACAGCCCACCTCGCAATCTGCCCGGCAACAGCAACAGCCACCGCACGCAGATACCCACAGCCCAATAGAATATAAAGAGCCTCGATATTACTCAGCAACACGAGATGGGCATCGACAACACCGAGCGAAAGCAACGACGCAAGAACATCGAATAAACTCGTGAGATAACTCGTCGGAACGTAGGGTCGAAGTAGTGACTCTGCGGCCGCGAGGGAAGATTCCAGGAATGAGGCTGAGGGTGAGGAGGAGGATGTAGAGACTCGGTCCCGGTCTGAAGAAAGCGCTGCTTTTGCGGCGCCGAGGTCTTTTCTTCCTGCTCCCGTTTCTTTTGCTGGGTTGTGGGTTGTGGTTTCTGAAGGTGTGTTGTTGCCTCGGCCGTCGGCGCCCCAGATTACCAGGAGGATTGGGAAGACTTTTGCGCAGCTGCTTACGAGTAAGGCGGTGCTTATTGCTGTTGGGCTGGCGGCTGTTGGTGGGGGGAGGGGTTGGATCATTTGGGGTGGTGCGGTTGAGGTTCGGCGGGAGGGGTGGTGGTGGGCGTTGTTGTTGGATTGTTTGGGTTAGGGGTGATGGGTCTGTTGGAGAGGTGAGGTCCGTGGAGGTTGAATTGGATGATATCTTTGCTGAAGTGGTTGTAGTCGGGCTTAGCAGCTGGGTAGATAGTGTTGGAATAAGCTGCGACGAGGGCGAGGGCCGCATGGTTGGGGTTGGAGGGCCGGAGGGGAAGGGGGTTGTGTCGCCGGTGCTTGTACCTGATGCAGGCGCGGTGGTAGTTGTGGTGGTGGCGTTGTTATTTGCTTCTGGTCCGCTATAGCGATGAGACTTTGGGACGAGAATTGAAGCGAGTAGGCGGACTGTTAAGTGGTGCGCGAGAGTCGCGGTTGCGTTGAGGGTCAGGAAGAAGAGATATTGTACGACGATGGGGGCGCGGGATATGAAGGTTGTGGCGAGGGAGGGATCTTTCTCCAGGCGGGCCCAGGTGAGGTAGACATCGAAGAGGAGAAGGAGAATCCCCAGGCGAATGATTGATCGCTATAGCGTCTGCGCATTAGTTTGTTGTCCCGTATGCGGAGGGGGGTAAGTCTGGATGTGTGGCTCACATCGAAGCGGTTGTCATCGCGCCCGAGTCTGTTGAAAAGGAGATGGCGGTAGACCTATGGTAGGAAGTGTCAGATCTTTATTATTTGTGGACCGCATCAGGGTAAAAACTGACTTGTGGTTTGATGAGCACCAGGTCGATAAAGATCACAACGAAGTCATATTCAACGTATTTGTCGGCGAAGCGCTGGCAGCGAGGACACTGGGTCAATCGCACGCCTTTCCCTGAGAACGGTCATCGGCACGACTGTATGCGCTATACAGGTGCGAGACCGGGTAGGAACATTCGATGCAGATGGGCATCGTGTCATGACGTGGAGGAGGAAGCTGGGCGATTGGGGAAATTGCTTAGCTGCGAGGGCGGAGTGCGGGACGCGTTCTAGACTCGGCCCACTCGTTTGTTACTACCAGCACCAATGCCATGATTTTATTACATACTGGATAAAAGATTGTTACTATGACCTTGATCTGCTGAAGTATTGACTAGTATTTACAATCTGATATATATTCACATTCCCAACCACCCTCACCCCTGAGGGCTAATATACACAAATGGGATATCAATCGTCTTTCCATGCGCCTAATCAATAACGCTTTTATTATCAGCCCAACTAGGCTGAATAGCCCGACACACAGCCTCATAGTCCTGGAATCGCTGCGTATCCTCTGGCAAACCAGGTGTAGTCCAAAACATTGTCCAATTGCTATCAGCCAGCTTCCAGGAGCCGCAAGACCGTTCAAAATACCACTTATTCACGGGATTATCCTTGCGACTACGCCAGCAGACCCCATTGGGGAAACATGTACGCACCATTGCGTTGAACACGATGTCTGCCACACCGCCGGCACCTTGGCTGCGCTTGAGTACTGCGAATTTATCTCAGGTAGGGAACCATGCGTGCGGCGTTCTCGGGACTGCCGTCGTCGACCACGCCGGGTGGTGTTTCCCATGTGAGGATTGCGCCGCCTTCGTACTCGCCTGCAACGATAATGCCGGCGATACGGTCGTTCACGCGTTGTAGATAGTTGTGTACATCGAGCTTACGGTCGAAGGAATCTTCAATGAGTTGAACGAGTCGGGGGAGGTCGATTGATGGGTCGTTCAATTGCAGGCGTGGTTGACTCTGGGCGGTCCATATATGGGTATATGGATTGGGGAGGAGGGTGAGGGGCATACCTCTTTTCACGAAAGTGGTATGAGGTGGAAGTGGACTGATAGCACTGGGCCGGCTAGATCCAGCAGCGCGGCGCCCCGGTGGAAGTGAGGACGATAGAAGAGGTTTATCGGTGAGTAGGTTGTGGATGAGAGGATTGCGCTGACGTCGGGTTCCAACAGCAGACACATTCGATGAGGCGGTCTGGGAGGACCGACCAGAGTTGGCAACTTCTTGAGGAGATGCAATGATGCCAGAGGAGGCGGAGGGTAGCATTGCTAGAGTTTGTTGAGATAGGCGGAGGTTCTCCAAATGGCCATCCAGAAGAACTGACATCGCCTCCGCACCCGGGAGATGGTTCGATTGCCCGGGGAGAGGCGAAATCACATCCTCATTCACGAATTTTGAGAACGGGTTGCTGTCTAGTAAAGCAGATGCAGGTCCTGTGTCCTTGCGGGGCGCTACCACCTTCGCCTTTCCGGCGATCGATTCTCGTGTCTCGGACAATTCCTCTTCAATTTCATCAAATTCTTGCTCCATGTTGATGAAAACATGTGATGATTGAGGTCCCCTGAAGGCTGGAATGCCCCCAAGAGGGTGTAGAAGAATTACTCGATCCAGTGAGACTTCCTTTTGTAGGGCATCGATTCGTTCCGCAGTGACAGCAGGGTCTTCGTCTGGATCAGGAACCGTAGACAACCCCGCGAATTCCTTGGTCAGTGCAAGTACCGCATCATTTGCAGATACTGGGACGGCTCGAGGATTCTCCTCTAAATATGCAACTGGTGTGACAATAACGACATGGCCATCACGGAGCGGGCTCAAAAGGGCCTTCCGGGACATGACAGTAGGAGGACCCGGACACTTCTCAGAAAGCGAAAGTGCCGAATCCAGACGGAATGATTTGGAGTTGGGCTGTTCATCAACCGCCGCCGAAATCCGATTAGCCTGGTCGATTGCGAGTTGTCGCATGGCTGTGCCGTCCATATTTCCTGGGTCAATTACTACAAGACATCCCATACCTAAGCGTATGAGCTGAGACAGAGTCCGAGCGACACCGGTTACCACCTCATCGTTGAGAGACTGGGGGTTTGTGATTTTGATCAAGGCTAAATGAAGCCTCTCGGCGGGTTCTTGACCTTGTGGAGCAGGTGTAGTGTTTTGCCGGAAAACCGGACTGTCATAGACGGCTCTCGAAGCACCGTAGAATGATCCCAGATTGACACCGGAGGACAAGGACTCCGATGGCTTCTCCGTTGTCACTTCCTGCTCATTTGCGGGTTGGGCGGTTGACTTGGGAGGGTTCTTCTTGAAGCGAGACAAATACGACTTAGCCTCGCGCTTGGTTGAAGCAGAGCTCAGTAGACTGAGGAAGAATTCCTGTGTAATTAAAATCAGCTATTGGCTTTATATGGCGCGTATGTATGATTGAGTTACACACCCGATCTAGGAGCTTCTCTTTAGCTCGGTGCCCTAGCCGATCGTTACTGGGACTGGTATTGGAGAATTCGGCAATCTGCTGGGCCCTTGGAAGCGACTGCACTGGACGCACCGCTGTGGGGTCATTGGCACGGGCGACATGTTGCTGGAGCGAATATGATCAGTTTCGGTGAAATGGAAGTATTCGGAGATAACCCTCAACACTCACGTTAGCTCGGGCGGCCTGGGCAGTGCGAGACAAGTTAAGGACTCGGGAGCTCATCTTTCGAACCACCAGAGACCGGACTGGTGTGTACGAGGGGAGAAGCGCAGCAGTATCGTAAAAATAGGGACCAGAGGACCAGCTCAATTATCAAAAGAAAAAAGAAAGGGAAGTAAATTGACTGGGGCATGACGCATCCTCGGCTGGGCTTCACCGCCTGGCGATCCCAACTAAATTTCCTATCACCAGCTCCCCCCGTTATTTTCCGTCTTAGCTGCGCGAATTATCAGATCAAACTGGGATTGAATATTCTCGGTGCTGCCATAACATTGGCTGCGACAATCCACTCATGGAGATTGTCTGACATCCACCTAGCGGGGCAGTTTTACGAATAATGTATGTCGGTCTGCAGACTCGGGATCCCTGTCGCCGGGACTTGGCGGGGCTTGACCTCGATGGAGCTAGCCAGTATACTAGTACGTACTATATAACTACTAAGTAGTTCTGACTCCTGCCTATATTTACTTTTCAGACGTACTATTTATTCAGAACTTGGATACTTTCTTTCTACTATTATAAAAGTTCTTGCCTTCAAGGTTGGCTCAACTTCTCACTTATACTTTTTGGGGGGGTTTTCTTTGATTTATACTTTTGCGTAGTATAAATCTAGTTACTCCCTTTTGTTCCCTTCATTCCTCTGCTACCTAGGTTCATTTTACTAGTACTAGAAATGTGTAAGAGCTCGAAGCTCCTGCGAGGACTATCCCCATGTGTATACTGCACCATGGCCGCCTGATAGTCTCGGAGGACGGACTCGTCTCCGGAGATCTCTTTTTGAGACCGAATGACGGACACGGATATCTCCAGCCTGAGTCACCTGGAGATGGACTCGGATTCGGAGATCTCTAGGCCCCGGAAATCACGGACGGACTCGGTCATTTCAAGAACCGTTTGGCCCTGTCTTTACCTTCTCCTGTCTTCTTCCTTTCTTCTCTTCTTCTCTTCCTCTCTTTCTCTCTCCCCACCACCATCTCTTCCCACAACCCTTCTCCAGAACTAGCAAGGTATGTCGTCTCCCTTTGGATCACTGAATCCTTCATGCTCATCGACTGAATGTTTCATTTTCAAAGCTCAACCATACAAACATCGTTCCTACAAGGTATGCATGTGAGAGAAGATCCACGCCACAGAATTCCGGGGGCCGGCTGCTGGTACTATGAGATGAATGACTACTAACAGCTGACAGAACACCTCACGGGCTCAAGATGAAGTTCATCTTCACTCTTGTTTCCTTCCTGGTCCTTCTAGCCATGATGGCTGAAGGACGCAGCCTCTACCAGGGCTCACCCCCGGGTGACAACTCTGTCGTTCATGATGAACAGTCTCTCAATGATCTGGCCAAGGACAGCTCTGGCACAATTCTCTACTCGAGCAATGGTGCTCGAGCCACGGTGACTGAAGAACTTACCCGCTACCACACTGCACCCCCAAGCGATGCCATTATCTTTCACGACGAGCAATCCCTCAGCGACCTGATCAAGGACAATCCTGACACACTTCTCTACTCTGAGAACGGAGGATACTACCTCAAGAACATGGAAGAAGCCGTCATTGGCATCGCCGCCGATGACCTCTGCGAATACCTTGGTGCATCTTTTGCGTTCTTCAATGATGCTGCTGGGGCAAATGCTGTGGAGGAGCCTGAGTGTTTGCATGAAAAGGATACGGGGAAGTGTCCTGCTCCTGTCCCTCAGTGTCCGGCTGACATGAGACCATGTGGTATTAATTGTTGTCCTATCTCTCTCGCAGATGGCTGTTTCGGTTCCCACTGCTCCAGCTCTGGAGATTGTCAGCACCGAGGTTGTGTTACATGCACTCACACGAAGTTTTGTCTTATCTAAAGCGTGATGCCGCTTTGATTCAACATGGCGGAGACCAAAGGTCTGATCATCAGCCTTTGGGCTTTGACTTCTTTCTAGCGTGCTCCAGATGGTACAAACCCAATTTCCTGTTACTGTTCCTGTTACTTTAATAATTCAATTCAATCTTCAATGAAGGTACTACCTAGAACCTTATTTCTACGTTCTATTCATCAGTAGTATACTGGTAGCATACCTGGTAGTATGGTAACTCAATGCTGACCGCTTTGGTATGGGGTAGTACTGGTAGTACTGGTAGTACTGGGGAGTACTTTCCACGATAGGGCGATCCCGCTACGATGGCAGTACCAATAGGTTCCTCCGCCCCCGCCACCTTCTCATCTTCTTCTTTTCATTACTTCCTGTAATCCTCCACTGGCAATTTGAACAACTACTTACTACCTCCTTCCACTTGAGGTTTGTCTTTCCTCCTTTGCTATCCCTTCTCTCCCTTTGCTTTTGATCCTGCCTTGCCCTGCCCTTCATTTCCCTCTCCCTGCCCTTCAGACACCCCCTCCTTGCTCACACACTGGACCGCCCGCGTCGCAAATTCTTATCTGCAGCCACCAATCGCAGCTGCAGTGAATGATGACCTCAGTCATGGCGCTGAAGGCGGCGTGAGGCTCGAGGCTTGACTTCCCATTTCTTTGGCCAGCTTTGTCCACCTTCTGTCACCTGCATACTCCGTACTAAATCCCCACCGGTCCAGATTTGCATCCCTCGATCCCCCCACCAATACCACCCACCACCTACCCGGGACCCCTGCAAAAACCGACCCTGGACGTGCGTTGTTATCCACACGCGATCACCTTCTCAGCCTTCAATTAACACCTCGTCGACCCCCAGTTGATAACTCCATTTTTCCCTCTTCACCATGTCCGATCCCAGCGACCGATCTTCGGAGTCCATGCCCGGCCCCGAACCCTCTGGTCTGAAGCCCTTGTCCAACATCGAGGATATGGCCCTGCCGAACCCCAGCAATAGCGACCTGTCTCGCTTCATGAGCCGCGCCGGTATTTCTCTGTCCAATGGCTTCCCCCTGGAGGACGACGACGAGATCGATGAGGAAGTGGATGAGGACTACGTCGCTGTCGACCAGGATGATGCCAATGACTACCCTGTTTGGTTCCGCCGTCCCCCAAGCCATCACCGCACCAAGCTTGATGAATTGCACCCCTTCGTTCAGCTACTCTCCGCGTCTAATGTCGAAGACTGCGTCGCCGTTGAGCAGGCGTTCCCCGAGAACGAGCGCTGCTCGCGTGACAAAGTAAGTACTCGCCTGATGTCACTCTCTTCCCCGACAGTTCGGTTGAATCATTGGGTGATTCCATCAGACCAAGCGGAAGATGGTCAATAATCCACAAGAACGTGTCGTGACTAACCTGGTTTCCGCCGAGCAGTTCATTTATCGTCTAAGCCGTTGTCCCGAACTTAGCTTGGGAATGTTCACTCTCCCCATCATCAAGGCCGGTGACCCCAAGCCGCCGGCGACACTGATCGGCCACATCATTGCCACCCGTACCTCGGCGCCCTGCGTCACCGACCGCTCCATGAAACTTCCTTCCAAGTGGGAAGGCGAGCGTTGGACCTTTGAGGATGGAGAGGCTGTTGGTCACGAGGAGGGTGGCGGTACCATCGCTATTCACTCTTTGGCCGTACTGGAAGAACACCAGGGCAAGCAAGTCGGCAGCACCCTGATGAAGTCGTATATCCACCGTATTCGGGAAGCTCAGATTGCCGACCGGATCGCGATCATCGCCCATGACCATCTGGTAGATTTCTATAAATCATTTGGCTTTGAGGACCATGGTGAGAGCAAGTGCCAATTTGGCGGCGGTGGTTGGAGAGATCTGGTAAGCTGATTCAGCATTCATTGACGATTTTGATTACATATTCTAACTCGCGATGTTATAGATCTTGGAGCTTCCTCAAGAGCCGCTGCAGAACTAAGAACGAGAATTGACTCTACGGGTTTCTTTTGTTCGCATGCATCTTTTCGGCGTGGACCGTGTAAGAACAGGTTCGGTCTGCTGGTACTCCTTTTTGTCCGATTTCATATTTACAAGTTATTTCCCTATTCTATTTCTCATGTCCCCCTCAACGCAGTTCATGTCCGGTCATCGGTTTTGGTCTTCGGGCTCGAAAGAAAACGGAGTTTGTTTCTTTTTTTTGTTTCAGTTTTATTTTCCCCCGTTTTTTTTTTTTCTTTTTCTTTTTTTTTACTGGGATGGGATTGTGATGGCCAGTCTTACGAGTCTCATGGAACAAGGGTTTGGGCTGGTCAGGTCGGTCAGGGTTTGTGTACCATATTCGAAATGCAATGTACATGGGCACCACCTTCCCTTGAAATATAAACAATAAAACCTCAATAATTTTCGAAAGAGCGTGCATGGTGTAAGAGAAGGATACTACTAGTACCTTACGTACTAACCAACTAGTAGGATGTAATCTTCACATAGACGACCACGGTATTACCACTAGGTAGCATAGTATGGCCTATATCTAAACCTGACTGCTGCTAACCCTTACTTCTACCAATCAATCTGCCCACTGTACTATCACCATAGCTACTAATATATAGAATCTGTATAAACTCTCCCCAATCGACTTACCAGACTGAAAAGACCAAAAATACTAAAAATGAAGAATCAACACTCGGTTAATCGCCACATCCAATCCCGACCCCCGCATTTGTTCACCGCCCGGCAGAAATGTCCGACAAACAATTTTTTCGTCGGGGAAATCAAATGAGCGGACCCCCCAACAACCTCCCACTCCAGAGTCAGTCCATTCCTTGCTTGACTCCTGTGGCCCATCATGAAGACTACTTGGAAGGATGTAAGTAACTCTCTTCTTTGCACTGTCCAAATCTTTCCCCCCGGTTCCCTCGAGAATATCCAACTTATCTTTTTGACCGCCAGATTGCGCCTGTGCCCACCAACCAGGAATTCCTGGACATCGTCCTCAGTCGTACCCAGCGCCAGCTTCCCACACAAATTCGTGCTGGTTTCAATATCAGCCGTATCAGAGGTACTTGACTCTCATCGTTTACTCAAACCCGACTTCCATGGAGACCGGACGACAAAAAAAAAAGACGCTTCGGGCGATCGGGTTATCGATAAAGGGTTTATCGCTAATCAAATTTTCTTATGGCAGGTTTCTACACCCGTAAGGTCAAGTACACCCAGGAGACCTTCTGTGAGAAGTTCCAGGCTATTCTCGATGGATTTCCTCGTCTCCAGGACATTCATCCCTTCCGTAAGTTCTTTTTGCAATTTTGCTCCTTCGAGTGAAGGCTAATGGCCCCTCAGACAAGGATTTGATGAACACCCTCTATGATGCCGACCACTTCCGTATTGCTCTCGGTCAGGTTTCGACCGCCAAGCATCTGATCGAAACTGTTTCCCGTGATTACGTCCGTCTTATCAAGTATGCGCAATCGCTGTTCCAGTGTAAGCAGCTGAAGCGTGCTGCGCTCGGTCGCATGGCCACCATCTGCCGTCGCCTCAGGGATCCCCTCGTCTACTTGGAGCAGGTCCGCCAGCATTTGGGTCGTCTCCCTGCTATCGACCCTAACACCCGCACTCTGCTGATTTGCGGTTACCCCAATGTCGGTAAGTCCAGTTTCTTGCAAAACATCACCCGCGCCGATGTCGATGTCCAGCCCTATGCTTTCACCACCAAGTCGCTCTTCGTCGGTCACTTCGACTACAAGTACCTGCGCTTCCAGGCTATTGATACCCCCGGTATTCTCGATCACCCTCTGGAGGAGATGAATACCATTGAAATGCAGTCGATCACCGCCGTTGCTCACTTGCGCTCTGCTATCCTCTACTTCATGGATCTTTCCGAGCAGTGCGGTTACTCCGTCACCGATCAGATCAAGCTCTACCACAGCATCAAGCCTCTGTTCGCCAACAAGATTGTGTTCATTGTCATTAACAAGGTTGATATTCGCCGCCCCGAGGATCTGGATCCCGAGGAGCAAGAGCAACTGCAGAACATCCTCAAGGCGGACGATGTCGAGCTTCTGCAGGCTTCTTGCACCACCACCGAGGGTGTGAGTGCCGTTAAGAATGCTGCTTGCGACAAGCTGCTCGCTGAGCGAGTGGCCCAGAAGCTCAAGACCGGCTCCAACACCGCCGCCGACACCCCTGGTGGCCGTCTGGGCGATGTGCTGGCCCGTATCCACGTTGCCAAGCCCATGGGCGGCGTCACCCGGGAGACCTTCATCCCCGAGGCCGTCAAGAACCTCAAGAAATACGACAAGAGCGACCCCAACCGCCGGACATTGGAGCGCGATCTGGAGGAGGAGCAAGGTGGTGCCGGTGTCTACAGCTTCGATATGCAGCGCGACTACACCCTGGCCAACCCCGAGTGGAACCACGACAAGATTCCCGAGGTGTGGAACGGAAAGAACATCTACGACTTCGTGGACCCGGATATCGAGACAAAGCTGGCTGCTCTGGAGGAGGAGGAAGAGAAGATGAAGGCCGACGGCTACTACGATTCGGACGAGAGCGTCGAAGACGCCGAGGATGCCGACAACCGTATGAAGGCCAGCCTGATCCGCGAGAAGCGCGTCCTTATGAAGAACGACTCCAAGATGCGCAAGTCGCTCAAGAACCGCGCCCTCATCCCCCGCAGCGCCAAGGCCAAGAGGCTGTCGCAAATGGAGCGTGCGCTCGACTCCGCTGGTTACGATGTGGATGCCGCTGGCAGCCGCGCCCGTTCCCAGAGCCAGTCCCGTGGCCGGACCTTGACTCGCAATGATGATCACGAGGATGATGCTATGGACATTGACGACCCCCACAAGGCCATTGCTCGCGCTAAGAGCCGCGCTCGTAGCCAGCCTGCTACTGACAGACGTCTTGACGGTGTTACTTCGGCTACTAACAAGGAGAAGGCTGAGCGCATGTTCAAGCTGGGCCAGAAGGGGATGAACCGCATGGCTCGTGCTGGTGAGGCCGATCGTCACACCACCGCCGCTCTGCCCAAGCACTTGGTATGTTTTCTAATCCAGTTCCCCCCCCCCTTGATACATTTTCTAACGCAATTCAAAACAGTTCGCCGGAAAGCGCGGTATGGGTAAGACCCAGCGCCGTTAAGGGCCCCAGCCCTACTGCTACGGGCGACGAATCAAGACCCATTCTTAATCATCGTCAAATTGGTTTCCATACCGGGTGCACAATGGTGTCGGGCGTTTGCGTTTTGTTTTTGATTTTGTCTCTCGTGTCATTATTCCCATTTTGACTCGGTTATTCTATACCCCCACGTTTTTGGGTGGGGGGGTGTGTCTTTTTCTGTGAATAGACAGTCGTCGTATGATCTGCGAGGGGAACCTGTTTTTTCCAAGGTTCGCTCACTCAATAGGACCAAAAGTTCTGGACTTAATGATGTTGTATGTGTGCGGAAGCCAACAAGTAGTAGTAGACGAGTCAAAGTAGTAGTCATCGGTTGACGGTTACATGGACCCTTAAAGCCGTCACGCTTTTGGTAAACTCGTCCACATAATATTCAAGCTCATCTTCGTCCAGAAACTTCGTATGGCTCAGATTCGAGAAGATATCTAACTTGAATCTTGGAAGTTAACTCCACGAGTCGCATCATAACAAACTTCTCACCGTCCGAATACGCTCCATCATACATCCCGAGGTCGCATTAAGGAAACGGCGAATCCCGTTCTTGTCGTTAGTCCGGGACTCAACGATGCCGTTTTCGCTGCCTAATTGCAATTAGTATATAGTTGTAGGATTGGTACTGGCCAGACCCGCGGTATCGACCTACTCTGCAAACGGGGGATAATAAGGGATCGTGAATAGAATCAAGTGGTGATGAAAGTGGGATGGTAAATAGCGCAGAGTGGTGCTATAAACTTGAAGGCGCCCATTTATCCGTGCAAACCACCTGCAGTAAGGCTTTCGAATTTCTCACGCATCAAATTCAAAACCGGAGTCTGCTTGCCAATCATGGCCACCGAGAACGATGTTGGCGCAACTGAGCTGCTTTACAAGTTCGACAAAGTCATCAGCATGTAACTTGAATGTGTACGGAACGATAGATTCGGATGGTGCGTCCTGATAAATTATTAACAAACTACCATCGCCGCGTAGCCCTGTTTCTAATAGATCGATGGACTTAGGGATTTTCTTTATCTAATACGAGTACAATCCGGGCAGACAACCCGGAAACAAAGCTTGACGAAGAATGGGATTTGGTCTCTCCAAACCGCTGAGAAGTCTGGAAAACCATGGATCTGGGATTCAAACTGATGAATAAGGGCTCACATCGTTGAGAGAAGACTGGCAAACTACCAAGAACACCGTACGAATAAAGCCAACGTCAGGTGCAGCCAGCAAGTAACCTGTCCGGCATTAATAGGTAGATAGTCTCCGAAACTGGATAATGGCAAAGGCCCGGGCCTTTACCATAATTCTTGCCATTAACAACAGCAGCGCATCGCTGGACCAATGGGTCATTGACGATGTTGATCTTTTCGACATTATGACCGGCCGCAACAGACATCTCACAGGAGACTGGGGCTTTGGAAAAGATGATTACGTTCGACGGATGCAATGGATTAGATACAAATTGAGAAATAGTATGCTATTATGATCACAAATACCAACTGAATTGCCGACGCGAGACCGAGGCGGGGTTCAGGAGTTATATCAACGATGAACAATCGTACCGTTCTGCCAGAAGATGTATACAATAGTTTTCTTTATGAATCTATTGTAGTAAGGGATCATGAAACCTCTTCTAGTCAGAATTCGAAGTTCCACCATTTGGTCCATTCTGCACTATACTATAACTAAATCATTGGCTTACTGGTCTTCTTCTCTGCCTCGTGTGGGCTACGAGGTGTGATTCAGCTCGACGAGAGGACAAGTGGAGCATAAGATAGCCTTATTTGTGATTTTTGTGGAGCTGTTATCTTTCCAATTTTGGATCCTTCTTCGTAAGGTGTCATTTGCCTTGGGGTGCTGGTCGATGCCTTCATCTTCGATCGTCAGGGTCCGCATGTCTCTGCGGGGTCTTCCCCAGGGTTGTTGCTTTCTTTAACGGGGTTTCGATTCAGTATGATGATGGAGAAAATGTGGACCCTGAGTGAGAATGTTGAATAGAGTACGGGTTGATGCAGACGGAGTCCTGTTCAAAGGTGGTTTGCATGTATGTCCATCATGCCCCGGCATCCAACGTATGATTTCGTAGTATGCTCTCTCGATAACAGAGGGCCCCTCTACTCATCTTCTACTGCATATACCTAACCAAAGCTTGAATCTTTTGATCTACGAGACTACTGAATGGCATGAAAAAAAGCATGACCGAATCCAGGCCGCATGAGAAATAATCCAAGCTTCTTTGAATTGGCGATGTAGTACAAATATTAATCTTGACCAGCTGTCCCGGAAATAATGACACCAAGGAGAATAATGTTTGAGTCGACATTCTAGGCCTGAAGAAAGAGACACAAGGTGCCACCTTGCACCTACATTAGTCCCATGCAAATATCGTGCGACATGAAACCCGGGTCCAGGACTAGGTCCAGACCTTGATTTTGACCCAAAATGACCATGGAATGATGTGCCGCGATGTACGGAGTAGCCGGAGTACAAGCATCGGCCAGTCCGAGTATGTACAATGGCCCTCTGTTGACTACTGGCATTTACGTATGTATGCACGATTTGGAGAATGTGGGTCCAACGCCTGGATTTTACGGTTTTGGAAATGAGGATGAGATCATTAGGCCTATCTGCGAAGATAGTATCCCGAGAATGGACCGCAGTGCATTGTGCTTCTGTCCACTGGACTCCTTGCTGGTGAAATTGCGTTTCATATTGGACAGAGAGGGAGATTCTGCCCAGAAGCGACGGAAAGGATTTTAGAAGAATTACTAGCTGACGCAGGAAAATTCGACTTGGCTTTCATGTCAACTCTCCATTGTGAATCTCTACGTATCTATTTTGAATAGTGTTCCACTCATAGATTGATCATACCAATGAGTAAACTGGAAACCCAGATGCTTTGACGGATAAGCACGAAAACATACTACTGCTGGTGCTTCGTACGGAGTACAGAAAGTCACATCGCCGCTGCATGGCACCTGGGCACCTACGAGTGCGGAATGGTCTTGCCTAGAATAGGCAAAAAAAGCCAAAATTCACCCAAGAGATAAACGACCTCGCTTGTGAGCTTTTATTGGATGGTGACGACATTCAGCCCTGGTGGATAATTGGCACCGTATGAGTTAGGAAGGCGTGTTGGCATTGGTGGGCCTAGATGGCCCCTTTTCGAAAAACCTGAGCTATTTTTCGCATGCCACGCTCGGTGGTCTGACTCTGTTAGCGGGTGAAAATTTCCTAGCCAGTTCACCGCAGATCACGGAAGGGGCGTGGGCCAAGTGGGGCTCGACGAGAAAGGATTGTGTGGTTCCGTCGAGCCTCTCGCACATCCTCTGAAGATCCCGTGTTTCGGGATGCCGAGTGGAAAATTTTCGCAAAGTGCTCAATTGGCAGTCATCTACCCAGGAATGAGGGTAGAAATTATTGCAAATGAATTATAGACTTACTATGATCACTGAAAGGGATACATTAGATATCCTGCATTGTAATTCTAGCTGCAGGACCCCTGTCGCAAGCCGCAACAGTGCAGCATCGATCCCGAGTCGGCTCGGCGTCGGCCTGCAAACTGGACTCGGTGTGCCGATTCAGGCCAGGGTGGGACCGGCGAATAGCTCAACAGATCGGAAATCTCTGCGCGGTCGTCGACCGAAGGCTCACCGGCGGTGGGTCTAGCTTAACTCGAGCTCGAACCACGCCGACCGGTGCACCTATTCAGGGATTCCTTATCAGTACTGTTTGCAAAGCGCAGTTTGAGACCTGGATGGAGATGGTATAAGAACGGGGCTCTAGCCCAGTTTGAACTCTGAATGTCCGCGTGACATTTTGATAGATTTTATTCTTGTCACGTAGATGTAATGGAATATCATGTCCATCGTAAGACCTCCCGAATCAAGCCAAGCTTTGTTCCGTGGCGATCGTCATAGTCTGAGACCGGCTCGGGCGACGGCCTGTTTTGCAGGGAAGAATCCACGGCGCCCCACTCGCCAAAGTAAATGGAAATTTTCTGTCATTGTGAGCTCCTGTTCCAACGTTTGCTTGTCGCAGGTAAACGGGAAGTTAAAAGAAAAAAGTCAATACGGAAGAAATCAAGGAGGTGATTCTATGATGACGAGGTCTTTTGATTTTCCACTGTATACCAGCATCATTGTAGGCCCCTTTAGGAACTATGTAGTTGAGCTGAGCTGCTCAGCACCCACGGACTGTATCCGTGAGCAGCCAGGCACTGCATTCTCATTCGTTCGGCACAGACCCAGTCATTACTCAATCACGCAGTTTTCTAGAAGGTGGCAAGAAGCTCGGCAATGTTTTCGTCTCTACATACCAACGATCGTGGTTCGGAATTCCTCGTGTGATGGCATGGCATGCTTGCTGAGACAATGTCTTTAGAAAACAAGAGAACAATAAACACAAAATAAAAATAAACAAAAGATAAACAGTACGAATGCCATTGTTCTTGTAGACCTGGCAGTTGTTTACTATACGTTTACTACAAGTAGGCTTGCAGTGGTGGTATCCAAGACAAACGGGCCTCACGTGGACAGACCGCATTCGGGTCTCATCTCCAGAGACTCTTCAAATGCCATTCTCCACCTCTTCTCCACCCCAAGAACCCTCCCCTGTGTATGGAGTAGTATGTGCCCATGGAGACGAAATTTCCCTCCGCCCCATCCCGACAAACGTGGGACGCGAGATCCGGGCCCCCGTTTTGTCTGCCATGGTACCCCAAGGGGGAGTCCGATTCTCCGCTAACCATGTCATGGTATTTATTTGCTCCCTTCCCCTGCCTAGCCCGCAGTCTTTTTTTTCTTTCTCCATCCCTCTCTTCCATTTACCCTCCGGCTTTCACCACTCCCGGCTAGGTTACTTGCATCATGGGTGTCGGCAACATCATGGCCCGTTTCAAGGGTGGTGAGGACTCTCAGTTCTCCTCCCAGGCCCCTACACCTGCTCGCGCTGATTCGACTATTGCCGAGAAGGATGAGGGCATCATCGACGATAGCCCCGTCAAGTACCTCACTTGGCGCTCTTTCATCCTCGGCCTGTGTGTCTCCATGGGTGGCTTCATCTTTGGTTACTCTACTGGTATGTTTCACTACATAGTGGCGGGGGAAACGCAGCCCATACAGGAATCATGACGTTAACTCGATGACCAGGTCAAATCTCGGGTTTCACTTCCATGACCGACTTCAAGGAGCGCTTCGCGGAGTACAACGAGTCTTCCGGTGAATACGTCTTCAGCAATGTTCGCAACGGTCTTATTGTTGGTCTGGTAAGTTCGCACTGGCCATCGCCATCACCTCCACCTCGACAAACAACACAAAAAGTGGACCAGGACTGACTATCTGACAGCTCTCGATCGGTACTATGATTGGCGCCCTGGTGGCTGCCCCCATTGCCGACAGAATTGGCCGCAAGCTCTCCATCTCCTTCTGGGCTGTTATCAACATTGTCGGAATCATTGTGCAGATCACCACCCAGGAAAAGTGGTACCAGGTCGCCCTTGGCCGTTGGGTCATGGGTCTTGGTGTCGGTGCCCTTTCCAGCGTTGTCCCCATGTACCAGTCTGAGTCGGCTCCCCGTCAGGTCCGTGGTGCCATGGTCAGTGCCTTCCAGCTGTTCGTCGCCTTCGGTATCTTCATCTCCTACATTGTCAACTACGGTACCGTCCACATCAACTCCAGTGCCTCGTGGCGCATCACCATGGGCATTGGTTTTGCCTGGCCCCTGATCCTGGGTATCGGTACCCTGTTCCTTCCCGAGTCCCCTCGTTTCGCCTACCGTCACGGCCGTGTTGAGGAGGCCCGCGAGGTCATGGCCAAGCTCTACGGTGTACCCACCAACCACCGCGTTGTTGCCCAGGAGATGGCCGACATGAAGCACAAGCTGGATGAGGAGAAGAACGCTGGCAATGCTGCCTGGCACGAGATCCTCACCGGTCCTCGCATGTTCTACCGTACCATGCTTGGTATTGCTCTGCAGTCCCTGCAGCAATTGACCGGTGCTAACTTCATCTTCTACTACGGAACCAGTATCTTCCAGGGTGTTGGTCTGAGCGACTCCTTCGTTACCCAGATTATCCTAGGTGCCGTCAACTTCGGTATGACCCTGCCCGGTCTGTACGTTGTCGAGCACTATGGTCGCCGTAACTGCCTGATGGTCGGTGCTGCCTGGATGTTCATCTGCTTCATGATCTGGGCTTCCGTTGGTCACGAGGTTCTGCACGTCAACCCTTCGTCCCACCCTGCCGGTGTTGCCATGATTGTCTTCACCTGCTTCTTCATCGTTGGTTTCGCTACCACATGGGGTCCCATTGTCTGGGCCATCTGTGGTGAGATGTACCCCTTCCGTTACCGTGCTACCTGCATGGGTGTCGCCACTGCCGCCAACTGGACCTGGAACTTCCTCATCTCTTTCTTCACCCCTTTCATCTCCAGCTCCATTGACTTCCGCTACGGCTACGTCTTCGCCGCTTGCTGTTTCGCTGCTATCCTGGTTGTCTTCTTCTTCGTCAACGAGACCCAGGGCCGTACCCTTGAGGAGGTCGACACTATGTACGTCCTGCACGTCAAGCCCTGGAAGTCCGCCAGCTGGGTTGCCCCCGAGGGCATCGTTGCCGACCTCCACGCTCCCCGTGAGCCCAAGGAGGGTGCTAGCGAGCAACAGCAGCACGAGTCTCTGATCGCCGAGCCAACTGAGGTTGCCGAGTCTTCTCAGTTCTCCCACAACGGCCAGACTACTGAGTCTAACTCTCACTCTCAGACTTTCCAGACCTCTGAGACTACTGAGACCCGCGAGTAAATTTCTTGCTTGAAACAAAACAATTTCGATACAATACCCATCAACGGGCCAATAATGGCTTTATGTACTTTTTAGTGATATGATTTCCGTGTTAATATTAAAAACTCGGCCCTTGCTACAAACTCCTCAATTGGAGACAAGAATTGAATAATGGCTTTTCCAATCCATACCTACTATGATCTAAATTTCTTCTTATATGTTGTACTGTCTCTTCTGAAGTCGTATTAATCTTTCGAACGTTGCATTCTAAAGCTCGAAGTCTGATATGGCCGACTGCCCAGGAGAAAATTTCCAGCTTTGATTACCACTCACTATACACTGGCAGAAGCAATTTGAAGCTCAATTCCGGAAGCTACATCACATCATATTCAAAATAACACCTTTATCTGCATGGTTTAGTATACTATATGTCCAATTACTTATTTTCCTGATTCTCAAACTTCATTCCCGCAGCTTTCCTAGCAGCACCATAAACACCCGCAATATCCCCCTTCTCCCCCTTCTCCGTCTTAACATCCTGCAAGAACGAATCGGTAACCTCAACATTCCGCATCCGCTGACCACCCTCCTTCGCCAAACTAGACGCATGACGAAGATCCTTTCGAGCAAGATCAACAGCAAACAAAGGCTCATCCCGCTGATAATAATCACCACTAATCATCCGATCCGCATACTTAGCAAAAGGGCCCGGAGCAAATAGATCCAACCACTGTTTCAGCGGACCAACGCCCAGTCCCGTAGATTCGGCCGCAACAACCGTCTCCGCCAGCACCCCGACGGTATTCAGGATAAATGTGTTGCCGAGAACTTTCAGCGTGGACGCCTTGCCAACGTCGATGTCCGCGCCTGTTCCATCGGACAAATCGATGGTCGATTTGGCAGTGACGCCCTCAAAGAATGGCTTCGCTTTCGCAATTGCAGTCTGTTTACCGGCTGGTACGACGATCAATTGTCCCGCATCGGCCATGTTCGGCGCACCGAAGACCGGGCATGCGACGAAGGATGCGCCCCGCGCGGCATAGGCGGCTTCCGTGCGTCGTGAGGTGTCTGGGTGGACGGTTGAGCAGTCGACGAAGGTCTTGGTAGACAGGTCGACAGTTTGATCAGCTAGGATGGTGTTGGTGATTGCGTCGATGGCGGGGTCATCGCCGACGCAGGTGAAGATCACATCGGCATTCTGCACAGCTTCCGAGAGCGACGTAGCGACGGCTGCGCGGCCGTTTAGGGTTTCGGCATGGGCGGTTGCGCGAGCTGTGGTGCGGTTGAAGAGGATGAGACTGGATTGAGGACCCTTTTGGGCGATGTTGGTGCTCATGCCCTGTTGTTCACATCATTGTTGGTTAGTCTCGGCCGGTGGAGAGAGGGTGGTTGGTTTATTCAGGTAGTCTTACCCGGCCAATATTGCCGAGGCCAATCCATGCAACGCGAATTCCGGACATTTTTGTGCAATTGGGTGATTACAGTAAGTAGTTGATTTGACGATGTGAAGATTAAAGGTGGCAGAGCTGGGAATTCCGGATTTAAGACAAGCTTCGACGTGGGGCAGCGTGGGGTAAATCGGGGGGGAGGAAATCGAGTCGGGCTTAGTTCTTATCCGCCGCAAAGTGCTGAGTCTGCCGCGGGTTTTATACTGCCAGTTGAGTTTTTCTCATATTTAGTTGATCCAATTGAAGACTCATTTCGGTGAGAAAGCTCTACTTCGGTCTCTTCACTTTTCGGTCAGCGGTTCGGCGCGAGCCACGCGCTCTCTAAGCAGTGAGTCAGTAAGGCCGAAGGGCCGAGCTGCTAAGCTGCGGATGTGGAGACTAAACTGTGGGGATTATCATGCAAGATTGGTCTTTGGAGCATTCAAGTTCACTAGTACATCATGATTCATTTGATATACTGCACTAAAACTAACAACTCTACAGCTTTGACTTCGACTTCTCCAGGATCGCTACATCCTGGAATGGAAGACCCAGATACTGCCACATGAACGCAAAACTATACAGCTTGTTAGTACTCTTTTTCTCGGTCATACAGAGAAACTGGGCTCTAGACTCACCGGTCACTGCCAAAAAAGGGCTCTTCTTTGCCCTCCTTGTTTCGCACCCAGAACCACGGGGCACCATACGCCCCCTGGTCAAGGGCCGTCTGCGTATTAGCAGTCAAGGCCTCCTTGTATTCAGGGCTAGAAGCAGCACCGAGGATAGCCTTGATCTCCTCGTCGGAATAATCGTGGCTTTTGAGCAGTTCTCCCAGTTGCTCCGGCTTGCTGATGTTGATGTTCTTGTGATACATCCACTCCCACAGCGAGAGGAAAGTGGTCTCATAGCGTTCGCGGGGGTAATTTTTCTTGATATAAATCATGCATCGTTGAGGCTGTGGAAACGAATTAGCTTTCAGATGACCCCTGCAAGCCCACCTGGGCAACGATTGGTCAAAACACACCATGATCGAAAGGATGGGGAAGAAATCCGGCGTCTTGATGGGGGCCACGCCGAAGTATTTACAAGCTCGCTCGGAGTCAAACTTGGAGTAGTTTGCTTTGGCTGGAAGGGTCCATGGAGGCTTATTTCCTATTATTACATATAAGCGGATGTTCCGGTTCAAGTACTGTGGACTTTTCGAATCCATACCAGAGCCAACATTGACGCCGCCCAAGAAAATAGGATGAAATCTGCCAACGTCAGAAATGCCGGTCGCAAAAGTCGCAAACCCCTGGATAAAAAGGCGGTCTCACTCAATCTCAATTCCATACGATTCCAGTGCCTGGCGATTTCTTCTCAGATAGAGGGTGGCATAGTATGAATAGGGCGACACTGTACACCAATCAGCATTCCGCAAGACCCCGGATTTCCCCCTTGAAGGGCAGAAGGGCAGGGATGACAGCCTAGGGCGAGTGGGCTCATACCGCAATCAACATACGCATCTATCTTGCCAGTCATGTTGAATTTGAATATTGTAATCACTCCTAAATTGATGACGCGATAGATAACTTCCTAGTGCATAGTGAGAGGAAGGATGGGTATATAGCAGTTGGTGATGAACGAAGGGCCCGAGGTGGAGATGGACCGAGGCTGTGGGGTTGATCACTCATCAGCTATTTCCGTCCTCTACAGCCTCGTTAGAACCGGGACGGCAACAAACAACCAGAAATACCTGTCTTGCCTGGTATTAATCATATAAATTATCTAGATAAAAATTACGTGGACTCAGATGATCTGGCAAATAATGTTCAATCCGAGTTGGCAAACCTTTCTGATTCAAGTTGGTCAAAGAACTGCTAGTAGAATGCCTCCATAATGTCAATCGGCGAAGAATTATATATAAATTTGAAAGATCATCAAAGTAGGTATTATTAATTAATTTAGACCTCGGATTTTCGGCGATTTTTCACCCACGGCTAATCGACCAGTGGTATCTGGGGGATTGTTTCAACCCCACCGACAATTCGATAAAGTCGCATGCTTCATGACGCTAGTCATTTATGGTCGTGTTTTGTACCACCAAGCATTCGGAAAGCCACTGGTCCTTGCTGCCCATTTCACTCCTTCCGAGTGGTGCTGATAGCCGACTGCCTGGTGTTGACAATATCAAGGTCGTACGGATTCTCTTCATATTGTGTCGCAGTTGCAACACGTTGAATCGACCGTCCTGACTGGCGAGATGCCCTAGAAGCATATCTTCCAAAAGAAACACGGGATGGGACAGTTGACAGACTCTCAGTATCGCTTGTCTCATCTATAATCTGGCCAGATTGAGCGGCCTGGTCGACGCCCTTCTCTGCGTTGGTTCCCTCTGTCTCCTTGCGCACCTCTGTCTGGTTCTTTTCAGCGAGACGACGCATAAATGCGTCGGCCTCGGCAGCATAAGTGCACTTTTGCCTTATCTGTGCACCATACTTGTAGAAGATGAATGGAAGAGGCACACAGAGAACAGACAAGAATGCCGGAATGGATGAAGCCCAATGAATGCCGAGGTTTTTATACATGTATGTTGTGAAGAGAGGAAAGGCCATTCCGAACAATGATCGAAGGGCCGAATTGGCTGCTAGAACACTGGCAGCATAGATGGTGTAGGAATCGATGAGATAATTAAACACACTCAAAAAGATAAGGACCATGCCGAATCCAAAAGGTGCACCTGCGGCAACGGAAGCCATCCAATGGATTGACGGAGAGTTTGTCCAAGCAAACCAGAAGAGTCCAATTGGCAGGGCAATTCCACCCACCATGCTTGGAGGAAGTCGAATCTCCGGGGCTAGACGATCAGTGGTCTCGCTGCACATTTTGGCGTAACGCATGTTCTCGGGAAATGTATACGCGACCGCAAGGAGCATGCCGACCAAGATGCCCAGGAAAGCGAGGCCACCGATTCCTTCACTCCAGCCTCGAACTTCTTGGAAGACGATTGGATATGCTGCAAACAACATATAAAGTGTACCATAGATAATGGACATATAGATAGAAAACAGGAGAACGATCGGTTCACGGAATAACAAGAGCCATGGCCTCGAGAGAGCTGTCTTGAGGGTCTTGCTCATTGGCATAGGACCACGCTCAATATCAAGTTTGCTCCTGTAGACATGACCCGTCAATTCGGAAAGTTTTGCAGCTCGGCGACGAAGTAAAACTGGCGCGTATGTTTCAGGTAGAAGAAAAATAATGCACAGCCAAAGCACACCGGAAAATGCTGCCAAGAACCCTTCTACCCAGCGCCAGCCAGCACCTGTTGCGAGGAAACCACCAATGATTGGACCAATGGTCGGTCCAAGGAATGGTGCAGCAGCGAAGAAACTAATTGCAATACCTCGCTGTGAAGCAGGGAACATATCGGCAATTGTACCGCCTGCATTTCCAAATGGTGAAGATCCGAAGCAACCAGCGAGAAACCTCAGAATGATGAGAGTCTGGATGTTCTTTGCGCCGGCAGCTCCAGCATTGAAAGTCGTCAAAAATGCAAAACTGATGGTGAATATATGACGACGACCAAATATTTCACTCAGAGGTGCCCATATTAAGGGGCCAATCTTTTTTTGCATGTTAGCTGTTTGATTCTAGCTCTCAAGTTTTGCAGGTGGTTACTTACAGCGAAGCCTAGGACGAAGAGCGAAACTCCAAGAATAACAACCTCCTCTTCCACGCCGAAATCCGCAACAATCTGGCTCATTCCACCTGAAAATGCCGACGAAACCAGGGCGACAGCCAGTGTGACGAATGATACCAAGATCGTGATGAACCATTTCTTGACAGTCTTGAAGTTCATCGGATTTCGTGGGTCATTCGGCAGCCATGTTACAGCGAAGGGGTCATCTTCGGTGCCTGAACCTGGATATGGGTACTGGGCGACTTCTTGAGTGATGACCTTTTGGTCGAATATCAAGCGCCAGAATGGGATCTTGGAGGGGTACGAGACCTCACCCCCGCCGTTAGGAGGCGACATTTTGCGATCAGTCAGTCTCAAAGTGACCAGCACTTAACCCTAAGCCCACTTTTGATAGAATATGCCGACGATAGGTGATGAGCGCGATGCAGATCAACTCTTCGAGAAGGCGATAAATATGGAAGCAGAATTGAAAATCATCTCGCCCTAAACAGTGACATTGAAAATAATTGCCAGGAACATTGAAGGCGACCCACTTGGATAACCGGTAGCCTCGGCATGTTCCTATCCAGGTTAATGCATTGGTCAAGCGAGTAGGGATAATCGGCATCGAGTGCCGATTCGACACAAGTGGGGAAGTGCTCAGAGTTTTCGGTGGAGCTATGTTTTATCCTCCAACTTCAAACGCGTTCGAAAATTCGGCCCGGACGCCACCCACGGCTTGTCCTTCAGGCTCAATACGGCTTGCCGAATGACAGTCAGCACGGTCGGACAGCTGGGAAATGCCCAAGAACTCTTATTTAGGTGCTTTTGGGCCATATGGCTGATTTGATAACTTTTCATGCTCCAGATTTTCTCCACTTGGCCTCTCGATGGGTCCAAGCGGAGTAATCTTTGACGGCTGCACCCGATGTTCTAGATTGACTGCATTGCGTACCTACACTGAGCATAAATACATAAATCTATAGGAATTCAGGCTCCAGGGCTGGGTTCTTAGTCGTGCACTGAAAGACTGGCATGCCCTCTTTTCCTTGAGACGTAGCCCAATCAGGATTTGCCGTGGAGGGCTTAATAACGTTTATCACCAGTGTGAAAGCGGCATGGCAGACAGCATTTGTACCGAGCTATGATATCAACCTCTACGCTGAAAAGGTTTAATTCCCACTTTCCCCAATAATTCAGCACTGGGGATGTACGTCGAAAAGTTGAACAATTGATTGGAAAATCTTCATAACGCAATCTTCCGCTCAAAACCTGATGAGGCCTTTTCTTTGAATAGATACAGAACTTGGCAGGCAGATTCAAGTCAGAAAGAGAAGCAACAACATCAAGAAAAGTGTATTGTCGCGATTCAGAATATAGTCATTGATGGATCCTAAGGCGAAAAACAATGAGGGAGAAGAGAAGTTGGCGACTTGAACTTTTTACGCCTTCCTTGCACGTCCAAATTTGACAGACTGACAAATGTTCGAAACCTTCTTTTTTGAAAATCTATCATTTCAGTCCATACTCGTAGAGCGCGCCTTCATTCTGAGTCCTCTTCCAAATTCGCTCTCTTCTCTCCGTACAGTAATTCAGTGGCCATCGGGGAGCTCCCCGCTGATTTCCTGAGCAAGTCACCTCGGGCTCTTACGCGAGTGGAGACAACCCCACAGACAGGGATTCACTTGTTAGCTACACATTTAACCCAACACATATTTCATCAAAAGGGGGGGGTTTATCGATATTTCGCTGTGTCTTGACTTGAATTTTTGTCATAGGATCAACCTAACTATCATCAACTACGCATCTTCGAACAAAGCATGACTCGCCAGAACCTCGGTTTCTTTAATATGGCTCTCTTGTGAAATAGGCATAGCCGCGCACAGAGCTTATATTTTGCAGAATACTCTCCTTCTCTCTACCTTTGATCACTTACGAACCTTCACTATCGAGCCGCTCCGAGTCTCTGATTATCCGAAACCTTCTGCTCTGAGACCCACTCTCTTGAGGCTAGTCCTCTTCCAAAGAGAACAGACTCCTTCCTTCAAGTTCCGTCCTCAGAAAGGGAAAATTATTTCGGGAGAAATGAATAGCGATCAACATCCCTCAAAGAGTGGCTCATGTCACGATGTTCAATCTTCAAATTGTCCTGAGTTCCATTCTGTCAGCGACCCTGTGGGGGTTTCACGCACGCATAGCACCATAGACCATGATCTTTATGATGTTTCTTTCGATGGCGATGAAGATCCCATGAGCCCTAAAAGGCTGCCGCTGGTAAGAAAATGGGCGATTGTTATTATAGTATGCACAGGAACCATGTGTGTGTAAGTTGAAACCTGCTTTTTCGAAGTCCTACTGAATAAGCTAGCTGGTGCTGATTGCGGAATATTAGGACTTGTGCAAGTTCAATTTACACGACGACATATCCACAGATGAATGCCGAGATGAATACTCCGTCCCTAATTGCAATCCTGGGACTGTCCTTTTTTGTCCTTGGTCTTGGCCTCGGGCCATTATTGACAAGTCCTTTGAGCGAGTGGTATGGTCGAAGACCTATTTACGTCGTCTCGTGGTCTTTTTTCGTTATCTGGAATGTCGTAACGGCCGTTGCCAAGAACATTGAAACGGTCATTATTTCTCGTTTCTTCACTGGCTTCGCGGGTGGCACGTTCTTATCTGTATCGGGCGGAACCGTGAGTGATGTGTTCCTACGCTCTCAGATCCAATTGCCAATGACCTTGGTTTCTTCGGCTCCTTTCATCGGTCCTTGTCTGGGTCCTTTAATTGGTGGCTTCATCAGTTACAACACAACATGGAGGTGGAACTATTACTTCATCACCATTTGGTCTGGGGTGCTTCTGGTCTCGATCGCCATATTTGTGCCTGAAACATTCCCTCCAGTCCTACTGCGAGCCAAAGCCGTGATGCTCCGAAAATCAACTGGAGATGATCGCTACAAAGCTCCCACAGAAAAGCTTCAAACTTCTAGAAGCAGAGCCTTAGCATATGCCCTCATGCGACCTTTCCAGCTTTTATTCTTCGAGCCCATGTGCCTTGCTCTCGATGTTTATGCGGCCCTCTTGCTCGGTATGCTATACCTATTCTTCCAGGCTATTCCTCTCATGTTTGAGACGACCTATGACTGGAAGATGTGGCAGGGCGGTCTTCCATTTGTCGGTATCATTGCTGGCATGATCGTGGGGGCCTTAAGTACCCCACTCTGGGCCCGTGTCAAGGATCGTCTTTTAGAGCCCCAGGAGAAGCAAACCGGGGATATCGCCCCGGAGTACAGTTTACTTCCAGCTATACCAGGGGGCGTTTTGATTCCAATCGGCCTCTTTTGGTTTGGCTGGAGCTTGTCATCAAATGTTCACTGGATTGTTCCCATCATCGGGTCCTCCTTTTTTGGCTGCGGGTGAGTGCACATAGTTTACGAAGAGTCTATGCGGGCAAATTCCGTGCTCAGTTTTGGTGCATATAAAAACCCTGGCTAACTCATTTGGACTTACTAGAATCTTGCTGGCATACAAGGGCATCTTCACTTTTCTTGTGAGTTCCTTCACCCTGGCAACCTTTTTCTCATACGCGTTGATCAATACCATACTAACTTCTCCCAAGGTTGATGCCTATCCACAGTACGCTGCGTCTGCGCTCGCCGGGAATGGATTCGTGCGATCATCTTTTGCTGGTACGTGAGACAAAAACATCAATCTCGACAATACCGAAAAGCTAACTAATATAATTAACAGCTGCTTTCCCTTTATTTGGGCTGCAGATGTACGATAAACTGGGCTATCATTGGGCAACTAGCTTGCTTGCCTTTCTTATGATTCTCATGATGCCATTTCCATGGGTCTTTTTCAAGTACGGAAAGGTCCTGCGAGGCAAGAGCAAATTTGCTTTGAGTGCTTAAATGGATGAGAAAAATATCATTCAAGCTCGCATGTCTATGTCTAGTTTGTGCAGGTGGCTTGCACTACTTACTATGTCCGGTATTCGCTAAAAAAATCGATCGGACCATGTACATATTTTATCATTGTGGTATCTATATGAATCAAAATTCGCCCATGCCCATGGACGATTGTCCTCCGATACTCGAACCTTCGAAAGACATGTATTGAGTGAATCCAACACCGTCGTGCAGGAAAAGGTCAATATCAAGCGCATTATCGAGATACCCAGCCCATAAAGAATCATGAATGAACTGATCGGGCGCTCGCCATAGGCATCCTTGAGCATGAGAACCGTCGGAGTTATTGCCTATATGACAAGTGCAATGAGAAATCGGCCCATCATTGCTCGGCGGAAGCTGATTCGCGATCGGTTGAAGTCTCACGGTCTGTGCTGGCAGTGACATGCTTGTGTCATTGGATGGGGACCAGATACTTGACGATACATTCACAATTGGTCCGTTCAAGTTAGACCCCTGCCCTGTCAACCTTTTCATTAGATTGACGAATGCCTTCGAGATCCAGATTCTGACCGGCCATGACTTTGCTATCACGCTCAGTGCCAGCATGCACTGTCGTGATTTGTTCTCGGCGAGTTGGCGATGGATTGATTCCTTCCGGCATATCACGAGCGTATGTATCGACAATGCTGAGAATAAGGCAGGAACCCTGATAATTGTCAGTTGAGTCATTTAGAGTGAACAATGTTGAATGAGCTTGACCATACATATGAATTAGGCCAGAATGGATCATTCCGGTGGCTAAAAGGTCCTCAGCTAGACGGGTAATGAAATCCGCAGCTGCTCGAGCTCTAGAGTCCCGTTCAGCCTCAGCTGGTAATCCCTCTTTGATGGATTTCGGTCGAAATAGTAAGATCGTACAATTCCTAGTATTCATGCGTTAAGTAACTGAGGCCTTCTAGTACCCCCAACTAGTTTGAAAACACTCACTGATATGAGATTTGCAACATGCAACCCCAAAACGACCCTTTCGTATAACCTTCGTGGGCTTTCATTTGAACCTTTTTCGGAAGCTCTGATTCCCATTCTTCCAGTCTCCGTATCAATGTGTTTGTTTCGAACTTTTCTGGCGCAGGCCGTTGGGGACTAAATTCCCCCAAAAGGATATCGCCGACTAGATTTATACCATTTTGTTAATCAAACAAGGCATAAATTGGCACGTTTCTAGTGGTTTGACTCACGTAAGGCTGCTAATTTGGCCATTTCGATGACATATGAAACGTGGTAGTCTTTCTGTGCTGGTATGAGGCTTTGGTCGAAGTCAGTATCGAAATCAAAATCCTCTTCTGTAAGAGCTTCGATATCACAGTCTTCGTCTCTTATACGGGTCGGTCGGCCAAAGGCCCCAGCGGTATGCCTATCACGGGACTAGAATTATCAGACCATGTAGTGGCAATGAGCCGAAACAATATGACTTACATAGATGATCCACCATATTCGTTTTCTCAAGGACTTTATTTGGGGGCTCATTGATGATTGGGACATCCTTAGCTTCATTAGCACATTCCTTTCTTGGTCTTGGCAAAAGCTATACATACGAGCGATGCATTCCCAAAGACTGCGCGTAGGTGATCGCACATCCAACCCAATGACATACGTCTTTCTGGTCATCATAACTAGCCCACCAGAATCCAAATAATAGCAGAACCGCGGCAAGATTCATACGATCAGTCTCATAGTCCGCATCGTAAAGTGCCTTTGCACGAAGAAAATGTGTCTTTCTTGCTGTGGCTCGGTCTGTAAACCCGGCCGCCACCACCAAATCATCGCTTCCGATTGTAAATCCTAGCAGGCATATTGTTTGCAGAACCAGTGGAGATGTTTGGCCTGCCGAGTATGACTGAGAGAATTTCTCACGATCAAATACTGGATATGCAGGATGAATGTTGTCAAAAAAGGTATAGATCAGTCGACGGAGAATATCCGGAGTAGGCAGTGTCAGAGCCTCTTGTAAAGATATTGGGGTCTGAAGCTGATTGGTTTCCATCCCTGGCCTATCTGCTATAGATGCAGGGATCGGGTGATGAACCGTTAGCGGCTCAGTCGAGCCACCCTCGGGCCTATGACTTAGTTCGATAACATAATGGAGAGTCGATGAATCATTTGTGTAGCTCTCAGGAAAATCCGTTTGTAAACGATCGCCGATGTGCTGTGCAGGCAATCGCTGGCTCTTCTGGGATTCGACCCCGTCACGGTTGCTTTGGCCCGGGCCTGGAGTAGGTCCCGGGATGCAATCGCTCGGAGTCGAGGGTGATATAGTAGCATACGGCGTTTCAGTGGGGCTGTCTATATGGGAACTCTGTGCACTAGGCGCCTCACTACCTCGAAGGATTTGTCGGGGCCCCTTAGTCCGAGTCCGGGGGGTATCCCGGGTTTTCCTGATATATCTACATCAATTGTTAGACTGGGCTAATCATTAATTGGGATAAAAGAGAAGAAAATCATACTTTCCCCGTTTTGAATCAATCAATTCGCACTTGATTTGCCTCATGCGGCAATGCCAACATGGCTGTCCATCACCAGCATCGCATTTGACCCGCCTCGCATTGCACGCCTTGCAGGCAACCCTCGTCCGGCGGAGCGGAGTTAGGGTCTCGGGCGTGCATGTATTCTGCGAGGATTCCATCAGATATGCGCAGCCTCGGGTCGTAGAATACCCCGCGGTGAAGGAAACTGCAAGTCAGCGAGGTTGTCTTTGAAAGTACAATGTACGAGTAGTTGGGGGTGGAAGAAGAGAAGAAGCCGACGGGGACTCATCTGCGGGCAAAGTGGAGTCGTGGAGAGAGCCCGACGGGATCCGTGCTGTCACCAGTTGACAGTTTATCGCGAGTCGTATAGCTTATGTACTCTTTTTCATGATGATAAGATATCACATAGTAAATATTTGTTGATTGAATGGTGTATAAGTTGTGGCAATTATATTCTGAGCCCATTTATGCCCTAATTATCTATTTGCGTGGAGTTTTGCCACTCAAGACTCTCCTGAATGGTCTCGCCACTATCCCCCTCCCCTCCCATCGTTTTGTTTACCGAAATCAAATCGCTGTATAACATTTTAAATAGAAAAACTTACAACCTCTTGTTTATCCAAGTTCTCCTCCGCTTCTCGAATATTATGGAGCAACAGCGCTGAACGAACATGCAATTCTAGTTGAGTTAGCGATAATCTAGTTCAAAAATAACCCCAGTCTTGAAGACACGTACCTCGAATTTCCAAATCAAATGACTTGGCTTCATCTTCAGTCGCCTCCTTTTCCACGGCCCGCATTCTGAGGCCAACCAACTTTTCAGAGTTCATCCAAATGATCTCCTCTGTATTCCGCTCAAGCCATGCCCGATCAATGCGAATCATCCCATCATGGACGACAAATGCAGGAGCGATAAAATACTCTTGACCCGCAATGACTAGGTTCAACTTCACTCGTAGCTGGATAAAACTTTCATAGTCTTCCAACGTGACTTGGCGCGTTGCGAAGCCTTTGCATCCCGCCTCGCCCATTTGGGCACGGATCAGGTCATCTCCCCCGCATAGGAGGATGATGCTTCCTACGGGTGGGCCGGCGGGGGCGCTGTTGGGTGAAAGTGCTTCGGGACGATAGATACTATGTAAGGCTGTTGTTCGGGGCGTGGAATCTTCATCGATAGTGTCCAATCCCGGGGTCTGCAGGAACTGACATCGGACCCGTGATTGTGCGGAGTCGGGACAGGCGCAGAGAAGCATTAACCTGATATCACTGCGCTGTACCATTGCTCGCAGTTGGCATTTTAGTGTGGGCTCCACTGCATCTTGGAAATGTCGGGAGACGGCCATCAACTTGGCCAGGGAGATTATCGGGAGATGGGAGAAGATCATGATGATCAGCTGTCACCTGTCAGCCTTGGGGTTGAAGTACATTGGGACTAATCATGGTATCAAGCAAGGCTGGATATGTGGACAGAGAAATGGTTATGATTCTGACACACCTCGTTCGGAAGAGAGCATAAGTTCAATCTGCTCTCAGAGATATGAGAGGGGTTATGAGATATATGGCGACCTGAGAATACTGGTTGTCTGATACACTCCATTGTAAGATGAGGAGATCTAATGAAGAGATAGATAGAGGAGGGGAAAGACTGAGAGCGAGATGGAGGGGAGAGATCGAGATGATATACTCTTCTCTGGTCTGCTCTTCGCCCTTTGCGGGAATGAGCAGCTTCTATGGTGGTGTGATCCGCGTTGTCTTCCAATTTCCAACTGCCAATGGATGACTCTTCATCACTTTGTGCGACTCTGAAACATCATATAGTACCCTAGGTACATGTGAGAACAACATTCGACCTGCTCGTGTCTGGAAATGGGATGGTTATAGGATTCAGCGTGTTTCTGCCGAACTAAAACCGAAGGGGGGTTGAACACATGACGTCACGAGGATGGCTGATGCTGACAGAGCAGCAGTACATACTCTGCACTAACTAACTATGCACTAGTTATGTATGTAGTACGAGTACAGGTTACTTCAAAAAGCTTACACTGCTGTCAACAATTCCAACTATAGCATCCCACACCATACCACACACCATGCAATCCGATGTTTCTGGCCTACGAGGATGCGGGTCTCCACTCTCTGCACCCCATGCCGTGCCCCGGTGCCCCCGGTTCCCCGAGCGCGGGAAGCCGAGCGATGCCTTATCCGGCTCACCGAACAGCCCCCGGGGCAATGACATCGGCAGTCGAGTGATGGAGTATGTATACTCCAGCTATAGAGTTGATCAATATGAGAGTGAGTTTATAAGCATTCCCAGATTATATCAGTGATAGTTATATTACTTCCAAGCTCAATCTCACTCCCAGTCATGTTGACCGATTGATTTACCTCTACTCTCTACTAGTACCGTCGCATTCAAACTGCCCACTGAGAGAACCCCGCGCCCCCGCCGGAGAGGCCCAAACGAGAATTTAACCGGCATCCGGGGTTTTTAATGGCCTTTTAAAAGGCTTTTTGAATCGAACTCTTCCCCTTCTCTGTTTCCCCAAGGTACTCTCCAGATCTTCCTTTTCCCCCTTTATTCCCTCCCTCTCCAAACTCCCAATGGAGAACGTACTGGACGACATCTCCCACCGGAGATACAATCCCCTTCGCGGGTCTCACATTCTGGTTTCCCCCCACCGAACCAAGCGTCCCTGGCAGTGAGTTGACCCTTCTCTGTGCAATTGTGCAAGTGTGCAATTGTGTATTATTTAAAATCCCATTTTCTGATCCCATCTCTGGTAGAGGACACCAGGAGAGTCCCTCCAAGACCACTCTGCCCAATTATGACCCCGCATGCTATTTGTGCCCTGGAAACCAACGCGCCCAGGGTGACGTCAACCCCAAATACGACAACACCTTCGTGTTTGTGAATGATTACAGCGCCGTCAAGGAGGAGCAGGCTGCCTACGATGGCAAGTCCAGTGATGGTACTTTCTTTCCTCTCCTGTCCCGGTGGGATGTATACACAATGCTCACCCGCAGTAGAACTCGAATCGCGCTTCCTCAAGGCTGAGCCCGTCACGGGTAAATGCTACGTCCTCACCTTCTCCCCATCCCACAACCTCACCTTGGCCGACCTGCCACCCGCTGAGATCGTACCCGTGATCAATGCCTGGACCGAGATCTATGCCGCCCACCTGTCGCCCACCTCCCCTCTGGCAAAGAATGCTCCAGCCGTTGCGCACGACACCCCCATCACCAAGCCGAAGGATCAGTACCGCTACATGCAGATCTTCGAGAACAAGGGTGCTGCGATGGGCTGCTCGAACCCCCACCCCCACGGCCAGGTCTGGACTACCAGCACTCTGCCCGAAGAGCCCGCGGCGGAGATGGAGCAGCTACGTAAATACCGCGCTGAGCACGGCGGCAGTCACCTGCTCGAAGACTACGCTGCGCTGGAAAGCCGCAAGCAGGAGCGAGTCGTATTTGAGAACGAGGCCTTCGTCGCCGTTTGCCCTTGGTGGGCGACCTGGCCCTTTGAGACTATGATCGTTAGCCGCACACACAAGCGCGCTCTGGTCGATCTGTCCGATGCCGACAAGACTCTCCTCGCCGAGGCTATTGCTGAAATCACCCGTCGTTATGATAACCTCTTCGAAACTCACTTCCCTTACAGCATGGGTATTCACCAGGCTCCGCTGGACGGTACGGCCGAAGAGATCGAGGCTTCTTATTTGCATCTGCATTTCTACCCGCCTCTGCTGCGCAGCGCGACGGTGCGCAAGTTCCTTGTTGGTTATGAGCTCATGGCTGAGCCTCAGCGTGATATCACTCCGGAGCAGGCCGCTGCCCGCCTACGCGGCTGCGGCGGAGAGCTGTACCGCAAGAAGATGGATTAAAGCTGCTGATAGCTTTGGAATATGCAATTTCTCGTATTATGCATCCTCAGCCACTTCTCCCTTGTCGGATCAAGATCAAGAATCAAGAAAGAAAAAAAGTGTAGCAATCAATATTAATAAATTCCCACCATAATGGTGGCGTGGCTCGACTACATATTGTTCTCAGATGGTATTTTGGGGATCTGGTTTCCCGGTGATGGAACACACAATGTCCTCATCAAATAATCATACATCATAATCCACACTTATATTGTATATTTGGCAACTGTCGACGCGATCGATAGGCGCCCCTTAGATCAGGTACGCGTCGCGCTGGGTCAGCATCCAAGCGAGCGAGGATGAGGCCACAATCAGAGGGCTGAGGAATCGACCACGCAGAGAAGCGTTTCCAAAGACGAGCTCACCAACGAAGTGCGTCAGGGCAATGCCGTAGGTCCACAGGGCAAGATCATAGGCGACCGAGTTGTCGATGTTATAGGCGGCAGTCATGCGGATGACAGCGGAGAGGAAAGTCCAGGTACCGAACACGCGACCGGACAAGGGCTCAACGGCAATTGATCCATTGGTGTAAAGCTTGGAGGTATAATCGGCGGAGAAATAAGCTTGCAGGCTGTTGACGGCGGAGACCACGGAGACCTGCTAGGGTGTCAGCGGAGATTCACACAGGAGTCAGGAGGGGGTAGACGTACGAAAACAAGCCATTTGGGCAGCAGACCCTCAAAGGGGGGTAGATATGATAGCAATTGATCCATGATGCTCAAAATGGGAGGAGGGTAGTGATGGGAGGATGGAAGAGACCTTAGGGAATTGGCTTGTGACGAGAGACCGAGGATGTTCTCAATGTTTGGGGTTCTTGGCGTCGATCGTCCCAACAAGCTGCCCTTCTTTTTTATTCCCTTGCACTTCCACTTCCCCTCCACCTCCACCTCCACACACTACTCTCACAATGGATCTGTCAAAGCACATCGAATGCCTTTCGCAATGGCCTGCTCATATCCCGGCAGGTCTGCCCGCCGTAGGCGCGTTGGTTCTCCTCGCAACTGGTGGGCTTGCTGTCGCCTGCAAGGTCTGGAGCTTCCTGCGGGTGATCCTCAGTCTATTCATCCTTCCCGGCAAACCGGTTCGTACTCGTCTATACTATGTTTTCCCTGGCTACTCTTGTCATGATACTAACATTTTGATTCATTTCAGCTTCGTTCCTTCGGACCCCCCGGTAGCTGGGCTGTGGTAACTGGTGCCTCGGATGGTCTGGGGAAGGAATTCGCGCTGCAGCTGGCGCGGGCCAAGTTCAACATCGTGCTGGTGTCGCGAACCGAATCGAAGCTGGAGACTCTTGCCGAAGAAATCACCAAGCAATTCCCCAATGTGCAAACCAAGATCCTCGCCATGGACTTCTCCCGCAACTCCGACGCCGACTACACCGCGCTGAGTGCTCTTGTCTCGGATCTGGATGTCTCAATCCTCGTCAACAACGTCGGCCTGAGCCACTCGATCCCCGTCCCCTTCGCCCAGACCCCAGCTTCCGAGATGGCCGATATCATCACCATCAACTGCACCGGTACCCTGCGCGTCACCCAGCTCGTTGTCCCCGGCATGATGCAGCGCCGCCGCGGTCTGATTCTCACTATGGGTTCATTCGGTGGTCTTCTCCCTACACCTCTGCTGGCCACCTACTCCGGAAGCAAGGCTTTCCTGCAGCAGTGGTCTACCGCTCTGGGCGGCGAGCTGTCTTCCTACGGCATTGAGGTCGAGCTTGTCCAGGCTTACCTGATTACCTCTGCCATGTCCAAGATCCGCCGTGCATCTGCCTCCATCCCCACTCCCCGCGCTTTCGTCCGCTCCGTTCTCTCTAAGATCGGCCGTAGCGGTGGTTCGTCCTCGTACGCTCACAGCTCCTCTCCTTACTGGAGCCACGGCCTCATGGCCTGGTTCCTGACCTCCATCGGAACCATGAACGGCTTCGTGCTTAGCCAGAACAAATCCATGCATGAGAGCATTCGCAAGCGTGCCCTGCGCAAGGCTGAGCGTGATGCTCAGAAGAAGAGCACTTGAGCTCCAATTGACTCAATTGTTAGACACGGCACAGCGGAAGTGGGCCGGCACTTTTTCAGGCAAGGTACTCCAATCTTGCTCAATGGATGGTGGAAAAATTGGCTGCAGTTTGGAACCCAAAACTGTTACGCATGATGATGATCAGAGTGTACTGAGCGCATTTTAGGACAACTATTATTTTTAATCATATATTATCGGGTATCTAGATCACTCTCAGGGTCCACGATGGATTCTCGCTTTACGAGAATACGATTCTTAAAACTTTAGGAACTACTCCGTTTATCGTAGTAACCTCTGCTCTGCTGTTTCAGCCCTGTCGCAAGCTTCTCAAAGGACCAATAGTCTGGCCATTCTAGGTCGGAGTTGCGAACGGTTCACCTGGTCACCTCATGCCTGAGACATGTGGACCTCAATGGGGCCACGGTCTTTTCTACATCTAGTAAATGGGTGACACTCTTGCCGTGGTTGTTTATGACCAATAATGAATTGAGCATCCCAGCCCGACTCGGAACGACCTGCTACGGCACAGCCCTCAACCTCAACAACCAATGGCCCGAGCATCGAACGGAATTCAATTCATCAATGACGTTCCAAGGTGTGGAGATACTATTCTACCCTGCCACACTCGGGCAAGTAATTCAGTGACGCAATCTCTTGTTCACAGTCTTGTTCACAGACCTTCGGCGGGATTTCACGATGTGCTCAGTCCTATGGGACTCCGACGTCTTTCGTTACATGCCCAAGCGTCCAGAACCCCGATGGTCTAAGCCAAAGTAAGAAGCGGCCTAAGCACATATCTTGACTCTTCCTTTCAAGTCTTCCTCAATTTTGAGCCCGTGGTCTCATACGGGGAGTAGTGCAGAATTGGAGGCTAGCCGCGACGCGAGGGATCAGAGTTGTCTCCAATCTCTAACAAGAGAAGCCTATTCTAACCCCCCCGGTAATCCTTTTCGTCGCACTTTAACCTGGTTGTGAGCTGGATCTACCAGCTCACGACAGAACCTCGTAGGAATCTCGGGACCCCTGCATGGTATCGGTTTCATCGGTGATCGTCGAGACCGGGACTCTCTATGATATCGCAAGTCACTACGAGGTTCCGTCAGTGGCGCCGTGTTGCCCGTGGACCTAACCCCACTTCATTGCAGACGGGTAGACAGATTAGACACGAGAAGAGGGGTGTACAAGCTTCAATTGCCTAGGACCTCGTTCGATCAAGATTCTCACAAGCTGCAGCCCAGATCTAGGGTAGATCGGGAATTAGCGATGCATGTGAGATCCCGACACACGATCCAAATTAAACCTGCCGCATTTGAAACCGAGGGAGACAGTAGTAACCAGGGATCTGACTGTTTAAAATTTCGCCTCAGAATCCCCCCCCCCCCCACTGACGGTCAGTGAAACGCGGGTGTCAGAGATATAGTACCAAAGTGGACCCCCACCGGGGCGGGTTACGTTGTTTTGGCAGCGCGGGAAGGATTGCTGCCGCACCCCCAAGTGGACTCGATGGAGCATTTCGAGAAAGGAATGAAAAGAAAGAAAGAAAAAACTAGGCTGAAACTCAATCAGAAAGAGTCATTCGCCCGGGTCTATTAGAATAATCTAGACTCGATTACTGGTTCGCCTGTTTAGCATTTTCGTGACCGCTGATCCTGTCGGCAATGATGCAGGGACCTCCCCTGTTAGTAAGTTTTGCTGGCAACGTTTTACTTGTTAGTGAGTTTACTTTAATGCGAGCCCCGCGCTGTTTTTGTTCCCTCGTGGCTCTTGGCAGATCTCGATGCAATATATTTTTATATCGGGTCATGTCCACTTTCAAGTTCGAAGCTCCCGAGGTCCCGCGTTGAAGTCCTGTGAGATTTAGGTCATGTCTTCGAAGTCCAGTGGAAGTCTTGTCCATGCACTCGGGCAGAACTGGTTGGGAAAGACTGATATTGCGGTACAAACAATTCTGCTGGCAGTTGCTTTTGTGGTTGTTGGTCTACGACTATGGACACGACGAAGGTTGCGAGTCTCGCTTCAAGGGAATGACTGGTTCATTCTAGCAGCTACGGTGAGATGACAATGCCTATCTTGATGGGCAATAGATCAAACTGACGAAATGCTACAATAGGTCATCATGTTGGGACGTTATATTGTTGAGCTTCTTCTCATTTTACTCTGTGGAATGGGAATCCATACGGATGAAGTCGTCCGTCTTGGTGGGTCTGAGACCTTGGTACGCTTCAACAAGGTAAATGCCGTTCTATACGCATAATTTCCTCTTCGAAATGTCACTGGGAGACACATCTAACCTCAAATTAGCTTACATATCTGGGGGAGCTCCTTTGGGTTACCGTGGTGGCCCTCATCCAGCTCTCCATACTGCAATACTACTTCCGCCGATTCCAGCAACCGATTATCATGAGGCTGACCTGCGTTTTAATCGGTCTATGCTCAACCCTCTGGATTGCAAGTTTGCTGGCAAAAGCCTTCCTTTGCACACCACCACACAAAGTCTGGCTGGCCAGCGTCGAAGGTAACTGCGGCGATCGCAAGATGCTACACACTGGCTGTGTCGTGAGTGAACTCATTCTCAACATCTTCATCCTTCTTCTCCCTATACCAATTCTTCGACATATGCAATTTTCACGGAAGGGGGGGAATTTCTCTGGCCAGTACCTATCTTCTGAGTCTAGTGTGAGTAGTCCTGTTCGGCCCTGTTTCGCTCCCCACCTTTCAGCCCTGACATTTTCTACAACAGTATCATCGCCCTCTCGGCACTCCGTGTCGATACCAGACTTTTCCTCATTTCAAAGGACTCAACCTACGGTTCGGCCCCAGAATCTCTCGTGTCGAGCATCGTGACGCTTTTGGGTATCATTGTTGCCTGCCTACCGGTGCTGGCGCCGGCCAGCCAAAGGATTACCGGGACCCCAGAATGCACATTGATATCCGAAACTGCAAGATCAGACACTGCTTCAGGTACCAGATATTGGAAAGCAACTGTGTTGTCAGGCGGACAGATGGAGGAACCGGAAATCCCCCTGGTTACGGTCACTCAACCACCGGTGGGAAAAAGGCCCGGGTTCAACGAGTGGGCCTTGGGGCAGATCAAAATTACATCGGATTGGGAAATTCATTCGACGCGCAATTCCGCGCGGCTGGATAAGGATTCTATTCGTCGCGGTTAAAATGGATTTTGTTTGAAACTGAAACTGAAACTGAAACCGGGAAATGAAGTTATGATCACCGTACCAATTTTAATTTGCCAGCATATCAGCAGCCCCGGCCATTGATATGCAGTCCAGTATTTCAAGGCTACAGTTCATCTTTAAACTGTCGTATGCTAGTCGAATAGTGTTGCAACCTTACCAGACTTACTAATATCTGTTACGGATCAGCACCGCCATTAGATTTGACGCGCATGCCAGCCTTTCTCTTACACAGACTAGTGCCGATGGCGCAAGGTTTGCCGATCTGATTAGGTGGAAGTTAAATTTTATTCCGTGGACATAGACTGGCACGGTGACTGCTTATTATATGAAGTAGTACCAGGATCGCAAGTCGCAAGTATAGCTACTACTAAATAGTAGTCAAATTTACCAAGATCACAGGGAAGTTGTCCTTATGCAAACATTTCCCCGCTCAACCAATCAATCGGCCATCTGGCCTAGTGGTAAGGCATCCGTTTCCGATGCGGGAGATCGCAGGTTCGAATCCTGCGTTGGTCGTTTTTTGCCATTCTTCTACTCTCCAGCAAAGAGATATAAAGTGATGTTGCCTTAAAAGACTGTTTGTTGGTTAGGTAGATTTTTTGCACCCAGAGTATGACCATTGACCATACATCCATCAAAAAGGATTCACACTGGTACTAGTAGACATAAATAAAGACATGTGTCTTATTGAGCTGCCTGAGCCTGCGCTATCCGATCCACCCATCCCAGAACCAACCCCCATAGACGACGGACATGACAGCAAAAACAAAAAGCGACCAACGCAGGATTCGAACCTGCGATCTCCCGCATCGGAAACGGATGCCTTACCACTAGGCCAGATGGCCGATGCATAGAAAGGAATGTCCCAGATTGGTGCTAGAAACCTACAAAGGGCTATCCGATACCGCCGGAAGTCGCCACCTTGAGGCACTGCCGTCTAAGGTTGTGGCTCACGCTTTGACAAGCCGAAGGTTTGGATACACGTGTATGTGTCCATAATTCCTGCAGTTCTAACTGGCCAGCCCGCAGCACTGGAAATCTTGCGGGTCCTTGTCGCAGACAGCAGCCCAAGCCGACATGCGTTCACCACGATCATACAGACAGAAAAGCAACAGCAAATCAACAATAGCTGGGATAGGATCGATCGCCATGGCTTTGAGCTCGTCGAAGGGTGACATCCCTCGAATAGTACGCATATTGCTTTTCTGGTCTAATGTAGTACAAAGATTTGCCGTTATCAACAGTCTGCAGTTGATGCTACTGTGCTTCGTGTTGCCTTGCCCAAGTACCTCCGCTTGGGCCATGGTGCCACTTCTCGCGAAGATAGGTACCTGTACGTGCATACAATCAACAATACCGTTGTTTTACAATCCACCGTGTGGGAACCGCAGGTGCCAAGTGGACGGGAAGTTGTGGCGCCTGCGAGGTATCATCGCCCTTTTAGTTATAGAATTCTTTCCAACCCCCCCACCACGGGTCATCAAGTATAGCGAGCATGAGCAATTGACGAAGAAGAGAAATTGAAAATTGGACTGGCAGAATTTTCCTCTAATTTCGACTGCTTTTTCCCCGCAGAATAAATTTCCCGGGGGTTATTGTCACAAAAATTCGGAGAATACCGAGCTCCGAGTCTTCGTACAGAGTAAAACAGGATCCGCAGCAGGATCCGCACACAACCGAAGAGAGAAAGCTAGTTTCTGTTCCGTCGTCCCACCTGTATTGGAAATGCCAGGTCTCCGCGTAAAGCACGCCTTATAAGTACACTAGGTCGCTAAATTACGCATGGTTGAAATCGAGTACTTCCATCGCCAGCTAGTCGAAGTACCGATAGCAGGAATACATTTGAAACTATGTCTTCAACAGTATCATTCTCTCACGATGTGCCTATTGTGATTGTTGGCGCTGGCCCGGTCGGCATGATCCTTGCCTATCAGCTGGACCGCCTAAATGTACCCTGTCTTCTGGCCGAAAGGTCCCTTGAAATCAGCAAATGGCCCAAATTGGACTTGACGAACCGCAAGTCGATGGAACTGTTCCGCATTCTGGGTCTTGCCGAGGAATACCGAGTATTTGAGGGCAGTGTAAGCCAGGATGCGACCTTTGATACCCAATTCGCGACAAAGCTAGATGGCAAGGGACACCTCTTAGCAAATTGGGTGAGTGCTGTTATATTGTCGTGTTTATGATAAGCCGATCAGCTCTAAGATAAACTCTAGAAACTGCCATCGTCTGCAGGCCAAAGAGCTCATATTAAGGATACGAATGATGGAACTCAATGTGCGGAAGCAGGTCAAAGATGCTTGCAGCCAATCTTCGAAGGTTGGTTGAGGCAGAAAATACAAACCAAGAGCAACATTTCTAGCAAATTTGGATGGACCTACTTGGTGCATACTGAAGGAGATCAAGGTGTGAGTACAACATTTGTTGATCAGAACGGCGAGTATCACGTTCTGCACAGCAAATATCTTATCGCTTGTGATGGCGGAGGAAGCCGAATCCGTAAGACCGCAGACATTCCAATGACTGGTGGTCAAATGTACGTTTTCCCTCGGAGGCTTCGAGAAAAGTATTCTAATTCTGTGTGCAATAGGCCTTTGAGAATGCATCTCGTTCATTTTAGATCACGACAATTTGCCGAGGAGCGGTCTTTCGGAAAATATTGGCATACTTTCTGCTCACATGGCGGAGTGATACTTGACCAGAATGATGATGATATGTTTACCGCTCATCTTCCCACGCATCTGCTCCCAGAGGGCCCAGTCGACCCCTATGAGGTTGTGTATCGAATTATGGCTTCTGCTGGCCAGCGGCATGAGATTAAGATCGATGAGATTTATGCACACAGTGAATGGGCACCGAATTTCAGTATTGCCAACCAATACTATACGGATAGCATGAGGGTAATTCTGGCAGGTGATTCTGGTAAGTTCTGTGAGACGATACATTTAAAATCGGCACTTACTGATCTATTCAGCTCATCGAATGCCGCCTCATGGCGGATACGGAATGAACAGCGGTGTCGTTGATGCTGTCGATCTTGGTTGGCGATTGGCCGCGATAGTCAAAGGCTATGGTGGCGAACTACTTCTCAAGTCTTACAACATGGAAAGAAGGCCAATGCAGATTCGTACTCTAGAAAGAGCCCATCGCCATATCATGGAGCATATCAAATTGGCACAGATGTACCCGACAGAGAATAACCCGATTGACGATGACACGGAGGAGGGCAAGGACTTGCGCGCACGCATCGGCAAGTTCCTCGAAGAATCAGGACCAGAAACTGAGGACCGAGGTGTTGAGCTCGACCTTCGTTACCACTCACCCACTCTCTATCAAGATGGAACGCCTGAACTGGAGTGGACACCCGACCGGTATCGTCCCAGCACCCGCCCAGGATCCCGCGCTCCTCATGTGTTTTTGAAGGATGGGGAAACGAGCATCTATGATTTGTTCGGTGCGGAATGGACTCTGATTCACTTCGTGGACGATGACGCAGAGAGTGTTAATAAGGAATCTGCGAGTGACCGAATTGTGGTTGCAGCTGCTAGGCTCAGTATTCCCATTTCACGCGTCATCATCAGAAACGAGCCCCATGTCCGCCGCATTTGGGAACGTAACATGGTTCTTGTGCGTCCGGACACACATGTTGCGTGGAGAGCGGACAACATTTGGGACCTCAATGTCGATGAGGTCTTGCAGGTTATTTCGGGCAAGAAAGAGTTCAGCAGATTCCAGCCATCGCGTGCGTCTGCGGATGCAGAGGCTAGATTCGAAGCTCTTGTGAAAGGGATCACTGATGGTGTAACTGGCGGGGCGACCATTGCCCAGGATGACATTGCATAAATGCCATTCGATATGACCTTGCAACGTAATAATTTTATGGAGAGATTATGATTCAATGGTTACTATTCATTATGTTGTATATACATTATCTATCCTTGTAAAATGCGGCAAATTATATGAAACTCCAGAGGGCCAACATCATTTCCCATAGACCCTGAATCGTGGTTCAATCGGATCGAACTCTTTCTCCTCGATCTTTTCGCCTGGCGTGCCAAAGACCATTTGACCCTCAAGCTTCCAGGAACTAGGGATATCCCAAGTCTTTGCAACTTGGTCATCAATCAATGGGTTATAGTGTTGCAGGCTTGCGCCCAGTCCTTCAGACTGAAGTGATAACCAGACTACGATAGATGTTAGAATCCGAATCTCAGAAAGAGGTTGGTAGAGGGGCACATACTGAGGTACTCGGCCATAGCGTTCGCCTCCAGGGCGAAAGTGTCAACTTTGTCTGCATAGATTGCGAATTTCTCCTTGGTAGCCTCAAGGGACTCGTAGTCAACAAATAGAAGAATCTTTTGCGAAGTCAGTCATTCGAACCAATAGGCCTAATAGAGTATATATGTACTTACAGTTCCATAAGCGGCTTTGAAAGCTTCTAGCTTGGGCTTTGTGTAGTTTTCGAACATCTCCTTCGGAACAGCGCCCGCCTTGACTAGACTCTCAATGACTGAAATGGCGATATCCCACACTTTCTTGTGCTCATCCTTTAGTAACAGGACAACCCGGGATGATTGTGTGTTCCAAGCAGTAGGGACATGCTTGGTCGCATTCCGGATAAGAGTCTCGAGATCATCGTCAGAAATGGGGCTTTTGCCTAGCAGTTTATAATGTGTGCGTCGCTCTTGAGTGAGCTTTAGCAGACTGCGGGTGTTTTTGTTGAAAGGCTTAGACTGGCTTGATCCCATGGTGACTGTGAGTGAACTTGCAGTCCTTTGATTTTCCACGGAGAAAAGGCAGCACCGGCATTAATAGCTCCCCATTATCAAGAAGATGCCGAATATTTATAAGTGGGCAGCAAAAACTCGAGACGGACGTGATCGCTGGGTTGCTATCCGTTTATTGGAAGCAACCTTGGTTTTTACGGAGGCATCTCTCCATAAAGTTCAAGGCCGTTATCCACTATATTTCAATTTTACCGCGCTTGTAATACGCTAATCGCTCTCCCGGTATCCAATTATGCGCGGGTATATTTTTCTTGCACGGGATAGGGCTACGTGGGAGTAGAACAATGGTCCGGCGGCCAGAGCTCAATAAAGGTCCCCACTCAAAAGTGGACAATGGCTTAGAAGGGAACCTTCCCCCACCTGCCAACCTCATTACTTCTGCACCGGACCCGAGATCTGTGCGCAGCGTAAACTGGGATTCTCTTCTTCAAAACAAGACACGGGAGGGGGCGGATGAAGTAGGACTTTAGTGATGCAGCACTCATGCAGCCCAGACGGGCGACACCCAGAGCGCTGGTTATGCTAATGCATGGTCTTCCTTCTGCCAGCAGACACTATGCATCTGGACGCATTAGGGATATTTGTTCCCGCTGGAACGAAATAAAGACGATTCAATTGCCTCGGTGTTCCCTGAATAAAGAAGATCTTCGGTGTTCGTGGGATAGCTCGTCATACTGTGGGGAGGGAAAATAGACCCACCCTGATAGGAAAATCACATCAAACCACACCAAGACGCACCGAGGCTTGGGGCTCATCGGGAAAAAAGAATTAGCTGTTTAACGTGATTTCGGGCTCAAGTTCTTTTATAGTCCGCACTCAAGGCATCACATGGCCTCAGGCATTGGTACCCACTCCTTATAACTACTAACTAGTAGGAGCAAGAATAATGTCAATCGTACTCTGATGCAGCCACTAGTAGTATTCTGATTTTCAACCTGGGAATTTGTTCATCCGACCGATACTACTAGTAGTAGTATAGCATATATAATAATTTTTGATACTACTACTTGGGATATATGCGGTCCTACTCCATGAGAGTGCTAAGAGGAGATAAATCGTCGCTGACAAAATCATAAGAGTTCCAGCTGAGTCGAAGCGAACGATTTGGGTTCCCAATCCAAACAACTCGGCTGATTTCTTACCGTTGCGACTACCGTCATAGAAAAAGGCGATGAAGATCATAACAGCACATCCGATGGGGAGATTGATGTAGAACACCAGCCCTATGTAATTGAATCGGAGAAGGCTCCTCCCTGCTCCAGTCAACAAACGAAAAATAATACCTTCGAATTAAGAGTATGTAAATACCAGTAGAGGCCCAGCTACACTCCCAACCGCAACATACTGCCATCTTCGTTCAGTCAAGTGGGAAGTCTTATCGTTGGTTATGAACCACCTGAGACGGAGCTAATTAGCACCCACCCTCCCCTTCCCCTTCCCGACCGTAGTTTCTTGTTCTTCCACTCCCTCCCGTCAAAAATACACTTAAAACGAATCAAGCCAGAGAAGTTGACAATATCAGCTCATATATCTTGTCTGCTACTTTTGCGGCCGCCCACAACCCCGTTGGTTCGTTCACAAAATGAACCGACGCCCTGCCATAGCCCTTATCTAATGACCTTCATCCGTTGTCCGCGCCGTCGCCCTAACACCTGGCTTCTTGTAAACCATCATTAGGCCGCTTAGAGAAAAGATTGAGAAGATTGAAAGGCATTCCCGCAATGTCGATTCCATGGCAACTTTTACGGTTCTCCTTTTCGATGTAGACTCTAATAAGACCCGGAACTCCACGTGACCGATGGCCCAAGGCAGCAAGATGTGGGTGGGGTTCAACCGAAACCACCAAAATGACCGTTTAATTCGGATCTCGTCAAACGGTGTTGGTGAAACTGCTAATGGTGAAACTTGCCTGAACGAACGCACTTGAATTTGCTTAAACGTTGACGGGTCAAACATCATGTTTTGTTTTTCATGACCGCCCTTGTTCCACTAACAATATTTACTTTTCCGCTTTTTTTTCAACAGTGAGAAGGCGCGCTATCTAAGGTTGATTCTGAACGCCTCAACTTATTTTCCCGTGCCACAGTTTGGAGCCCGTTGAGAAAAAGTCAAGTTCGTTCTGTTTTCATCACTACATTATGCGCCATCAATGTGCTCATATAACAGTGTTCAAATCAACATCTTCAACGGTCGTACCCGCGAGTTATTTTGGTAAACTTATGTGAATCCGGCGCATCGACTACGAAGATAGTAAGTAGTCATTTAGTTAGTTAGATTTTTCTCTGGCAAACATTTACCTAAATAGCTATCCATCTCTTTCAGCTATAAATGATAATACCTTAGCCATGCTACCTGACTCTCCATACCTTCGAGCGTGCACAGTAGTTACGTCATCGACTATGTATCTTCGTCACAATTCCTGGATTGAAAATCATGGCGGCTACTCAAACCTAGATCTTTCGTTTCATTAATAGAATCTCTCATATCCCGAGACTGCATTCGGACTTAAGGGAGATTTAAATTGTTCGGGACATTGAAAATGGCCGTTACAGCGTCGTGAGTAGGAAGATTGACTTATGAACACTATACGCATGATCAAATGTCAATTTATCTGACCTCTTTCGATCAGAGACATCTGCCTTGGTATAATCGCTGTTTTTATCCCGCCTCTTGCGGTGCTGTTACGAAGAGGATGTGGAGCAGACTTTTGCATCAACATCTTGCTCACCTTGTTAGGTGATATTCCTGGAATCATACATGCACTGTAAGTTCCACATTACTGCTGCTGCTGACATCAACGTTCCTTTTTCTCGCCATGTGCAAAGCAAACTCGATCTAGTGAGCTGACAAACCTTAAGGTATATTGTGTTCTCATCAAGAAGTCGACTTAGCCGCCAAAATCAATTCTACCAGTGAATTAATAAGCAGCGGTGGGTTTTCCGAAGCGGACAGCACCGGTATAGCTTTCCCTCGACATTTTTAACCTACTTAAACATCTATGTGTCAGACTTGATTGTCATTATCACCGGCATGAGCAGGTTGCCTGTTTTTTGGGGGGGCACTTGACGCTGGTTCTAATCTTATACTGGATAAGGGCAGTCCTTTTGTCCTTGGATGTCACTCTTATTGCAATGCAGGCTCGGACTACTAGATTCTGGAGGCAGCCATCTAGGTATGTGGTCTGAGGGTAATTATGGGTGTTGAGGTTCTTCGGCACCTTTCGCTTGTCTCGATAGAAGAAGTTGTTCAAGTACGTTTAATTATGCTTTTGGTTATGATAGCCAAGGATTCACTGTAAGTGCTTAAAATACATGGCATAAACGGGCGGTGATTAGCCTGGGTAGACGTCCTTCCATCCGAAGAAGTATTAGTGAGAGAAATAATGCTAGATTTTAGTGTTAAACTCACTTTTACTCATTGTATAAAGGAAGAGCATCGGTGTGGGGAGCCTTGTTCAATCTATGTTCATTAAGGCAAGGCAGCATTGGTCAGATTTAAGCTCCCAGGAGCCTTTGATAATATCTCGCCCGAACAGACAGATTATTTTTATTCAGCTATCTTGAAGATGTAACATTGTGACGCTCCCAGGAGCAAGTGTTTGGTCATGCGAATAGCGGGTCTTACTTACGGTTATTGCTGCCCAATCTAGCGAGAATAGTATGGCTAGACCTGTGCATCTAGGACCCATGGGAGTAAGAATCAATTCCCATCCCATTTGCCAAGATCCTATGGGACCTGCCAAGACTTCTTGAATAATCGTTTTTAAAGAAAATTGGTATCAATTAAAAAAGAATAAGTTAAAATATAAATTTAAGGAAAATATATATAAGAGTGGTGGTGTAGGAACTTGCTACGCAGATATAGATTTTGACAAAAGGTTACATGAAACATCAAAAATTACCTTCTTAGGTTAGATCAAAGATATACCCTAGCCATATATAGTTAGCGTATTTTCTATACGAGTCCCATGGGCATGGCCTTCAGTCTTATCCCATGAGACCTATGGGAATGGGAATCTTATGCATGGGCAGGTCTAACTAGAACGGAAGGAGAACGCCAAGGGTTGCCGGACATTTTCCGGTATATATGTTAGTGACCCATAGAACTAACTGCCTTCCAAAGTCTTAAAGGTTAAATGAGCCCCAGAGCCCCATCGATCTACTAGTAGGACATAACCAGCCTGCAGAAGGTTCCCAGTTTTTTCAATTCCATGGCAAGTATTACTATCGAGTTCTCGCCCTACATATTAAATTTCGAGCTATGGCACAAGGAGTGTTATGAGGGAGACAGGGGTTGATGAATCATGACCCCTTGATGTATACACAAAACCGCCGACAAGGACAAGTTGGAAAGTTCCGGGAAGCCAGAGAGGAATTGCTCATAGCAGCCTCAAACGAGATGCATAGCTCGTATGCCTCGTTTTGAAGTTCTCCGAGAATAATTAGTAGTTCTCATGTCAAGACAAGCCCTACGGCAAGCCATGACGCCCACGATCAGTGGGCGAGGCCCCTTGCATGAACTCCTGCAATGATGATCGACGGAGATATCTCACCAAACAAGCATCGGAACATTCTTTCCGTGATAAACAAGCCCAAGCCACCAACTCCTGGGGATCATGGAAGTGACAACATGCCAGAGCAAGGGCGTCGGCACTGTCTAAGAACCCTCTCACGAGGGCGCAACCCCCCACTCCCCCTTGATCCCAGTAATCCTAGAATGTCACCAAAGCGACCATTATAAAGTGGTCTAATATCCCGTCATCCCTCGTTACGACGCTTCTTCGCATTCCCAGACTTTCGTTTACACACCCCTTCTTGCTCGCTTTCGACCCGACCCGTCGCTCGTCGACGTTGACACTCATTCTACGACAACAACCGAAACACCAACAAGATGGTTAAGACAGCATACGCCCTTACTCTTTGTGCCGCTGTGGCATTGGCTGCGCCTCTGCCTCCGAGCGAGAATGATGCGGGAACTGGTGTGGTTCATATGCGCCGTGATGGCAGCGGTAACTTTATCGGTGCCGGTACAGCAGGTGGCGAAGTAAACGATATGATTGCTTCGCTGCTGAATCCCAAACTGAGCTCTCGAGATGGCGAGCCGGCGGATGACAAGAAGACTGCCGCCGATGAGAAGCCCGCTGGTGATGACAAGGATTCGAAAGATGGTAAAGATGGCAAGGATGCGAAGGGTAAGAAGAAGAAGCCCGAGCCCCCTCAACACCATATCATCAACAGCCTTCCGATCATTGGTCAGCTCCTGGGTGGTGTGCCGAAGCGAGGCGTCGACCATGCTCCTCGCTCGTTGACCGGTGATCTCAGCAATTTCCCTATCTTGGGAAAGCTGTTTGGTGGGGTATGTTATACATTGTTCCCTGGTTTTAACGCCGATATTAATGATGCCCCTATAGAACCAAGCTCATCCAGCCAACACCGGTAAGAAGCAGACCCGATCTGTTAATGGATATCCCTTGTACGGCGGCCAGAACTGGGGCCAGAACGAGGGTCAGAATTATGGCCAGAATGCTGGTCAGAACCATGGTCAGAACGAGGGTCAGAATTATGGCCAGAATGCTGGTCAGAACCATGGTCAGAACGAGGGCCAAAATGAGGGTCAGAACGAGGGTCAGAATGAAGGTCAGAATTGGCTCCAGAACTATGGCCAGAACGAAGGACAAAACTACGCTCAAAACCACCGTCAAGAGCAGGGATTTGAAGAAAGAGTAAGTTATCTATATGGCCTTGATACTTCAAATCAACCAAGTGTCTAACGTCCCGCAGATCCAACAGCCTGCCGAGCAGGTTGATGAGAAGCTCAGCCACGAAACCCGAGACCTCGGTGGAGAAATTGGAGGCCTCACTCGCCTACTGGACACCTTTACCAGCGGAAAGGTATACCCCACGTCTCTTGACATCAATTCTCTGCACATGTAATTAACCAACTTCATAGCCCACAACCAAGAATGGCCGCCGCAGTGAGAATGCCGATGAGATGAAGCTCGGTGGCATCAGTGACACCGTAACCGGTGTCTTGTCGAGCGGCCTTGATGCTGCTGACACCGTGATGCCGGTATGTGAATGCAACTTATGCATCTCAATGGACCTGAATGCTGAAATTGCCATAGTTCCGACGCAGCCAGAATGCCCACGGTGAACCCGATGCTTTGGACAGTGCTACCGACGCTGCTGATGTCGCCGACAGCATCCTCATGGTATTTTAGCCCTATTGAATTGTAGTATCAAATCAATACTAAAAATTACTTCCAGCGCCGCAGTGAGAATACCCACGGTGAACCCGATGCTTTGGACAGTGCTACCGACGCTGCCGATGTCGCCGACAGCATCCTCATGGTATGGGAACCCCATTGAACTTTAGCATCAAATGAACGGAATACTTAAAATTGCTTCCAGCGCCGTGCCACTCCCACCGGAAGCCAGACTTCAACCACCAAGCCCTCCTCTTCATCTTCGTCTACCCCCTCGGCCTCGTCTACCAGCAGCCCAAGCGACCCCTTCCGCCTGATGAAGGAACTCGCCAGTGAGGCTGGTCTCGGCGCGCTGGTTGGTAACGCCCACCACGGCGTTGGTATCCTCCCGGTAAGTAATACTTACTTTTAGCAAATATTGATCCTCCCTGTACGAAGTAATCTTGGCTTACTGGTTGATTTGATAGATGAAATCGCGTGAAGTTCACGAGTACGAGACCCGTGATACTTCCCCCGTTCAAGGCTCTACTCTCCCCGATGTCATCCTTGAGAGTGGTGTCGTTGGGAAGGTCACCCACTTCCTTTCTAACCCCATTGGTGGCAAGCCCGGCGCTGATGCCCCCGCTGCTGGTGCTGCTGGTGCTGCCCCTGCGGCCGGTGCCCAGGCCGGTGCCCCAGCTGGTGCTGGCGGCACTGGTGGTGCTGGCGCCCCTAAGGCTGGCGGCCCTACTCCTCCCCAAGCGGCCAGGAAGTAGTGCGAACAGGTATTGATTCCTGCTGATGCCAATGCTACCAAAGGATGTCCCATCGCGTGATATGGTTGAACATTTATTTTCAATGATGAACTACTTTGTCAGATTTGTTTCGTGGATTTGATTTGATTTGATTTGATTTGGTTTGATTAGGATTGTTGTGGAGTGGTGTACGTATTGAAATTGAAGTACAATGCCAATTGTTTTTGAATCAAGTCCTAGTTCCATTCATTCGTACCATTCAGCAAGAAATGGTGTTGTGTTGTGACTCTTCCAAACCATAAAACCCCCCCGAGCCCAATACAATTAGTAGAGCATCCGAGGAACAAAGCAAGTACACCGAGATCGTAAAGTCGTTCAGCGCTATAGTCGATTTCCCATTCAGTCAGGTTTGACAGAAAACGAGCGCTTTTGAGGGTATCGAATCATTATGTGCGAGAAAGGGGCAGCCCAGCCCAAAGAAACCCAAAGAAAAAGAAAAGAAAAAAACAGGGAAAATAGTGAGACAAGAATAGGGAGCGAGAAGAAGATCGGATGAGACGACCAAAGCAAGACAAAGAAAAGCGTATATCTCTCAATCCGACTGGAAATCCATGTCGAGATCATCCACCTCTACCGTCGTGCCCAGCGCTTCTTTGCCTTGCCGAATCATATCTTGGAGTTGTTTATTCAGCCGTTGGATACTGGCGTCTTCTTCGCGCTCTTTGCGGCGCATCCGCGCTGCGTATTTTTGCATTTCCGCAGACCCAGGACCGTTCTGTGATCGTGGCGATGGAATAGCAGTACTCTTTGTAGGTGTAGATGGTCGCACAGACAAGCTTGGTCGTTTGGCGTGGCGTGGCATCACGGCTTGTCGTCGTCGCGGACTTGAGGCTTGATGGATGCGACGAGCTCGGAGAGCGGATGGACTATCGGTGCCATCGTTTCCATCGTTTCCAAAGGAATCGGTGGATTCGCCGGGGACAACTACCCAGCTTCGATCGATGTCTTCGTCTGGATATTGTCCGGGGATAGGTGTGCGGAAGATGCGATCTTTCTCGGTAGAGGTACTGGGACCGGCTTGCCAGGTTGGTGGCGGGGCGAACTGTGCTGGGGAGCCAGTGTGCATGTCATAACCTTGACCACCGCCAGCGTAGAAACCCTTGAATGCGCCGGACCAGCAGAGATCGAGGACTTTGCCTACTGCGTTGATCACCGTTCGTCCCCACCCGACTCGTGTGGCTGGGCTCGGTAGATCCGTATCGGCTATTGGTGAGGCGATGTTGGAATCACGGCGGGTGCGTTTCCGACTGTTCCCATCTGCAAGTAGAGAATCGACGCTGGCATCGAGTGATGGAGGCAGGAAGGATTCGCGGTATCGGTTGGGTCGGTAGTCGAACTCGGCGGAGGCATGGTACTCTTCGCTACTTGGTTGGCGGAAATCGGTCGAGATCAGCGGAGAGGCATTATTATGGATTTGAGATGAAGGGTCGAATTTAGATGAAAGGGTTGCGGTGTCACGACGGGGTCGTTTGCGACTGAGAGAAAGCGAGTAAAGCGAGGAAGATGCGGAGGTGGAGGAAGGCAGCTGGAAGAGCTGCGAGTTGGCACTGGCGAGATCGACCTTGGGGGGTGAGGCCGCGTGCTGGAAAACGGCGTGCATGTCGGGCATAATGAGGAAAGAGAAAGCAGAAAGCAGAAAGGAGGTGAGTCTCCCAGCTGGTGGAGGGAAGAAGAAGAAAAGAAAAAAGCAAGTTGAGTTGGAGAGGAGAACTAAACAATCCCTAAAGCTGACTAGTGCCGAGCACGAGTACGGTGTGTACATACGAGTACTCTATTCACTACATCTCAGACATCCCAGCCCCCCCTGCTTCAACATCTTCGCCCAACCACCAACCACCGACACCGACTATTACAGTCGTTGGCTGGTCCACTGGACTCCAGCTGCCTCCAGTCCCTCGTCACCATCTACCAACACACACCATCCTTCGCCGCCCTGTCCACCATCTCCCGCAATCACCGCCTCAAAGTTGGCATGGGCAAATTGCAGCACCGTATCATCAAAGGTCCCCGGTTGCAACCAGACAGCAGGGATACCGACGGAGTGTGCTTCCTGTAGTACTTTGAGGGTCACAGGAGGCGGAGTCACCACGGACAACGAAGTCTGCGTCGGGGAGGGGAGTCCGGATGGCGAGGGCACTGTATCGTAGGCACGCGAGGGGAGAGATATCTGCGCTGCTCTCGGGTTGAGGGGAGTCACAGGTAGTGAATGTTGGTGATACCATGCGAGGACTGAAGAGAAGCAAGTATATGGTTAGCGAGTTTGGCCTATAGTGAAGAGATTCGGATGCGGATTCGGCTTCGGCCTACGCTTATATCCAAACTTGTGGGCGTCGTTGCTGGCGCCCGCCACGGCGAAGCGTGGAGAGGAGAAGAATCGCTTGACGGGATCCATGGGGGATGGAGTAGAGTAACGTGTGTATAGATTCAGTGGAGGGAGGTGAGGGAGATTGTAGAAGTTGATTGAAATTCCCCGCGGGGCAGTACTAGTGGTGAACTCACTACGAGAGTTGACTGAGGTACCTGCCATCTGTATGACACTCCCATACAAACTGGAAGTACCATTTCAACCTTCTACCTCGGCCGCCGCCGACCTTCACTCCCGCGCATCTCCTTCCTCCGCCATTTCTCGTCGACCCACTTCATTTCCCCAAATCCACTTCTACAACTTCCTTCAATTCAAGTCGCATGCCACCTTTCGTCCCACGCAAGCGCTCCCACTCCGAGGACCCGCCCCCGCCCAAACGTCAGGCCCTTGATGTCTCTGCCAAGCCCTTCTCTATCGATGAGTCCGACTCGGATTCCTCTGAGAGCTCCTTGAGCGACACACCCGCCGATAACACCCATGGGTCGCGTATCCCTGTGTCAGATGACGAAGATGAAGAGGAGGAGGAGGAGGAGGATGACGATATCGACTGGGAAGACGCAATCGACCCCAAGACAAGCGCGACAACCCCAAGCCTCGCTGGCCCCGAGCTCCAGGATCTGGAATTGACCCTCGATAAGAATGAGGCCCACGTCTCGGATTTACTCGACGGCAAGAAGGGGCCAACCAAGATCGAACGTCATATTCGCATTCAGTCCCACTGCATCCATGTTCAATGTCTACTCTATCACAATGCCATTCGCAATGCCTGGATCAACGACGCCAAAGTTCATGAGACATTACGTCATAAGTTGCCGGACGGGATTCACAAAGAAGTTAAGAAATGGCGAATCGCAACCGGATTGGAGATCCCCGAACGAAAGCCAGACCCGCCCAAGTCTAAGAAAAAGAAGGGCAAGCAGGCCAAAAAGAAGGAAGAATGGGGCCCGGAAGCAGAGCGACTGGAACCGGGCCAGCCAGATATGAGTCGCGGAGATCCGATCATCACCCTGCTCAAGGTCCTAGTGGCCTACTGGAAGAATCAGTTTCAGATTACGGCCCCGGGTCTCAGAAAGCACGGATATCGTCCCGTGGCCTCCCTTGAAGAGATCATTACCGACTTCAGGAATGAGGAACATGACCCAGAGCGCCATGGGGAGCGCATTGCCAACATCGATGAATTTCGAGCTGTCGCCGAAAATATGCAAGGCTCCCGCGATGTTGGGGCTCAGCTCTTCACAGCTTTGATCAGGGCCTTGGGGATCGAGGCCCGACTCGTGTCGAATCTACAACCGCTAGGATTTGGCTGGACAAAAGCAGAAGTTTACACACCACCCAAGACAGATGCAGTTCCCACGAACACCAAGCCTGAGAACGGCTCTGGAGAGTCTGAATCAACGCCTGACGTGGAACAAGATCCACCTAAAGCGAAGAAAGGTGGTGCTCAATATGACAAGGATCTCCCGTTCCCAATCTACTGGACGGAGGTTGTTTCTCCAGCCACGAACGAAATCATTTCTGTGGACTCCTTGGTCCTGCCGAAGCCCCTGGGACTAAGCGCCGACCAACAAGAAGCCTTTGAGCCACGTGGTGCCAAAGCTGATCGTGTTAAGCAAGTAATTTGCTACGTGATTGCACACTCGGCGGATGGAACCGCCAAAGATGTCACAACTCGATATCTTCGACGGCGGACATGGCCCGGAAAAACTAAAGGGTTTAGATTCCCAGTGCAGAAACTACCAACACCAGGCCTCCAAGGTCAATACTTTGAATACGATTGGTTCCGGAACGTCATGCGTGGGTACATAAGACCTCCGGACCAACGAACCAAGGTGGATGAACAGGAGGACGAAACAGATCTCAAACGGAAACAACCAGAGAAAAAGAAAACCACACAAGCAGGAGATACCCTCCAGAGTCTTCGCACATCAACCGAGTTTGTGCTTGAGCGTTTCCTACGACGGGAAGAAGCCCTCAAGCCTGGCGCAGAGCCTGTTCGCACATTTACTGCCGGCAAAGGAGCTCGTGCTAAAGAGGAACAGGTTTACAAAAGAGCCGATGTGGTCAAATGCATGTCTGCGGAAAGTTGGCACAAGGAAGGACGACAGATCCAAGCCGGAGCCGCACCCTTGAAAAAAGTACCCATCCGAGCAGTGACTCTCATGCGCAAGCGCGAGGTCGATGAGATGCAGCGTGAAACGGGCCAGAAACCGATGCAGGGTCTTTACGCGCGCGATCAAACCGAGTACATCATCCCACCACCTATTGTTGACGGCAAGATCCCCAAGAACAACTACGGCAATATCGATTGTTTCGTGCCAAGTATGATACCCCGTGGCGCAGCCCACGTTCCATTCTCCGGCACTGTTCGACTGTGCAAAAAGCTTGGGATCGATTATGCAGAAGCAGTCACTGGGTTTGAATTTGGCTCTAAGATGGCGGTCCCTGTTATCCAAGGCGTTGTCGTGGCAGCCGAGAATGAAGACTTGCTCAAAGACGCCTGGCGTATTGACGCAGCAGAGAAGCGCAAAAGAGAGGAGCTTAAGGCCGAAAAGCGGATTTTGCAGACTTGGCGCAAGTTCTTGTTCGGCTTGCGCATTGCTGAACGTGTTCGGGAGGAATATGGTGGCGGGGATCCTTTTGCAGATCGCGAGCGAGAGGCACAGAATCCATTCGCATTGCGAAAGAAGAATAATGAACAACATGAGCCTGATGAGAAACATGATGATGATCATTTTGAAGAGGATTCCCATGATCCTGTTGATCATGGTGGTGGGTTCCTCCTACCCGGCGAAGAAGACGATGGCGACGACCACTTGATTGTTGAGGAACACAAGCAGGAAGATCATATTGGTGAAGACGATTCCGATGATGGAGAACTATCACCGCCAATCTCTATATCATCGGAGCCGGATGAGGACCAGGAGACAGGCGCCAAGGATGATCCCGAGTCTGATTATGCTCCTCCAACGCGTAGTGGCGTACGACGTCGTCGACGTGGTGGATAGATTTGCCCAATCGATAAGACTTATTGTAATCTAGAAAATTGCTGTACAATAGCGGCTCGAACTGAGTCATAATTTCCTATTCTCCAGGCCATCTTTGATTTACTAGTAAGACCTTAATCGGGTATAAGAGCAACCCAACTGACATATCTCCTTTAGCCTAGTTGCAAGAAGCACCCAGAGGCTCCGAAGTTCTTGAAGCAGACCTCGGGAGCTGCATCTTAATTTCCAAACTTATTTCCAGAGAACTACTAGTATTCCGAATTCTAAAAGAACTTGTTAAGAACACTACCAACATGCGACCTCGGGAGTACCCTACGGACCACGAAAATCCAGTCCATGAAAATCAGAGCTCTCGTTCCAAAGCGACCAACTTTTGATTTCGCCGCAAATTGCACAGTAATTTGAGATACGTCACTTTCCAAGGTAGTTTAGCTGATCAAATCCACGACTCAGGCTATCCAAATCAGCTCAGAGCTAGCTTGTTCAGCACATACAGTAACTTAAGTTCTATTTCCCAGAGTGCGTGCGCTGATCAATCAAGCGTTCAATCTCTTGGACAAGTTGATTGGCCCGACGCTTACTTTTCTGCACCTCGATAGCTTCGACGGTGAGAACCATGCGCTTGTTATAGTATGCTCTGAACTTTCCACGAGACCATCCCGACGTATGCTTTATCACGTTGTCCTCCTGTCCGTCTGGGATGCTTGACTCGAGTTGGACCCGCTCAAACTCTTTGGTCGGATCATCCGACTCTGAATATCTAGCAATGTAGTTTATTCTTGAAGCGATAACGTTCATGGATAATAGTAGCAGTCCCAAAAGGGCTAGGCAGAATCTTTTTTTGTAGGTCGTCATTGTAAACTCCGAGTCCTTCAGAGTGATCGGTTAATATGGGTTTATTTGGAGACTTATTCTGAATGAGAGGAGCGGAAGTAGGTCGATTCAATGGCTATTTATACCTTCTCTCGGCCTTCTTAATGGGGTGAGTGCAACTTTAAATGCATTGTGCCCTAGCTTACATGCTTGTAGCCATATAGTAGTCGCCTTTCTGCCCAGGTGTTAAATTCTATTTCGTAATGGTCGTTGGGAAATGTTAGCCAAGACTCAAGACGGCACCCCCAAGGTACGACGATGTGCCACCTGAACAACAATACTAATATTTGTGCATCATTGAAACTATTTAGTAAAAAATCAAGTGAAGGAGGATCTGATTGGTTGCATTTAGGGTATTATCAGGTGGTCGAATTCCTAGATACTTTGTAATATTAGTAACTATAAAGCGAGACTTATTCCGCGATTCTAGATCAATCTTTAACCAAGATGCCATGGAAACCTTAGAACAAGGACTGCAGGTAGTATATTGAAATTTCATTCACTCGGATATGAAGACACCTGGTACTACCAGGCCTAGTAGGCAAAACCTAAAATTGAATAAGATAGCGTTTGTGCTCGCTACACAGTTACACAATAGAGAACGTGGATACAACCCAATCTTCTTGCTTATTTTCCTCTAGCTTGTTCACTACCACGGGAGTCTGATACCACTCTCAATCGCCATAAACTAAAGGAAGCACACATACCTATAACACGATGAGAGATTTGAGACAAACTCCTAATGTTTTAGGTATTACTCAGTTAGGGCCCTTGGCCATGATCGGCCCGATGATGGAAATTGCAGATTGTGGCCCCTATGAAGACCTCGCCGGATGAACCCACACTTCAAATAATGACCCTCCTTACCAGAAAGAGATGTACGCTGACTATGCTAATTATGCTGCTGGAAGCAGGAGTTTGGAGAATTGGTATGACCAGTACGAGCCGCGGCACCGTATAAATATTCCATATTTACTAGTTACTGCCAGTATGACATATATGACCCAATGCACCGATACAACTTCTATACTCCATCTCCATCTACCGCAGCCTGGGTAAATAGTACTAGCGATAGAGATACATACAGTGGAACGCTTATTATTTCATCAATAGAATCAAATTTCTATGTGCAAAATTTCCTAACAAACTTTTTGCTCGTGATCATGACATGAAGACAAGTCCGTGATATCAAATAGACCTGTGGATCCGAGTCGACCCCCATACGGAATCGAGATTGAAGGGGGTATTAAGAACAGACCGTCTAACAAACAAGCAAGCCCACAATATAAGAAAGAAAAAAACAAAGACCAAACGAGATTGGAGCAGGATTCAAGAAAAAAATGCAAGTTCAAACGATTGTCAATTCAGTAATCCGGAAAGACTCCTCATACCTATGCTGAAGCTTTTCATTATTTCCAGCCTCCATAGATCTGATCCGTAAGAGAAAAAGGAAAGACGTAACATTTAGCGTCTCTGGCCACGTCCACCACCACCACCTCGGCCACCGAAGCCGCCGCGATCACCACCGCGACCTCCACCACGACCACCACCTCGGCCACCGAAGCCGCCACGATCGCCTCCACGGCTTCCACCACGGCCGCCACCGCGACCTCCGAAGCCACCACGATCACCACCGCGACCACCACCTCGGCCACCGAAGCCGCCACGATCACCACCGCGGCCACCACCGCGGCCGCCACCGCGACCTCCGAAGCCTCCACGATCGCCTCCACGACCACCTCCGCGACCACCGCGGCCGGGGCTGAAACGCTTTTCAACCCGACCATCGGGGGCACCAGGGGTCTTGGGAGCACCAAGACCACGACGACCGGGGCCCTTGGAGCGGAGATTCTCACCGATTGCGGCAGCCTCATCCTCATCCAGGTCCATATCATCGTGACCACGCTTAGCCTGGCCCATCTTGACCTTGCCCTTTTGACCACGACGAACAGCATCGGGGCCACTGACAGCAGCGAGATAAGCGTTGACACCGCCGGATCCTTCACCAGCACCGCCCATCTCGACATCAGCATTAGCGTCATCATTACCGAGAATGAGACGGCCATCTGCGTCGAACTTGGCATTGCGCTTCTTCTTAGAGCCAGGTCCAGTGTTCAAGAAGCGATCGCTAGGCTTGGTGGTGGAAATATTGGCGAGGGCGTCGGGAGCCAGCAGATCCAGCGGGTTATCTTCGGGGGATGTCTCGCGAATGTACTGAGTGCTCTGGCCAGCCCTCTTCTTGCCTCCAGTAGCCTTGATACGAGCTTGTCCGTCATCCACGTCGACGTCACTGGCGCCATCATCAGACTCGTCGTCGGAGTCGGAATCAGAGCCGTAGACAGCCTTATCGAAAGCGTTGCCGGATTGCTGGGCACCGGCCTTCTCCTCGTCTTCATCCTCCTCATCATCATCGGCAGCGCCCTCCTTCTTCTTGCGCTTGCTGCGCTCACGCTGCTTGCGAATATTCACAACTAGTTTGCGGTCTTCCTCGCCGACAAGGGCCTCCATGAGCGGAGCACCGAAGCGTCGAACCAGTCGGTCGATGATACCCTTGACCTTACTGCGAAGACGACCCTTGTGCTCCTTGTTCCAGGCCATGAGGTTGGGCACAAGTGCCGACAAACGCGGGCGCAAAGCCTCATCAGGCAGGATGACAACAGCGACCTTTACGAAGCCAAGAACAGAGCGAACGATCTCACGGTTGTTGCTGGTAAGGAAGAGCTCGACGGTTTGGACCAAATCGCCAAGAATCTCCGGTTTCAATTTGCTCTGGTACTCGAAAAAGAGACGGGAGAGCGCAGTGACGGAGGCGGCGACCATGTGAGGAGAGGAGCCAGCCAGACCGGCAGAAACCATGGTGAAGAATTCTTCAATGGTGGCGGGAGCATCAGGTGAGTCGTCTGGCATGTGAGGTACCAGTGAGTTCCGAATCACAGTGCCAGCAGGGTTACGCTCCTCATCACAGGTGCGATTGGCGAGGTGGATAAGAAGATCGAAGGCAGCGGTGCGTGCCTTCTCGTTGCTCTCCTTGCATCCCAGGACAACCTCTGACAGAATAGAGGGAATGAAATGGAGGTCAGAAGTAGGGAGGTGTGTGACGAGCTCGTGAATCGCGAGCATGCGGTCTCGTCGACCAGACGCGGGGGTCTTGTCTGTAGTCGCAAGCATCAGAGCATGAAGCTCACCGCTGCGCTCATTAAGAGCCTCTCTACCAGTCTCAGTCGAAGCGAGACGGGGGATAAGCTTGTATGCCTTCTTGATCAGTTGTTGATCGGGGTTAGGCGACGATCCGTTGAGAATAGCGGCAGCCATGCCGAAAAGTCCGGCAAAGCTTGAGCGAGGCAGGTAAATAGACATGGCGATAACCAGATCGATCAAAGTGTGAGAAGTTGGCGGCATCTTTGCAGATGATCCTTGAGGGGCGGGCGTCTCCTTCTGCTCATCGGTCAAGGATGACTCGAGCATTGTAATAACACGAGTGAAGGTCTCATTGAGTTCCTGTGAAGTATCAAGTTAGTCGACTGTCCTTATTTAGATTAACTCCCGGGATGATGGCTTACATTCTCGGGGGTAATGCTCAAATAGGCATTGATACATTGCAGAATGTATCCGCGGTGATGGGGCAGCGTCTGGCTGTAGACGTTAAACAGCACGGCCAAAAGGTTACTAGCGAAGCCAGACAGGTGCTCAATGTTCTTGGCAGCAGCGGCCTTGGTGATTCGGCGCTGCAGAATCAAGTCGTCTTGCTCAGCCTCGACAGACAGAATAGCCTGGTTGGACTCGACCAGGTTCTGAAGAGCGCGGCAGACCTCGACACGCAGCTCGGTCTGTTTATAAAGAACGTTGGACAAAAGCTCAGCGAAGCTCTGGTCAAAAGCCTCAACAAGATCGAGAGGCAGTTCACAGTAGCCCGGCAGGATACCCCAAGTCTGTTGTACCAAAGTCTCGAAGATCTTCACTTCGACGGACTTCTCAGCAGCACCAAAGTCAACAATCTTCTGGTAAAGCGCCTCACTCAGAGGAACCATCTCTGAGCGGAAATGACGCAGGTTTGTGTTGGTAACACTATCACGAAGAATAGGCAGCATCCAAACGCGACCGGGTTGGCCCTTCTTTTGCTCGATGATGTTCAAGGGCAGAATTTCAAGGATAGCCTCAGGGCCCATTGCCTCAATAGCACTGCTAAGAACACCATCGGCCTCCTTCTTGCCGTGGAAGGACTCATTGCTGCGCAGCTCACCAATAGTTGAGACGAGTTCAACAAGGAATGGGCTGGACTGCCACTTGTAGCAGTCGAACATGGCGGAGCAAACATTGAACACCTCCATCCACGCAGCCTGGTACTTAACGGAGAGCAGGTCAGCGGTCGCGTGGGCGAGCTTCTCAAGAGTCTTCTCATCGTAGACAGATGGCTCGATAATAACGCTGTTGGGGATACAGTTGTGCAGGAAAGAGATGAGGCACTCAGAGGCCGAGATGCGGATGTTGTGCGAGGGCGAGGCCAAAAATCCAGAGATGAGCTGGAAGAGACCCGGCAGCTTCTCGAATGTGTCTTCAGGGTTGATCTGTGCAGAAACATCATATCCGCGAGATAGGACAGCAATCCAGGGAGGGAGGAGCTGTGAGTCGTTCTGTGCGGGCTTAAGTTCGGAGATGGCGTCTAGAAGACGGGGGAGCTTGGAGGATGAGAACTCATCGGCCATGCCTTCGAAGATAACCTCGAAGACCTCGAAAGCGCCCATAGTGATATACTCGTTGCTAGAGCGAGACGCATTCATCAGTAGCTCGCAAAGCGACTCAATCTTCTTGCTGGGCCAGCCGCCCGATGCGGAGGCAATGGTCTTGATCAGTTGCAGGGAGTGAATAATCAGAGGCTCGTGGTTCTCGTGGCTGTTTGCATCACGCTTTCCCTTCTTTTGCTTGGAGGCGGCTGTGATGCTGTCGCTCAGCGTCTTCATCGCAGACTCTGCGCACATATCCGCGCCCGGGTGGTCCAGCGACGGGCTGGGAGGGGGTGTCTTGAGCACTTTGATCAGAGCCTCTTGGGCGCGCTTTCGTACCTTAGGACGGTGGTCAACTGACAAGCTCAATAGACCAGCCGTCGCACGACGCGGTCCAATTGCTGTGTGGGGCAGATTCCAGGCAGCGGCATCCTGGGCAATGAGCAGCGACTCAAGACAACCAATTGACGGGCGCAAGAGGGGAGCATCGATTTCGGGGAGAGACAGTGCAGGGGCGAGACTGGTGAGAATCTGAGAAAACTTGGAACGAAGGATGGGTTCGGGGACGTAGGTGGTGGTGATATCGAGAAGGTAGACAACGGATGTGGCGAGGTCCTTGTTCACGATACCTTGCTCGGCAGAAAGTGACTGGGAGAGGAGGGCAAGTAGAGCAGCGAAATATGCGGTCGAAGAAAAGTCGGCCTTTTGATCGCGAAGAGTGTCCTCGACTGCAGAGAGCACCACAGCGGTCTGTAAAGGTGAATTGGTTAGAGATGTGATTTGCGCTGCGGGCGAGCGGGTGACTTACATGGTGCTGATTCTGCAGCTTGGGAGACTTGATCTTCTCGAGCTTCTCCGCCAGAGTCGCCATGGTGACTATGACTGTGAGGGGAGAATTTCTCGAATAGTGGCGTGCGGGGGAGGCAGTTCTGGCGGTGATGGAGAAAAATCCAGCGAGAAAAAAAAGGTACGGCAGATTCTTGGCGGGTTTATCGATAAGCCCTCCACTCCCCGTCCTCATACCACGGTGGATCTAGGTAGGCATCTTCTAGAGGCTAGCCTTTGACTCATCCTAGGATCAGGAAATTGTTCATCTTCAATTCGTTGTTTGATCTCATATCCCTCAACTTTCCCATTGCACTGGATTTATTGCACCACAATGACACCCAATTTAACCGACCTCCTCAAATCTGCGTCATTGGACTTAGCTCCTTATGAAGCCCTCTACAAATACTTTCATGCGCATCCTGAACTATCTCGGCAAGAAAAATCTACTTCTGAAAAGCTCGCAGCCCACCTAGCCCAATGGAATGTCTTCGACATCCACACTCACATCGGAGGCTACGGTCTTGCAGGTGTCTTTCGAAATGGCCAAGGCAAAACCATACTTCTGCGAGCAGATATGGACGCACTTCCAGTGAAAGAGCAAACCGGTCTCCCCTACGCCAGTTCCATCACCATGAGCGATGCTGAGGGGGCCGAGAAACCGGTCATGCATGCCTGTGGTCATGATATGCATATCACCTGTCTGCTCGCCGCGGCAGAGACGCTTGTGAAGCTGCGAGACTCATGGAGCGGGACTTTGATTGTTCTATTCCAGCCAGATGAAGAGCGAGGTGGAGGTGCCCAGGCAATGGTTGATGATGGACTATACTCCAAAGTTCCAGTCCCGGACTATTGCCTTGGTCAGCATGTTATGAGATTGCGGGCTGGAAGCATTGGCTCACGCTCTGGTGCTATTATGGCTGCTGCTGATAGTATGAAGATCACAGTTTTTGGACGTGGTGGTCATGGTTCCCAGCCCCATCAGACCGTGGACCCAGTTCTTCTTGCTGCACACATTGTGGTTCGGCTACAGAGTGTCGTGAGCCGGGAAATCAACCCCAATGATCTGGCCGTGTTGACTGTTGGGAGTCTCCAGGCTGGACAGGCAGAGAATATCATTTCTGACCGTGCCGAAATTGGTGTTGACTTCCGATCTGTTAAATTGGAGATCCGGGAACAAATTATTGCGGGAATCAGGCGTATCGTCGAAGCTGAATGCGTAGCAAGTGGCTCACCTAAACCACCTATTTTCACCCCCACAAGACGTTTCCCTCCTACTTTGAACGACCATGAAGCTGCATCTCAAGTTGCGGCGACATTCTCAACTCACTTCGAGGATTTTGATGATGATATTCCCCGGACTAGTATTGCTGAGGATTTCTCGACTCTGGCGACCTGTCGAGGAATACCGAGTTGTTTCTGGCTCCTCGGTGGCATTGATCAGGAGCTTTGGGATAAGGCACAGGCAGAATCTCGCACAGAAGAGATTCCAGGAAATCACTCCGCTCTTTTCGCTCCTGTCATTCAACCAACTATGAGAAGTGGGGTAGATGCACTGTGTCTTGGTGCCTTGACATTTCTACGGAAATAATTGTCTGGTTGTGAGATTACATGTAGCAGGCGAAACCCCATAATTACACGACTACTACTATCATTATCGACATAAGTTTCACCTAAATCCATGGATATTCAAATATAGATTACTCTGTTCCTATATTTCATGCACTGAAATACTAGTAGTACTAGTAGCTGGTCCAACGTCCGATATTGCCCCATCCCCCCCTTCCTCTCCACATTTCCGCTACTGGAGAGATAAATTATAGCGTTGAGGCTTATTAAGATCTATCTACACGTTACTTATAGCCTAAAGGGTATGGATCTTGATTTGTAAACTCCAATGTTACAAATTATATATTTTCTGAAGCTAGGCGGTAACCAATCCAGACATACTTACCATCATTTAGAGAGTCAGTACCTCATTCCGTTTACTATGAAATTCATTTTGTTTTCAGTGACTCGGAACCGTCAATTCGTCAGATATTGCTATGAACTAGGATAAGAAAAAGAAGCCAAGTATGAAGTAGTGTCGGCGTATCAGCAAACTACCACACATCTCAGCAGCAATGGGATGCGGAGGGACAAAGGCAGAGCCAAAATGCACCAGGCTGGGTCACCTCTCGCCTCAGATGCAGCCTGTTCATCAACTGCTATAGGTCCTTCGTATAAGCCCATGTCAATGTGCTCATGGAGCCAACAGGGGATAGAATAGGCGCGCAAAAGCTGGGCAAAAAATACCGCCCGGCCATCTGCCACGGCACATAATGTCGACGTTGGCAGATAGCAATTAAGCGCCATATCCCATGGAAGCCGGTGTTATCCTGTCATGGAGATCGCCCAGCTGTTGAGTTGAAAATACGGCACAGTGGTGTTTTGTTGGGCTTCGAGGATAAATTCAGAAGGGACTGCGCCGGTGGAAACAGAGGGGCAGTGGTTTAGAAAAGAATCTCGCCGCTGTGCTCGGGCTCGAATCCAAGAGCTGAAAGCTCGGTGTGTCGCTTCTTGTCGCCGGACTTGCGCTTGCTATCTTCTTGTTTCTTAAGCTCGAAAACTTCTTCGAACGGTGCCTTGGTCACAGTGGTGGGGATTTCGTCTTCACGGTCAAGGTCCTAGATCCATCATAAAACATCACATTAGTCTCAACTAGATCGCCGAAGGCTCTGCAAAAAACCACATACCACTTCGCCCAGCAATAGCACGTTCTCACCGCGCACCAGGAAGATGCCGCGGGGAACATCGGCGTAGACCTTTCCTGCGTAGATGCGCTCAACGGTATCTTGAAGCACAAGGTTTGCTGCATCATATCAATGATGGTATATGGTAAGCCAAATGTCCTGTGTATAGGTATTCAATGCCAGAGCAGATCGACATGTCATACCGAATTGGTCCCAGCTTCGGAGCACTCCGACTAGTTTCCTTCCGTCGCGCAGTACTAGAACTAGTTTCTCTGTAAAGCGAAGAAAAGGCTTGCGCATCAGCAAATGAGGAATTGGATGCTAGGCATGCCTTTTTCACATACTATCTGTCAAATCCAGCAGTTGAGCGGCGGTTGTGAACATCTGAGGAGGGAGTTGTGGCGGGCCTCCGGTCGGGCCAGTCGGGCCCTGGCTGGCAGATCCGAGTGCATTTTGCTGCTGGAACTGCTGCTGCTGGGGGTTCCGCTGCTGCGCATTGGGAGGAGTGTCGTTGCGCTCCATGATTCTGGTGGGCGGAAGTGAAGGTGGGGTGGGATATAAAGCAGGCGTACACTGCTTCGGCTGGTTCGGGAGAACTTTGAGATGTAGATATTTTCAGTTGGCGACTAGTATGAAGGCGTTTTCATGCTGGTAAGGATTGCACAATCGATTTGAGGGTTGCAGCCAGTGCTGGATGTCGCAGTTGAGCGAGTTCTCCGGGACGGCGATCAAGGGCGGCGGTGCGTTTGCTCTGTTTGCACCGATACCCCAGCTCGGCAGACGCAAGTATAAAGATTGATATGGAGACGGAACAGCTATTCCAACTTGAACTTATTTAATCATAGCGAGGGTACTTTATTACACTTTCTTTCAAGTTGTGATTTGAAGGCTGCCAACATCCAATACTACATGACTAAACTACTAGTAGTACTAGTAGGTATTGTCTCCAGGGCTTGGATGCCCAGGTGATACTCTCAAAATTTGGCATGTACCTATATATATCCCCCCCACGACATGCCAGTATCTTAGTTTCAAACCAACTTGAAGCGGGGGATATTTTACAATTTCAACTTCCAACCTTAGAAACTTTGGAAGTGACTCGACTCGGAAGGTTCCAAGGTCGAATTCAATCAATACTCTAGATCTACTAGCACTCCTTGGAAGTTGACGAGAGAGTAAATTAGGTAATAATTATCCTAATAGTTACAGCCACTTAAAAATAGCCTTCCACAACGCCAGGAAACTATAAATGTACATACATACAAACAAAACAATTACCTATCCGAACGCCATGGGTATCATAAAGAAAGTCACACAAGACAGATCAAACAGTCATGTAAAAAAAAAGCAAAGCCCACCCCCGAAAAGTCCATGCAGGAGACCGACCTCAACAAATCACACGCGCCAATTCTAGTCCACGATAAAATCTCACGAGAACAGGGAACTCCGAGCAAGGAAACAGTTGCAGAACCAGCCAAGCCAAACCAGCCACGCCTCAGGAAACCAAATGCCGAATCCAGTTTAGCATGTAGGTACCTGAGAGCCCAGACTAGGACCGAGGCTTAGATCGCGGCCGAGTTCATGCAAGCCACGCAGCAGCAGCAGGAGCAGGAGTAAGCCTACGGCTGAAACCGCAGGCGAAACTGTCGCCCCCGTCGCTCTTCGCGGACGGTATACAGAAACTGAGCAATGCTCTCTTGTTCCGACATCCCGGCGCTGTTGAAGTGTTTCCGCACGACGAGCGCAAACTGGTCTTTGCTGACGCGGTCTTGTCCGGTGATTTTGTGCAATGGGGCGTCATCGCTGGATGTGCCATCGCGCGAGGTGTGATTTGATTTATCTCGATTGGAGGAGGACTGGGACTGGGACTGCGCACGGCGAGCGGCGAGCGCTGTTGGTGAGCGCAGGCCGATTCCCTGCGACAGGACGATTCGGGAGTAATCATTTGAGTAGGCGCTTGGTGTGGAGAGTTTGTGGGCGTGCCGATAGGAGTGGAGGATTTCGAGAGGGAGGTCGGACCAGGGGACCTGTAGTTCAAGAGGAGGGTCAGATTAGCAATGCTGGATTTGGTTGCTCGGTGGGAAATGGAAGTTTTCTTTCTCTGTAACAGGTACTTGCGGCCGTTGGGGTAGGTCTGGATTCGACTGACGTCGTTTTTCGTTTCCTGCTCCCATAAAAGCTCTGCGTGGTACATACCCTTGGTTGTTCGTCTGTGACGTCGGCGTTGGCTGGTGCACTGGTCACGGGTGCTTTGTCCTTGTTTGCTCCTGTTTTCCGTTTATTCGTGGTCGCTTTGTTGAACTCTCGCGTGCCGCTTGAAGCTTCGGACCTGGAGTCGTCCACGATTGCGGTGGTGCGTTGGCGCGGAGGGGCCATGGTTTGAGCGTGGCCCGATGGGAGGGCAGTCAAATGTGGATATTGGGGTTCAATGGATGGAGATGAAGCTCTGGATGTGAAATTATGGCCAGAATTTACAGGCTAATGGAGACGATAGCTGTTCGCGGCGCTGAACTCGACCGCCGTCCATTCTCCGCCACGAGGCGGAGATGAATGGCAGAATCGGCCGGACATTGATCCGATGTCATAGTACAGGAGAAAGTGATGATAAGGGAACTAGGCGCAATGGGTTGCAATTGCCATTGAGTTGGAGATGGGATGCTGCATGTAGAAACTGATGCACATCTTCAAATGTCGCGCATGGAAATTTCAATGGTGCAACAATAGTCTCAGTGTGGGATAATGCTCAATTGGGAATTGTCTATGGGATCAAACAAGCCAAAAAATATTTTTATGGATCTCCACAAAATGCCTCCCACACGCACAATGCAACCCGGAGACTCACCGCTCCATGCGGAGAATCGTTCTAGACAAGGAAACCTCCGCAAGTCGGATAAAGGGGGCAAGGAGAAAATTTGCGAAGACGGCCGTCGGATCACCGACGCCACGCTTTTCCGAGTGGGGGGTGGGGGGGGGAGCCTTGAGGGTATCCCGAGAGGGGGAGGGGATAGAGAAGGGGGCGCAATGGGGCAGAAAATACCTTTCAGGGCGACGCGGTGTACGCGAGAGCACGTACGTTAGCCCAGGTTTTGCCTAAATCCTTAGCTAATGGGATCTATACTCCAACACTCCAAAATTTCCCCAGAGGACGAAACCGCCGATGTGGCCACCAAAGCCGAGCCTCGGAAGAATTTCGGTGGATGTGCGAATGGTATGGCGGGAGAACTTCCGAGGGCCAGGGCAAAGGGGGAAGGGGGCGAAGTGTGGGGGAGAGCGCAAAATAGAAGGTAGGGAACAACGTACTCCGGGTAAAAAAAAGAATAAAAATGAAAATACGCCGGAAAGAGAGGCGAATTCACCTAGCCAAGGAGAACCGGGCTCACAAGCACGCCAGTCCACCTTGTCCTGAATAGGCCAACTTGCAAATTGCGCTGGACCGAGTCGGCACGGCGATGCCGAGTCTTTTGCCCGAGTTGAATCGGGCCCGCGGCTCCTGACACGGGAACGCTGGGTTGGAGAACATGAAAATCTCAACAGCGGAAGTCTCCCGTAGACACCACACCGGAGCCCCCATTCCTATTCCTGGTTCTTGTTAGTCCTCTTTACCCCGTACAGTACTTCCCCCGAGATGAAAATTTCTTCTTGCGATGGGGGAGCAATCGCGTCTCCTGGGTGGACAGTCGCGCGATCTACAATAGTACTTACGATCCGTGGGATTGCCCGGCATACTTACCTGAGAATGAACGGCCAATCCGCACAAAAAAACAGCCTCCTATATCATCGTGGAGACAGACAAAGCCACACTAAGCCCCGCACCACGACGCTGGAATGACTGGGCCTTGCCGTAACAGGCGAGAAAAAAAAATGGAGTATGGCACAATGCCCCTCCAGCTGGACGTGCTCCGACTTCACCCGATGCCATTCCCTCGTTTTCCCCAGCCCTATGGACGGCTCTGATGGGCTGATGCTGGACTTGGGACTCGGTGAGCCCAGGCCTCGAGAAGAAGCGGTACCTGCAGGAGACCGTTCTAGCTGGCTTCGAGATGCGTTCATACAGGATTCCATTAGGGCAGGTCCCTCCCAGTTAGTATGGGTCTAGCGTGATTCAGTGTGAAGAGTCTCTGTGTGCCGGTTTCAGCTGTCTCAACTACACCAAGTACCCATTGGGTTGGTCAAAAGTTGGATTCGGATTGACCGGCCCGGTTGGACTTCCATGCATACCCCGTCGAGCAGATCTTGCGAGCTTCAGCGGATACGGCTTTCAGGTGACGGCGACGATCAGGTACCAGGAGTGTACGTGTCCGATTTGTGCTTCAATCTGGTTCTTTCACCAGCCGGACCGACGCTGCTGGATGGGTATGGGGGCCGAAGCCGAGGCTGATCGGGGGTTGTGCAAAGGGGGTAGCTATCAGATGTATCTGTTCCGTATCCAGAGATAATCCGGACCATGTACAATCACGGGCAGCTGGCAGATGAAGCCACTGATGACAGCATCGCGATAAGACCCATCTTCACATGTGAAGATCGTATCTATGGTAGTGGTAGGGAGCTATCGATCTGGCTTGTGACTATCGAAGCGTTTGGGGCCAGACCCAGCGAATATGACGATGTGCGTGTCGCCTACATACTCGCATGTACTGTAGAGACTTCATGGCATGCAACACGTGAAAGAGACATTGGCCAGCATGGCATTCATGCTCATACGATGGGGTCATTGTCTGGAACCATGTGGTCGGCTTGGTCTGGGGCAAAGTGAACCGCTCCCTCTTGCCCCCTTTAGTCTGTTATCTCCTTTCCCCGCCACGGAGAGAATTACCCCGGGGCAGCTGCCTTGGACATGGACATCCCGTGGCCGCGGAGAGAACCCTAGAGATAAGCCAAGCGAGGGACGAGTCTGAGCATAGGAGGGTAATTCCCCTTGCAGGGTCGCGGGCACTTCTTTTTTCCCCGGTGGGTAGCACTACTCAATTTGGGGCGCAACAGTGGATGAAGTATGGGGTAAGAGAAAATCACTCAGGAGTGGAGTGCCCTAGAGACAAGAGGGAAAAGGGAGAGAAGGGAAGGGGGGGGGAGTGTGGACACCGAATTGTACGGGCCTCACCGAGAGCTGGGATAGGAGGTGCGGGCCAGCATCCACCCCCTCTTTTGTTTGAATTTTTCCATTATGGAGCTGGCCGATGACAACGACAACGACAAGCTGCAAAGTACCGTTCGCACTTGCTGATTCGAGCAGGTCCAGCACGTCAATGCGAAAGCGTTATCAATAAACATTTATCATTATCCTTCTGTTGTGATTTGTCCCCCCGGAGAATCAGATCGAGACCGGAGTCCGGCCCCGCATGGAGACGGATGATATCAACATGATGGACATGAGGGTTGTGATTGGTTACTCGGGTGTATATTCCAGAAGCTGTGGATCGCAGATCGCTCGCCTTGGCGGACGTGGCCCGGTAACCAAAAGTGCGTGCACGCAAGTGAAAAAAAAACCTTAGGAAGGACACCTCCGTATCTCTTAGGTAAAGGTTGCACTGGTGGGAGTAACTGGATCCGAGGAATGCGAACCAAACCTTCCCCGGATTTTGGGGGCCCCGCATTAAGACCTGCCAAGCGCGACAATGTTACCCTTGATGGGCTGATAACTTTGACTAGAACAGAGAAAGAGTGTGTGTGACTAACATTGTTGCATTATTTTTCAAAGATAAAAAGTTCTGAAATTCTTTTGTGGGGAGGGGTTTTTTCGCTATCTCTGACGAGAGTTCTCCGCAAATGCCAAGTCAAATAAACGTAAATAAATCATTGTAGTAAAAATATTAAGTAAAAAGGAAAAAAAAACATAATGTGGCTCCTACAAATGCGTCGTCGATCGTGGCTCCTCCTCTTTCCCCACCCCCACCCTGCTTCTGCGACAGGAGTCTCTGCGCCTTGGATTGTGAACTTGAAATTCGTGCCCATAGCGTTGCGCTTGGTGAGGTTTCAGCGCCAGGCAGCAGAGACCAGGGCGATTGGAAATGGAACGCGGACGAATCCCCGACCCCGGTCCTCGTCAAAACTGAAGGGTTATCAGGGTATAGGCTGAAGGATACTGAAAACTAAACCACTAAGATGTTGAATGCTGAACGCTGAACGCTGAAAGGGCGAGCACGTCATGACTGATGCCTGTCGCAAGGGGGCTGCAGCGAGGGCTGACAGGACAGGCATAGGTGTCCAGACCGTGTCGGTGCATACCAGATTCTTTTGTCTTCAGCTGAGCTCGAGCACCCTGCTGGCAGCCAGGATCGGAGTCTATCTCATTCCATCTGACTCCAATGCGACGCGGAAGGAGGCCATAGTTCGAATAACGTAGGTGGAGGTCCCTCTTGGGGCCGGCTTTGACTAAGAATATCGCGTATTGGTATCGGGCACAACGGAGTTGCGAGCGAGTCGGAGACTCGGCGTTTCCTCTTTCGTCTATTTCGATTCCCACTTTCCATTTTTTTGGCTTTTAATTATTCGGTTGGTTTCCGCTTCATTCTTCTTATGGTTCCATCCAATCGTCACTATAGCTGGGGTTCCTCCAGCGCTGATAACACCGTATGATCGACCATTGGACCGTCGTGTTGGGGCTGACATATACCCGGTCCGGGGAAAGCAAGTCTAAAATATTGGCGACACCTGTCCCCAGAATAATGGCTACCAAATATGGCGTGATATGGACTTGCGGGGGAGGAAAGACTGATTTTTCATTTTCATTGCTGATGATGCGCAATCTCTGACCGTTGCGGCGATGTCGGACATGGAAGGAGGCCTATCACTTGCAGAGGTCAATGACGATCGCGGCATGTGCTAGTGGGTGCGCGGACAACGCCTGCGAGACAACTTCTGCTGCCTTGCGGTAGGTGAGTTCGTTGGAGTCGTACATACATCCTCACCATAGGGTAGATTCTAAGACCAATCGCCCGTTGATCAGCAGATAGATGGCCTTTTTCTTGATTGTGGTATACAAAGCCCTGAAGATTGGAGATTGCGGGGTATCTCTGACTCAAAGCTATCGAAGATCATCGGGTACACCCTCTCAAACTTTGCAGATCATTCCGGAGATTTCTGTGCTGCGATAGGGTGATGATTGACCGCTTGAAGGGAACACGACACACCTTTTCCCTTTTCCCGTCAACCCTCCCAAAGGGTATGTCGCCGGATGCGGCGACTATGAAGGTACTCCAAGAGATTGTCTCAGTACAGTAGGTGTGCTCCTCCCCCACGCTCTACTGGTTATAGTGTGAGTAGCGGTGTCGATCTTTGGGATCGCGGGGAGGAGGATCTTCTTGAAAATTCTGACAAGAGGACCCAGTCTGGGAAAGTGAAACGAGAATTGCCCCATCACATCATGGATAGGCACGGAA